TTTGTTTATAATTACTTTGTTCATCAAAGTTGGATTAAATTTATTTTCTGCATAATAATTTAACTTGTCCCGTCGGACAAGCTTGATATAGCTTTTACTTGTCCGACCTTTTTTTCCTCTGGTACAGGACAATCGGACAAGCGTTATTGTCGAGCCCTGCATACCACAATAAAAATGCGGCATAGTAAGCTATAAACAGTCAGGGGACTTACTTAAATGAATGATTTCTAAATCACTGATTCAAGTAACATTTTGTCCATAAATGTTGTTAGTAATATAAGAGTTGTCTCTCTTTAATAATCACCTATTTAAGTAGTACAAAAAAAATCACTAGACTAAGTGATTTAATTTTATTGTAGCTTTAAATATACAATACTAATGATCCAGGGACTAATTGTGTTGCTTAACATGCTTAAGTTGTCAGAACCAACATCTGTGTTGACCTTGTACTGAATCTGGGATAATGACATGAAAATCACTTGTTTAAGTATCATACCTCTATTTTCTTCCAAAAAATCACTTCTTGAAGTATTATTATTTTAATTACCCACACTAATTTCAACACCCCCAAACAGTGAAATTTTGATCGCAAACAGTAAAATTTTATTACATAATCTGTAAGATAAAACCTTGAATTTTACGGGAAAAAACTCCCACTGCTAGGAAAATTCTGTTGAGAAAGTATCAGTTTGTTATATAAAGCCTTTATTATAGCATTTTTTCAACAAATATAGAATTTACAGCTACATGATTGCATCAAAGGCATAATCCTTGCTACTTAAAAGAAGTGATAGCTTCATTTTTTTCCAATTTTACTAATAGTAAGATATAATCTAAACCTATATGTTTAAAATTTTGGTAAAACTACAAAATCACAATTTGTGACAAAATTTCGATTTTGCTACTTAAATAAGTGATTTATAAAATCACTTATTTCAGTAATTCCCCTGACTGATAAAAGGCCCCGAAATGAAAAATGTAAAACAATTCAAATGAGAAAACTAACAGCCTGATATATGTACAAAAATAAAACATAAAACAAATATGATAAACAGCAACAAACGACAACCACTGAATTACAGGCTTTTGACTTGGAAAAGACACATACAGAATGTGGCGAGGTTAAACATGTTTCCTGGTGCCAAACCCTCCCCTAGCCTGGAACAGTGGTGTAACATTTCAACATACATGTTGGAACAAAATATTCAAATCAGTATATCTTCTTTTCACCCTAATATTGCCATTAAATTTTGTACAGATACTTGGTTTAAAGATCATCATGATCATGAACAATGATAAATATACTCCAGGAAACAAACGAACAATAAATAATACATGTATAATTCAGGAAACACTGTTACCATGGTTACATGTAATTGTTATTTAAAAATCTAAATCTGACATATCCTTTATTTTTTTACAAAAATAATATGTATAATTATCCTGATTATCTGATTATACGATTATACATTGTACATGTATTTATAAAATAAATCAAAAACGGAAGGTTAAAGTTCATTACAATGTTTTCTTTTAACAGTTTCAATTGTACAGTAAGTTGGTAGACATTTTTCATTATCAAACAACATGTACAAGACTTTACATGTTTAAGTGTGAAGAATGTTAAATTACCATATTACAGTCATGGCCAAGGATCTGGAAATTTTTTCACACAATTTTGGTCATTTTGAGATGTCTTAAAAGTTGGTGCCCTTTCTCAAATCGTCAATATCGAATGGTAACTAGATTCATAGCATCAACGAACTTGTATTGGCTGTTTCATCGCATTTACTTCGTGAATTTTCTTACCATTTTACTCAAAACGTTCAAGAACAGTCTAGGGAAGGCAACAGTTTAAATTTGAAATGATTTTAATGACTCAAAATGGTTAATTTCTCAGACATGGCTAACGTTTCTTTCAATTTTAGAAGAAAATTTAAACTGGAAGTTTTGCGACTAATTCCAGATTCATTTCCGGGATTTGTTTTGTTTATCAAATTGACAGGAAATCACTGGGTTTTAAATTTTATATTACCTTTGAAAGTGTTTGAATATAATAGATATTAGTTGCTCTCGTTTAATTAAGCATAAAATCATTTTGCATTTTACGATTAAGTGTCCTATCTGCTGAAGACAATTTCATGCATGCGTATTACATAGTAAATAAGGCACATGTGTTACTCATGAAAAATTACTTTTTTCGACGTAAATTGAATTAAGTTTTAATTTTCAAATCAGAATTATTGATTGTCTTTGCTGAAAAGTAATTAAATAATGAATACAGTTGTCATGGAATTTTAATTTCTTTATGATATTAGTTCTGAGCTTGTGATCATTGTCAGGTGTGAATTAAAAACAGAGGTAAAACATGTAAAAAGTGATTAGTGATCATTAGCCAGTATTTCCCGGAGGCATGATATAGTTATTAGGAGGGCCCTCAGGATTATCAAACTATACTGGAGTGGCAGTCTTATTGCAGGAAAGGGATTTTAAAACAAAAACAAGTGCAAAATGGCAATTAAGAAACCCGATCTCAATGAAATGACCGAAATTATTTCTGTAAAAAAAATTAAATTTGTCCTAAATCCCAATTTTTCGTTTAAGACAAATAGCTTGCAGCTTAGGACATGACTGGCAAATATGACCGTTTTGGGACCCTTGGTCATGACAGTATAATATTTGATATAAAAAAAAAATTCATTAGCTATTCTTAGATGTGTAATAATTGTTTTGAATAATTTTTGCTAACTTTATGAATTAATTTTATAGATTAAAATATTATATTTTTTTCCCTTTTAATATGAAACAATGCATTGACTATTTGACTTGAGTAATAAATATTTCACACATTGTTTATGTTGTAGTTTTAAAATCGATATATTGCAAAAGTTACAGAAGGACTACTTCATTTATAAATAAATATGTTGTATGTTTAAACAAGATGATTAGGATGGGTAAGATGCAAGCCACTGTTAGTTAGCATGATTAGGATAGGTTTGGACCCATGACACATTTTATAAGGATGGGTATATGGACCCATGCAGGGTTTCCCCTGGGTCAATTTATTGTTTCGTCACTTCTTTCGCCAAAACAATATTTTTTTTCGCCACTCTCAATTTTTTTTCGCCAACTCACATAAACATGTTTTTGTTAAGAACTTGTTTTCCTTCTTGCTCATGTTGCTTACAAAAACAAAAAAAAATATTAAAGTGTAGCCTTGTCTTAATTATTACAATTCTACATCTATTTCATATCCTGCATTGTAATTAATGAACACTCAATTAGAACAAAAAAATTCTTGAACTTGCTGGGAATACAGGGTTCATCTTTAATCATTTTATTGGATACTTCCTGCCTAGTGAAAGGACAAAAAATAAATCAGAAATTTTTCTCACTTTTAAATCCTTTCTTCAAAACATGCAAAACAATAGTTTTCTTTTCCGAACCATCGTTAAAAGTCAAATCGAGACATAAATTATGCTTAAAACAGGTGTGTCACTAAAACAATTGTGAAGTAACTACTTGAAATTTGATTTTTAACAAAGTTGTTAAAACAATCATTTAGATGACATACTTTGTTAAAACAATCATTTAGATGACATGTCATGCATGTGACTCCCTTTTCCACACATTTTCATTGAATAATACAATTAACACCTTTTTTAATTAGTTCATTGTTGCCTATTGCTATCTTATTGATTTTCATACAAAATTGATACGCTTGACAAGTTCAAGGTGAAATCCAAGTATTGTCTGATCATGGAAAAAGTCTGAGAAACCTGAAACAAAATTAAAAAAAATGGACGAAGTCAAATCGTTTTATTTCTTTCGCCATTCATGATTATTAATTGCCACAATTATAATTTTTTCATAAAATGTGAAAATGGAGACCCCCAGCGGAAAGCGTGGACCCATGACACTTTAATAAGGATGGGTATGGATTCATGACACAATTAGGATGGGTGTGGACCCATGACACATTTAATAAGGATGGGTATGGACCCATGACACATTTAATAAGGATGGGTATGGACCCATGGCACATTTAATATGGATGAGTATGGATTCATGACACTTTTAATTATGATGGGTATGGACCCATGACTCATTTAATTAGAATCAGTATGAACCCATGACATATTAAATAATAATTGGTATGGACCCATGACACATTTAATAAGGATGGGTATGGATTCATGACACAATTATTTAGGATGTGTATGGACCCATGACACATTTAATAAGGATGGGTATGGATTCATGACACAATTATTTAGGATGTGTATGGACCCATGACACATTTAATAAGGATGGGTATGGATTCATGACACAATTAATTATGATGGGTATGGACCCATGACTCATTTGATTAGAATCAGTATGAACCCATGACATACAACATGTATTAAATAATAATTGGTATGGACCCATGCCACATTTAACTAGAATCAGTATGGGCCCAAGACACAGTTAATAAGGATGGGTATGGACCCATGACATATTTAATTAGGATATATGGGTATGGAACAATGACATTTAATTAGAATGGGTATGGATCCATGACATAGTTAATTAGAATTGAGTATGGACATGTTAAAACAAACATGGCATGGTGACTAAGGAAAGTCATATCTTTTAAAAATCGTTAATCAACATTGTTTACTTATACTTTGTTTGACAAAGAAGACGAGGAAGGGTACGGACCGACAGAAGTACTGAGTCAATTAGAGAACATTAAAGGGCTTATCTTCATTGTTTACTTATAGGAGGAAGACTACATACCATCTTTGTTTGACAAAGAAGATGAGGAAGGGTACAGACCGACAGACGTACTGAGTCAATTAGAGAACATTAAAGGGCTTATCTTCATTGTTTACTTATAGGAGGAAGACTACATACCATCTTTGTTTGACAAAGAGGATGAGGAAGGGTACAGACCGACAGACGTACTGAGTCAGTTAGAGAACATTAAAGGGTTTATCTTCATTGTTTACTTATAGGAGGAAGACTACATACCATCTTTGTTTGACAAAGAAGATGAGGAAGGGTACGGACCGACAGACTTACTGAGTCAGTTAGAGAACTTCAGACAACAATGGAAGCAGGAGTTAATGAAAAAACACAACGATACCAATGATAGCAATACTAATGCCAACCAGACACCAACTGTAGAGGAAGAGGTAACTAAAAGTTATATAACTGTAGAGGAAGAGGTAACTAAAAGTTATATAACATTGAAAAGTTATAAAGAAATACAATAGTTGATGTGTTATATCCTAGTGGTTATATCCTAGTGGTTATATGTCAGTCAGGGGTAATATTTATACAAGTGTTATGTAATTTACTTGTATAGGTGAATTATTTTGGAGGTAGAGTTATATCCCTTAGACATTCAGATTATTTACTTATATAAATATTACCCCTGACTGTATGTGCAAGTCTTTCACATTTTGTTGAAAAAAATAAAAACAAAGCATTTCACAAGTGCAATTACAGTTTTAGTAAATCCAACAGCCATATACATGTTACTGTACAGCATGTGCAGTAGTTTGTGTTCATGGAGATTAAACTGCACAATTTCAAACCTATTTACAAGCCTTAATTTACCTGTTTATTCATCTTAATTTACCTGTTTATTCATCTTAATTTACCTGTTTATTTACCTGAATTTACCTGTTTATTCATCAGAATTTACCTGTCTATTCACCTTAATTTACCTGTTTATTCATCTTAATTTACCTGTATATTCATGTCCTTGGCTAATAACATCCTAGTTGATTAAGTTTATATGAGGGAATATTTTCTTAATTTTATGGTCAATCCCATAATTAACCAAAATAACCTCTGTGAAAAATTCCCTTTTGATAATGTTTTAATAGAAACATAATTGTTTCCCCAAGGATTTTCAAGTAAAAACCAATTTATAGAGCAAAAACGTATTTGCATAATAGAGCATTAACATACATTGTACTAAGAGAAGACACTTTGAAAATAGAGTAACCACCCATAAAACCAATTGTGGAGACCTGTATACATTTTAAACTTGTACAACATAATATTTTCACATCCACCCATAGTTACATAATAGTGGCAAATTCTCATTTTTGTTTTTTGAGGAACAGTCCTAACCTCTGAAGACAATGGAATCAGATGCAGATCCAGAATTTAAAAAAGGGGGGGCCCATCCTAAACAACATTTGGAGTGAAACAGGTAAAAAGTCTCCATTTACCATAGATGTGGCTCCATAAGGGAAATTAGTTTATTCAGTTTGTAATATAATTTATGGTTGGTTTTAATATTTCATGTACAAAACTTTTAACCATGTTCACTGTATTGTAGGCCAAGTTTTTGTTCTACAAAGGAATGAAACTGGAGCAGTCTGGACATTTGTATGAAGGTAATTTTATACACATTATATCAAGCATTAAGTCATGAAACTAGAATCTTAAAAGGTTTGTAGTAAAACCAAAACTGTCAAAAGAATTGCCATCAACAGTAAATTCTCTGAAAATACAGATTTGAAATAAGACAACAATTGATAAGGTTCCTGACTTGGGACAGGTGAATGAACAAATGTTTTCAAAATCAGTGTACTCTCCTTAAGTCTTGGAGTTCAGTGTGCTCATCTCAAGTCTTGGAGGTCAGTGTGCTCTCATGTGCTGCAGTTCAGTGTACCCTCCTTAAGTTCGAGAGTATCTTTTTGCTCTCCTTGAGTGCTAGAGTTCATTGTGTTCTCAATTGCTGGAGTTCAGTGTGCTCTCCTTGAGTGCTAGAGTTAATTGTGTTCTCAATTGCTGGAGTTCAGTGTGCTCTCCTTGAGTGCTAGAGTTCATTGTGTTCTCAATTGCTGGAGTTCAGTGTGTTCTCCTTGAGTGCTAGAGTTTATTGTGTTCTCAATTGCTGGAGTTCAGTGTGCGCTCCTTGAGTGCTAGAGTTTATTGTGCTCTCCCTTTGTGCTTGAGTTTAGTCTATTCTCAAGTACTAGAGTTCAGTGTGCTCTCCTTGAGTGCTAGAGTTTATTGTGCTCTCCCTTTGTGCTTGAGTTTAGTCTATTCTCAAGTATTGGAGTTCAGTGTGCTCTCCCTTTGTGCTTGAGTTTAGTCTATTCTCAAGTATTGGAGTTCAGTGTGCTCTCCTTGAGTGCTAGAGTTTATTGTGCTCTCACTTTGTGCTTGAGTTTAGTCTATTCTCAAGTATTGGAGTTCAGTGTGCTCTCCCTTTGTGCTTGAGTTCAGTCTATTCTCAAGTATTGGAGTTCAGTGTGCTCTCCCTTTGTGCTTGAGTTTAGTCTATTCTAAGTATTAAAGTTCTGTGTGCCCTCCCTTTGTGCTTGAGCTTAGTTTATTCTCAAGTACTGGAGTTCAGTGTGCTCTCATGTGCTGCAGTTCAGTGTACCCTCCTTAAGTTCGAGAGTATCTTTTTGCTCTCCTTGAGTGCTAGAGTTCATTGTGTTCTCAATTGCTGGAGTTCAGTGTGCTCTCCTTGAGTGCTAGAGTTAATTGTGTTCTCAATTGCTGGAGTTCAGTGTGCTCTCCTTGAGTGCTAGAGTTCATTGTGTTCTCAATTGCTGGAGTTCAGTGTGTTCTCCTTGAGTGCTAGAGTTTATTGTGTTCTCAATTGCTGGAGTTCAGTGTGCGCTCCTTGAGTGCTAGAGTTTATTGTGCTCTCCCTTTGTGCTTGAGTTTAGTCTATTCTCAAGTACTAGAGTTCAGTGTGCTCTCCTTGAGTGCTAGAGTTTATTGTGCTCTCCCTTTGTGCTTGAGTTTAGTCTATTCTCAAGTATTGGAGTTCAGTGTGCTCTCCCTTTGTGCTTGAGTTTAGTCTATTCTCAAGTATTGGAGTTCAGTGTGCTCTCCTTGAGTGCTAGAGTTTATTGTGCTCTCACTTTGTGCTTGAGTTTAGTCTATTCTCAAGTATTGGAGTTCAGTGTGCTCTCCTTGAGTGCTAGATTTCATTGTGTTCTCCTTGAGTACTAGAGTTTATTGTGTTCTCAAGTACTGGAGTTCAGTGTACATGTTCCCTCCTTAATTGCTGATGTACATTGTGCTCATATTTAGTGTTTGAAGTCCTTGGTTACAGTCTTGTAATAGACTTAAGCCAAGGCTCCGTGTTGAAGACTGTACTTTGACCTATAATGGTTTACTTTTACAAATTGTGACTTGGATGGAGAGTTGTCTCATTGGCACTCATACCACATCTTCTTATATCTATTAAGACCTTAAGATTGCATTTGCAGCTTCAGAAAATATAGGAACTTTTGTCATACAGGAGTAAGATGTAATATAGAGATCGAATATAGATACAGGGATGATTCTACTATATTAGCGGCCCTTAAGTCAAGTGGCAGCCCCAAAAAAATTTATGCAAACATAAATTCCCAATTCAGGAAAAGAAATAAAATTCAAAATTTCCAGAAACATCGCCAATTTAGGCAACTATAATTTTCTAATTTTGTCGTTAACACGTTTTAAAATCCAGATAAGAATGCTGTCAACGATCGTGTTTTATTAACAACGACTCAATTATTTCAACATGTGGTAAACATGCAGTGGAATAAGACCCCTCATATTCAATTGACGAAAATCGATATGGGAGTATTTGATCTCGTAAAAGTAATCTAAGTAATTAGGACGTCTTGAAAGGTCAATTTAATTTTTTTGCTGTGACGCCTTACTACGACAGCAAATACAATTAAATAGCCTTTCAAGACGTCATAATTATTTGGACTATCGTAAATGCAGATTGCCAAGCAGGTCGATAAAAAAGATGAGTTTTGTCAAAACGGGTCTCGTAAAAAGCAGACCTTGGCAAAGAGCAAAATTTAAATTTTGATATAACATTGATGAATTTAATGGATGCTGATCTCTTAAAAGCAGTTCGCCCAGCAGAGCCAGTTATATAATATGATGGAAACGTTTTATATTTGATATTTTGTCTGGCTGTATTTCTTCAAGACAAAAAAGTCTGACTGTCTGAACTTTTTTTGAAATTACATGTTGATAGATTATTCATGAAATAGGATGTCGACACATTATGGAACTGTTTCAAAAGTTGTGAAGATGACCCAAATAATATTATAATACAATGGTTCAATGCTTAAATTTCCTGTTTCTTAGAGTTATACCTAAGGTAAAACTGGGACATTAGTATAATAGTCCCAGAGTAAAACTATGGCAACCTCCTACATATTGAACAGCAAGCAAAAATCACAAAAAAATATCTTATCAATTACTGTGGATTCATTTATTTTCGTGGGTACCAATTTTCGTGGATTAAGGTGAACTTACATGTTCGTAGATATTTAATTTCGTGGTTTTGTCGAAGTCTGCGTACAAGCCTATATAAAATATGTCATTTGTGAACATTTAATTTCGTGGTTCACTAGCACCCACGAAAATCACGGAAATTGGTATCCAACGAATAATGAATCTACAGTAAGTACTAAAACTTTTGTAATTACTTTTACTTGGGTGATGGGCCTTAATGGTTGAGTACTTGTGTGATGAGCCTTAGACCCTTTACATGGTTGAGTACTTGGGTGGTGGGCATTAGACTCTTTGAATAGTTGAGTACTTGGGTGATTGGCCTTATACCTTTTGCATGGTTGAGGACTTGGATGATGGGCCTTAGATTTTTTGCATGGTTGAGTACTTGGATGGTGGGCCTTAGACCCTTTGTATGGTTGAGTACTTGGTTGATGGGCCTTAGACCCTTTGCATGGTTGAGTACTTGTGTGATGAGCCTTAGACCCTTTGCATGGTTGAGTACTTGGGTGATGGGCCTTAGACCCTTTGCATGGTTGAGTCCTTGGGTGATGGGCCTTAGACCCTTTGCATGGTTGAGTACTTGGGTGGTGGGCCTTATACCTTTTGCAATGCACCATGCATATATGGACAATGAAATCTCTATTCCTGAGATGAATACTAGAGAAGTATAAAGTTCTCAGCTGACAGAAGAATAATGTCCAATAGAGCAAGTGAAAGTTGTTGAAGAGGTCTGTGGTAGAGTTTCAAAAATTAAAACCAACTAGTAATATTATGAAGAGTTATGCCCCTTGGTAATTTGAGTAATATTTTTCTGTTTGTTCATTTTTAACCGGATTTTCAAAGTAAAAATCGATTATTGATTTGGGGATGTACGGCAGGCGGGCAGCTGCCAAACAGTGTCCGTTCATTTACATGAAAACGCTTTGAAGAAATTTTTTCAAATTTGGATATGTTGTTTCCTGTGACTAAATGAAGGTCAAGTTCAATTTTCATGATTTTAGCTTTTCTCGTTGTTCAGTTATAGCCCTTTCCCAAGAATTCAATTTTTGATGAATTTATCCATTTCTGTACAAAGGGAAATAACTCATTTTTTAAAAGATTTTTAAAAGACATTGTATTAATGATAAATGACATTTTGGATTTTTTTTTCTTTTCTTTGGTAAATTGAAGAATTTTGTGGTAGGTTTGTTTGTTATTCTGTATAAACTAATTTTCTGAATGCTATATATATATATATATAAAAAATTATTAAGTGAACTCCTTTAATTAGATAAGAATCTATTTTTATTAAAGGATATATTTCATTACATTACATTGTGTAGATAAAGTTGATAGATAAGTTGCAGATCTATATTAGTTTGTGACAAATGAAAGAAAAAATATTTGGAACTATTAATTATATTTGATTATAATTTGAAAATAGATATACATTGTGTTACATCATATCTAATTTTAGAGAACTTTTTTTTGGTGAAATCATATCTAATGTTAGAGTACTTTGTTAAACCATATTTCTGTTCAAAGGGAAATAACTCAAACTTATTCCATGAACTTGTAATGATAACATCAAAATTTCTTTATATATGTTTTTTTATACGACCGCAAAAAAATTTTGTGGTCGTATATTGGTATGACGTTGGCGTCGTCGTCGTCGTCGTCGTCGTCGTCGTCGTCGTCCGGCGTCGTCGTCCGAAGACACATTGGTTTTCGCACTCTAACTTTAGTTTAAGTGAATGGATCTTTTTGAAATTTGACCATAAGGTTAAATACCACAAAAGGAAGGTTGGGATTGATTTTGGGGGTTATGGTACCAACAGTTAAGGAATGAGGGGCCAAAAAGGGGCCAAAAATAAGCATTTTCTAGTTTCCAGACAATAACTGTGCAACAGTGTATGGATCTCTCTGAAATTATACTACAAGTTTCCATACCACAAAGGGATGGTTAGGATTTGCTTTGGGGGGGTTATGGCTCAAACCGTTTAGGAATTAAGGGCAAAAAAGGGGGAAAAACAAGGTTGTCCTGGTTAATGGACAAATACTTTAGTACAAAACATAATTTAAAGCAGTGTAAGGGAGATAAATCAAATACATCATTGAAATTATCTCCCTTACACTGCTTTTAAATTATGTATAAAGTAATGGTTAATGAACAATAAAGATAATTTAAAACAGTGTAAGGGAGGTAATCCAAATACAACGCTTTGGTTACTTCCCTTACACTGCTTTTAAATTATGTTTAAAGAAATGCATATTTATAAAGGAAGACCAGTAAAAATATCTGCAAATGTTGCATCTTTTTTTTTTACAAAAAAATCCATATAAAAGATTTGACACTATATTTTTAATTCTAATATAAAATAGATTAAGTTAGCACTATGGTAAATTTAAATGGGTAATTATGGTTGCCAACTCCATTGGAAATTTGAATTGAGATTATGACCATATCTTGAGGGAAAGAATTTTTTTGGGGAAAAAAGGTGGGGGGGGGGGGGATAAAAAAAATTTGTGGGGGGTCAATTTTTTCTCATTTCAGATTTCAGAAATTAAAAAGAATTATTCTTCAAATATTATTTTTTTTTCAAATTTCAAATATTGAAAAATTTCAAGAAGTAATCTTTAATTGCACAGCATGGCGCATTAGATTTGTAAAATCTTTGATCACATTTATATATTTGTTATGCCGAATCTAACAGTGTATTTAGATTTTTAATTTTGGGTCCAGTTTTCAAATTGGTCTACATTAAGGTCCAAAGGGTCCAAAATTAAACTTTGTTTGAATTTAGCAAAAATTGAATATATGAGGTTCTTTGATATGCTGAATCTAAACATGTATTTAGATTTTTGATTTTTGGCCCTGTTTTCAAGTTGGTCCAAATTGGGGTCCAAAATTAAACTTTGTTTGATTTCAACAAAAATTGAATATATGGGGTTCTTTGATATGCTGAATCTAACCATGTATTTAGATTTTTTATTTGTGGGCCCTGCTATCAAATTGGTTCATATTGAGGTCAAAAGGGTCCAAAATTAAACTTTGTTTGATTTCATCTAAAATTGAATTATTGGGGTTCTTTGATATTCCAAATCTAACCGTGTATTTAGATTTTTAATTTTGGGTCCCGTTTTTTAATTTGGTCTACATTAAGGTCCAAAGGGTCCAAAATTAAACTTAGTTTGATTTTAACAAAAATTGAATTCTTGGGGTTCTTTGATATGCTGAATCTAAACATGTGTTTAGATTTTTGATTATTGGCCCAGTTTTCAAGTTGGTCCAAGATAGGGTCCAGTATTTAAACTTTGTTTGATTTCAACAAAAATTGAATATATGGGGTTCTTTGATATGCTGAATCTAAACATGTATTTAGATTTTTTATTATGGGCCCAGTTTTCAAGTTGGTCCAAATTGGGGTCCAAAATTAAACTTTGTTTGATTTCAACAAAAATTGAATATATGAGGTTCTTTGATATGCTGAATCTAACCATGTATTTAGATTTTTTATTTGTGGGACCCGCTATCAAATTGGTTCATATTGAGGTCAAAAGGGACCAAATTAAACTTTGTTTGATTTCATCAAAAATTGAATTATTGGGGTTCTTTGATATTCCAAATCTTACCGTGTATTTAGATTTTTAATTTTAAGTCCAGTCTTTTAAATTGGTCTACATTAAGGTCCAAAGGGTCCAAAATTAAACTTAGTTTGATTTTAGCAAAAATTGAATTCTTGGGGTTCTTTGATATGCTGAATCTAAACATGTGTTTAGATTTTTGATTACGGGCCCAGTTTTCAAGTTTGTCCAAGTTGGGGTCCAAAATTAAACTTTTTTTTATTTCAACAAAAATTCAATATATGGAGTTCTTTGATATGCTGAATCTAACCATGAATTTAGATTTTTTATTTGTGGGCCCCGCTATCAAATTGGTTCATATTGAGGTCAAAAGGGTCCAAAATTAAACTTTGTTTGATTTCATCAAAAATTGAATTCTTTGGATTCTTTGATATGCTGAATCTAACCATGTATTTTGATTTTTGGGCCCCGTCATCAAATTGGTCCACATTGAGGTCGAAAGGGTCCAAAATTAAACTTTGTTTGATTTCATCAAAAATTGAATTCTTTGGATTCTTTGATAAGCTGAATCTAACCATGTATTTTGATTTTTGGGCCCCATCATCAAATTGGTTCATATTGAGGTCAAAAGGGTCCAAAATTAAAATTTGTTTGATTTCATCAAAAATTGAATTCTTTGGATTCTTTGATATGCTGAATCTAACCATGTATTTTGATTTTGGACATTGGACCATAATAGGTAAATTAAAAAAAATCAAGTTCTTAGACCACATTCTTTCTGTGTCAGAAACCTATGCTGTGTCAAATATTTAATAACAATCCAAATTCAGAGCTGTATCAAGCTTGAATGTTGTGTCCATACTTGCCCCAACTGTTCAGGGTTCGACCTCTGCGGTCGTATCAAGCTGCGCCCCAGCGAAGCATTTTATTAAAGTCATGTGTGTTATGAAGGTAGATGTCACAGTTGTTATGTGGTATTTTATTTTTGTTGTGTGTGTTAATGTATAATTTTTACATGATCCTGTTTGGGGTTCAGATTTGCAAATATCATTTTCATTATTAATAAGTTAATAATCTATTATAAATATTCAATCACAATCCAAATTCAGAGCTGTTTTAAGCTTAAATGTTGTGTCCATACTTGCTCAACTGTTCAGGGTTCGACCTCTGCAGGAAAATCACATTTGCTGTCACTCGACAGCCTCTTGTTATATCCTGTGTCTGCTATTTAATTTAATTTTTCTTATTTACAGCAATAAAGTATTACAGAGAAGCCACACACCTGGATTCCGAGATAGAATTCAAATGTTATTCAAGTGGTAAAAGTCCAAGAGGTTAGTATGTATTACAGAAAATACCTGGATTCAGATATAGAGGTTGAATGTTGTTTGAGTGGTAAAAGTCCAAGAGGTCAGTATGTATTACAGAAAACACCTGGATTCTGATATAGAGTTCAAATGTTGTTTAAGTCGTAAAAGTCCAAGAGGTTAGTATGTATTACAGAAAACACCTGGATTCAGATATAGAGTTCAAATGTTGTTTGAGTGGTAAAAGTCCAAGAGATTAGTATGTATTACAGAAAACACCTGGATTCAGATATAGAGTTTGAATGTTGTTTGAGTGGTAAAAGTCCAAGAGATTAGTATGTATTACAGAAAACACCTGGATTCAGATATAGAGTTTGAATGTTGTTTGAGTGGTAAAAGTCCAAGAGATAAGTATGTATTACAGAAAACACCTGGATTCAGATATAGAGTTTGAATGTTGTTTGAGTGGTAAAAGTCCAAGAGAGTAGTATGTATTACAGAAAACACCGGGATTCAGATATAGAGTTCAAATGTTGTTTGAGTGGTAAAAGTCCAAGAGATTAGTATGTAATACAGAAAACACGTGGAATCAGATATAGAGTTCAAACGTTGTTTGAGTGGTAAAAGTCTAAAAGGTTAGTATGTATTACAGAAAACACCTGGATTAAGATATAGAGTTCAAATGTTGTTTGAGTGGTAAAAGTCCAAGAGGTTAGTATGTATTACAGAAAACACCTGGATTCAGATATAGAGTTCAAATGTTGTTTAAGTGGTAAAATTCCAAGAGGTTAGTATGTATGTTTTACAGAAAAGCAACACATCTGGATACAGAGGTAGAATTCAGATGTTTTGTGGCTGGTTATCAGTTCTCAAAATGTGTTTCAATAAATGTATTCTGATTCAAATCCCCACAATTCATTATTGATTTCACACGCAATGATATGACAACCACTTAGGAGGTTCCTTACTCAGACTGGCCAAGAATATGTGCATTTTTAAGTTTTTTTCTTGCATGGAGGAAGAAGTAAAATATGCGAGACATAGATATGCTATTTACGGTGGCAATGTTATGTCAGCAATGTATTAGTCAGCTTATTGGGAACCACTAGTGGTAGGTCAATGGTGTTTGGTATGCTAATGTCTTAGGCATAACACATTTGTGTGGAAATGATTTGGTTCTGCCACCTCAGGCATGGTCTATAACTTCATAGTTATCTCGCCTTGACGGAGTCCAAAAGCGAGACATATGTATGCTGTTTCCGGTGGCGGCGTCAACAATGTATTAGTTTGTGATTAGGCCTAGTTCATGGTGAACCACTAGTGGTAGGTAAATGATATTAGTTATGCAGTTGAATTAGCATTGGCACATCTCATTACCATGGAGATTATTTGGCCCCGCCCCCTCAGTCAAGGTCTATTGACTTTGAAACTTTTGCTGTTAAGTCAATGATATTCGGTATGCAAATGTATTGGTGTTTGCAAGTTTCATTTCCATGGAGATTATATAATCCCACCCCCTAATTACTGTTCATTGACTTTGAAACTTTTACATAGTTTACAAGTTAATGTTTAAGTTTAGGTTTGTTTAAAGGGAACGACTTATGAAAATTCAATGGTATTTGGTTTGCAGTTGTATTATCATTGGCACATCTCATTTCCATGGAGATTGTTTAGCCCAGTACCTTCAGTCATGGTTCATTGACTTTGAATATTTGCATAACTTACATGTTAAAGTATTGCTATTTTAATTTCAACATTTGCATTATCAAAATAACAAATAGGCGAGACATATCTCTGTGTTAACAGTTTATTTTTGCTTAGTTTAAAGTTTGTGATAAGATCAGTTAGAGATGTCGAAATACTAATGTTAAGTCAATGATATTTTTATGCAGTTGTATAACTATTTGCAAGTCCCACCTTCAGTCATGGTTCATTGACTTTAAATGTTTTTCATAGTTTGAATATGTTAAAGTATTATCATTTGAATTTCAATGATTGCATTATCCTATCAAAATTACATAAAGGCATGACATATCTCTGTGTCAAGCATGGTCAAGGTAACTATAACTTATTATTTTTCAGAAAGACAAGAAAGTGAGAGTTCAGTTGGAAGGTAAAGTATAACTTGAGCATATAGCTAATTGTCAGGTTAAACTCTAAAAGGCTGGTCAATTCAAAATGGGAAACAATACAAACAAAAAACAAATATGACCGACAACAACCAATGAAAACCACTGAATTTCATACTCCTGATTTTTGACTGCCACATACAGAATATGGTGGGATTAAACATATTTGGGAGCCATCTACATACCCTCCCGCTAACCTGAAAGAGTATTGTACCAGCAAAACATAAGAACAATTGTAAAAATCATTTGGAAAGCGCATATCTCATCAGATAAGATTGACACAATAGAAACCGCTAACGGAAAGATAAAATGAAAAAGACACAGGTACAGACGACAAAATAATAGGCATTGATCCAAGCAAACATTTATATTACAATTAACCATTTTTCAATATTTGTAGTATTGATCAGGATGAGATTCTGGACGATGACCTGGTGACACACTTCCAAAAACTTCAGATTGACCACAGGAAAATATGTCAACAACAGTTTGAACAGAATGTAAGTATTGTGACTTCATTGTTTTTTGTTGGAAACTAATTTTCGTGGATTTCATGGAAATAGGTGAACCACGAACCACGAAACCAACAAATGTTCTATAGGCTCAACCACGAAATCAAATATCCAGGAAATTACATTTTTTCATCAATCCACAAAAATTAATACCAAGGAAAATAGACGAATCCACAGTATCATAGCACAGTAAAGTCAAAGATATACTAAATTTTAAATGAAAGTCTGTGTTTATGTCTATGAGAAAGCAATTCGACAACTTTTTCTAATTCAAAAAGCCAAACGACATCTAGAGGTCAAAATGCAGTCAAACAATAAACAACTAGATCTAAATCATATTTCAGGCTATAAAGTTTATTGTAAAATCATGTAAAGTCTATTAAACTTCTGCCAACAACACAAGATACCTAAATGACAAAAACAAAAAGATATGACTAAAGACCAAAAGCTGACAAGGTTCCTGAAATGAAACTGGTATAACAGTGTTTAACTATTTTTTTTTTTGGCAATCAATTCCCCCCCGATCCCCCCCCCCCCCCCTTTTTCATCGTGATGAGTGCAATAACAGAGGTTCTTGGGGAAAAAATTAAAATTCAGTAGACAAAAACCATTGAATCTTTTGTATCTGTATGATAAACAAATAAAAACAAAAACACAGACAGGTAGTATTTAAATAAAAAAATAGTAAATAAAACTGTGTTTGACTAAAATGACTTTGCGAGGTATTATTTTAGATTTACCAGTGTTTCCAAATATGAAGTTGTTAAGTAGAAGATCAGAAAAAAAACCAACTAAATAATAGCAGATTTTGACATCATTGAACGTTTCAAGTCGTGGTGCGGTTTTCAATAAGTGGTTTGCCATTTCCGACATAATCTGCAACTATTGGTAGCCAAAGAATTATTATGAATCCACAGTGTAATACTGTAACAAAGAATGTTTGAAGTAACTGGAAATCAAGCTCAATGTCAGTATGACAATATAATTATACCTCCTTACACTATACATAAATCTTTCACATAAATTTCAGGCAACCCACATATCTGTTCTGCCAGTAGAACTGCTGATTTATATCTTCAAATGGGTTGTGTCCCCTGATTTAGACATCAAACAGTTGGAGATTCTGTCGGAGGTAAGAAATAAATACAAACTTTATATTCTAACCTGTCGCGGAGTTGCTAGGGCATATGTTGGCCATATCTATTATGATACCTCAGTAGTCTGTACCTATTTTTTATGCTGTATATATTGAGCTGGTTTCATTTTTGTCTGCTCTAGACAAATTTACGGAAGCCAGACTTAGCCATGCTGTTTCCAGCAGCTATTAAATAATTTGTTAAAGTTTGTGATTGGGTCATTTAAGAGAAACCACTTATGTTAATTCAACGACAATTGGTATGCAGTTGTATTAGAATTGGTACATCAGATTTCCATGGAGATTATTTGGTCTCTCACCCTTTTTGAAAGTTTTGCATTTTACATGTTATAGTGTTGCCAATTTAATTTTAACATATGTAATTAATTGCTAACACTTATGAACATGCACTATGTTTGAAGCAGCCCCAGCATCAATTCAAGATTTGATAGTCTTAAATGATTTTGAAAAAAATAATTCTATAATTTAACGCCTTTAAAACAAAAAAATATAAAATGTATTTGGTATTCCATAAACATTTTGTATGGATTCAAGAAATGAAAATTTGACTTGAAAAGTTGATATGTATTTTAGGTTAGCAGAGGGTTCCATATTTGTGCCAGAGATGATGGAATATGGAGACAGATTTGTTCAAGGTAGAGTGTTACCCTTAGTTATACATTATAGGGGCCTCAGTAGGCACATGTTTATGTTAGAGTGTTACCCTTAGTTATACATAAAAGGGGCCTCAGTAGGCACATGTTTATGTTAGAGTGTTACCCTTAGTTATACATAAAAGGGGCCTCAGTAGGCACATGTTTATGTTAGAGTGTTACCCTTAGTTATACATAAAAGAGGCCTCAGTAGGCACATGTTTATGTTAGAGTGTTACCCTTAGTTATACATTATAGGGGCCTCAGTTGGAACATGTTTATGTTAGAGTGTTACCCTTAGTTATACATTATAGGGCCTCAGTAGGAACATGTTTATGTTAGAGTGTTACCCTTAGTTATACATTATAGGGGCCTCAGTAGGAACATGTTTATGTTAGAGTGTTACCCTTAGTTATACATTATAGGGGCCTCAGTAGGAACATGTTTATGTTAGAGTGTTACCCTTAGTTATATATAAAAGGAGAAGGCACATGTTTATGTTACAGTACTTATATGTGTTAATAGGACTGAATAGATAAACCTAGCTAAAATTGAGAATGGAAATGGGGAATGTGTCAAAGAGACAACAACCCGACCAAAGAGCAGAAAACAGCCCAAGGCCACCAATGGGTCTTTAACACAGCGAGAAAATCTGTCACCTGGAGGCAGGCTTCAGCTGGCCCGTTAACAAAAATGAATACTCGTTCACCTTACAAATATTGTTTGATTTCAATACAATGGCCAAGTTTTGTTTTTATTGTTGAATATATTTCTAGATTTCTTAACCCCAATATTTTGTCCATCTTGCATTGTCCAAGGAGACTTACTGGACAGCAATAAATCGTGTCCACTGTCAAAACAATGTATGGACAAAAATGAACAAAATACGGACTACACGAATGATGTGTTTATAACACACTATAAACAAATTATCAATTATAATCCAATTCGTAGAACAAATATTTTTATACATCTTTGGTCAAGGGACTTTATTCTTAAATGTGTTTATAACAGTATTATGACTTTTTTCAGAACTTGGGGCCCCAACACGGGGAAACTGAGGAAGTATGTCTCATGGAGAAACATGTTTATTAATAGGCCACATGTACTGTTTAATGGTTAGTAAAATATAAACATGTTTATTAATAGGCCACATTAACTGTTTAATGGTTAGTAAAATATAAACTTTAGATACAGGGAGAAACATGTTTATTAATAGGCCACATGTACTGTTTAACAGTTAGTAAAAAATTAACTTTAGGGTTCATTTAGTATGAAAGGAACTGGATTATAAAGTGACCCATCTCTTCTCTTCTAGTCATTGTGTGATAAGATTCATACCTGAAGTGCTAGAGATCTCCTTCTTGGTCAAATCTAAGACTTTGCAATAGGTATTTGCTGCTTTCTTGTCAATTTATGAGTAAGACCAAATACAGGAAGTTGATTTATAAGTATGAACGAAGACAGGAAGTTAATTAATTAATGAGTATGAATGAAGACAGGAAGTTAAGTTATGAGTATGAATGAAGACAGGAAGTTAATGAGTATGAACGATGACAGGAAGTTAAGTTATGAGTGTGAAAACCACAGTCGTAAATACATCAGATACATTTCAAATCTTTTTATCTCTCAATGAAATAGTGAAATCATGATACATATAACTATAGGAGTATTGTTTTTTTTATAAATATGAGAGGGTTTGTTGTTTTGTTTTTCAAAAGGTATGAAAAATGAAAAGGGTGGAGTACTGGATGTCTGGATTGAAGTTCTTAAAATTTCTGATTCTTACCATTATTTATTTTCCTCTCTAACAGGTTGCTACATTAGTAGGACATCCTATATGAGAGTAGGAGAAAAGAGTCTGGATTCATTCTACAAACCATGGCATCTAGTGGAATATTTCAGATACATGAGATTCTTCCCAGATGGTAAGTTTATATCTCCTGCTAAAACAGTGCAAAGAGAGCAATGTCTAGACTCTTTCTACAAAATAAAATTTTGGCCATTATATGCCACTGCAACAATTTGTTTGGGCAACTCTTCTGAAAACCACACAGCAGAATTTCATGAAACTTTGTTGATAATTAGGACATACTATGCAGATGTTCATATCAAAAGGAAATTATAATTCAATGTTTTTTCTTAGAGTTATGCCCCTTTGAATAAAAATTTGGTTACAATATACCACTGCAACAGTTTGTCTGGGCAACTCTCCTGAAAACCACACAGCAGAATTTCATGAAACTTTGTTGATAACCAGGAGATACTATGTAGATGTGCATATCTACAGAAAATTATGATTCAATGTTTTTTCTAGGAGTTATGCCCCTTTGAATTTAGAATTTGGGCATAATTTACTAATGCAGCAGTTTGTCAAGGCAACTCCTCTAAAACCATACAACAGAATTTCATGAAACTTTGTAGATAATGGGGATATACTATGTGGATATACATATGAACATAAAATAATGATTCAATGTTTTTCTAGAAATTATGCCCCTTTGAACTTAGAATTTGACCTCCATATACTCCTGCAACAGTTTGTCATTGCAACTCCTCTGAAACCACACAACAGAATTTCATGATACTTCTTAGTTAATGAGGACATAAAATGTGCATATCCACAAGAATTTTTGTCTCGCCTTGACAGAGTCAAAAAGCAAGACATATATAGGTATACTGTTTCCAGAGGCGGTGGCAGCGGCGGCTGCAGGGGCATTGGCGGCGGCAGCGTCATCGACAATGTATTAATTTGTGAATAGGTCAAAAGTGCCTTCCTACCCCAACCCCCCCCCATTTGTTTCTGAAATAGTTCTCATTGAAAACTAAGGTTAAATAACTAAGTAATCTACTGCCTTTTCAATGAAATAATATTTTGATATTCAGGTGTTATGTTGATGATGTCCAGTTCAGAAGACCCCTATACAACACTGTCAAAACTTAGGTCTGAAAGTACCAGAGAACAGGGACTGCTGAAGGGGCGTTACAGATTTAATGGAGACAGGGTGAGTCTAATGTTCTATACAACACTCAAAACTGAGGTCCCAAAGTACGAGGGAACAGGGACTGCTGAAGGGTCGATACAGATTTAATGGAAACAGGGTAGGTCTAATGTTTTACTGGGTCAAGGAATATAGTGGGACTACTAGTGAAGGGCTGTTTTAGATTTAATTGAGATAAGGTAGGTTTAATGTTCTACTGGGTCCAGAAGAATAAAGGGACTACTAGTGAAGGGCTGTTTTTATTGAGACCGCAACCTAACTGAAGTGTCAAGAAATATGAAAGGGATTTCCTGTACTAGAGGGATATTGAAAACTTAGTGGAGATAGGAAAGGTACAATGTCCCTGTGGATTCATTTATTTCCGTGGGTACCAACTTTCGTGGATTAAGAAAAACTTGCATGTTCGTGGATATTTAATTTCTTTTTTTTTTAAGTCTGCATACAAGCCTAAAGGAAATATCATTCGTTGAAAATTTATTTTCATGGTTCCCCTGTACCCACAAAATCCACAATAAATTGGTATCCAACAAATAATATTGAATCCACAGTACCAGTGACTCCTTTAGGGAGATTTCCAAGAGTTCTTAAAATCTTCAAGCCTATTGGTCATTAGCAATGCAACAGAAAAAAAGGCTATTCAAGAATGGGATTGCAACCATTCTTGGATATGTGGATATATACAATTTGGAGAGATTTTCAAGAGACCAGGCCAAAGGTCAAGGTCAAAGGTACTATAAATAGATTAAAAATTTGTGCAGATGCTAAATCAAATTCTACATGAAGGAATGCAACCTTACTTGGATATTTGTTCACATATGATAAGAGGAAAATCCCGGTTGATTTTGAAATCACTAGGCCTAAAATAGATTTGTTTAAGACAAAATTTCTGTCTTAAATCATAACAGAAAAGAATCGTATCTTAAAGTTAAAAAAACTATGCCATCAGGTCACTACTGTGGATTTATATATTTTTTGTGGGTACCAATAATGTGGATTGCGGAAAACTTGCCTTTTTGTGGATACATGATTTCGCCAAAGTCTGCATACAACCTGATAGAAATTTGTATTTCGTTGAACATTTAAATTTGTTTTTCACCTGTACCAACAAAACCCACGAAAATTGGTATCCAACGAATAATAATGCCTCCACAATATAAGTTTTCCCCTTTATAGGTTGCACTTTGTAAATACAGCTGTTTCACAAACCACGCCTCTTTTGGGGAGATATATAATAGCCGTAAAGGGAGTTCCTATGAGAAATTGCATTGTCTATATTTACAGAAATGCAACCTATATGGGGCTTGCTGATTAAAGGTTCTTTAATTTCTTCAGCTGGTTCCATATCAAACATTGATATAAATTAGGAGCTACACTACAATAGTTTATTACTCTTATGACCAGTTCATATGTTTTCTGAAAACCAGATAGCTCCAAAAAAGAATAAAACCACCACAAACATGAAGTCTGACATGCACTTGAAATTGTCTGTGGTTAGGACGGACAGTTTTTGAGAACATTGAATTTCCTTTTTTAATAAAAACAGACTTACACAGCATATTTAAAGGGTATTATATTATTTAGGGGCAGAACCTAGTGTACTTCAGCATTGGCATAGATTGTGAAAATTTGATGTGGAACTTTTTTTTTTTTTCAAATATGTTATTAACGTCTTCATATTGCTTTTGTAGATTACTTCTGTTTTGAAGAGAGTTAAAACAAAAGACAGCTCGTTGAATTACTACCCATGGAAACGTCAACCAAGGCAACAGATAGATCCAAATGATATGGAACAAACGTTTCAAGTGGTAAGTAAACTGTTCTATGAATTACTACCAACATAGTTATCAACAACGGCAACAGATAGATCCAAATGATATGGAACAAACGTTTCAAGTGGTAAGTAAACTGTTCTATGAATTACTACCAACATAGATATCAACCACGGCAACAGGTAGATCCAAATGATATGGAACAAACGTTTCAAGTGGTAAGTAAACTGTTCTATGAATTACTACCAACATAGATATCAACAGCGGCAACAGATAGATCCAAATGATATGGAACAAACGTTTCAAGTGGTAAGTAAACTGTTCTATGAATTACTACCAACATAGATATCAACCACGGCAACAGATAGATCCAAATGATATTGAACAAACGTTTCAAGTGGTAAGTAAACTGTTCTATGAATTACTACCAACATAGATATCAACCACGGCAACAGATAGATCCAAATGATATGGAACAAACGTTTCAAGTGGTAAGTAAACTGTTCAATGAATTACTACCAACATAAATATCAACCATGGCAACAGATAGATCCAAATGATATGGAACAAACGTTTCAAGTGGTAAGTAAACTGTTCTATGAATTACTACCAACATAGATATCAACCATGGCAACAGATTGATCAAAATGATATGGAACAAATGTTTTAAGTTGTAAGTAAAGCAGAATTTGTGAATACAGTGCTGCGCCATCTAGCGACAAATAGAAGTCACGTCCACTCCTACTACATTATTCTTGACCAATGAGATCACTTGTAGTATCTTTAGATCAGAGTTGAATTTCTATTGTTTAAATGAGTTACATACCAAAGAACTTCATTAAATTGATTTAAAACTTTAAAAATGTCACTAAATATTAGGATTTATTTTAGGTGTAAAGAATCTTGGCATAAATTACATGTCTGAATTGTTTATTTTACATTTTCTACATTAACAAGTGATCACTTTTAGCGTTTATTTATTAAATGCAGTCAGTTACAAGTGTGACCAATGGAAATCATCACCTCTTCTATAAAAAGTTCTGTCTCAATCTGCTTTGAGAAGAGGGGAATGAATCATAACCCCTGGATAACAAAGATGACATTAAGTATGCACATTAAACATCACTGCATCAGTCTTATAATGGGATACATATTTATAGTTTGGAAAGTTTTTTATTTGCTGTTTTATTTTATAGGAAATGGAAATCCAGAATCACAAAGACAGATGTCACGCTAAACTTGTGTGGCTTCATTATTCTGTTACAACATGTTATAAGTAAGTAGAAACAGCAACCCAACAAAACACATATACCAAAGAGGAGATTCACACCACTCAAACATTGATTGATTGTAGCTGATCTTAAGACAGCAACACAACAACACACATATACCAAAGAGGAGATTCACACCACTCAAACATTGATTGATTGTAGCTGGTCTTAAGACAAAAACCGAACTACACAATTAAACTAGTAAAAGTTTGATCCAGCTCATGGGTTTTATTAAACTGTGGATTATTATAATTTCTTGAGTACTTATTTTCCTTGATTTTATTTGCACCGGTGACTGAAGGATAAAAGTCTTAACCAATATATAAATATCTGTAAGCTTGTATGCAGAATTATTTAAAACCATAAAATTAAGTATCCATGAACTTGCATTTATCCTAGACCCAGGATATTAGATATCACAATTGGATTCACGAAAAGAGTACATATACAATATCTGCAACTAATTCAAAGCACCATCTTTGTTAATTAAATTGTTATTATCAATAAAATAGTATAATTTTGTACATTTCTTTTTTTTAGGGCAACTGGACAGTTGAATGAAACAGATTTTGAACTAAACAACAAGAATTACCCCCCTTTGTTATTTTCTCGTGTCCTTAGTTACACTGCTGAATCTGAATCACCTCTTGAATGAAACAGATATCAGGATCATCTGAGCACTTTAACCCTGACAACTTGATCACTTGAATGTTTGAAGTATAGCACACTTTATTCATATACCTGGTAGATTTTCATGTTTTGTGTTAAACTTTTAATTTTGATATTTTTCTGTAAACATGTTTGTTTTATTAATATTAATTATTATTTTATTTTATATGGTATAACCAGATTTAACACTTTTAGTATGAATTACTATTGTAATATTGGATTTAATTTGTTGATTATATCAGAGACGATTATTTTTTGTAATTTTTACAAAATGTTGTTTAGTGAAGCATAAGCTTGACATCAGAGCCTTTCTATTTAAGAACAAGTTGTACCAAGGGGAGCGATTTTTTTGTACTAGCTACCTTGAACTTTTTTTAACAGTTTCAATAGATGTGAGTTTAAAGAGTTATTTGGTGCTTTTCTACCAAGCATGCAACCATTTTTAAGTACCAGCCCTTTTAAAAATCATGCAAAATGTAAATCATGTTGAGTGGAAAGGCTACACATGTTTTTATTTTTGTATCATCTTATTGATTAAAAAGGATGAACATTGTAAAGTTTTCCATTTTGACCCTTAATTTCTAGGTGAGATAAATAAACTCTACAGAATGCAGCATAAAATTTATGTTAAGGGAGATAACTCCAATAAGATTATAAAGAATTTCTAGTGAATAAATGCTGATTATCTGCCCTTGTAAGTAGGAAGTAAATGGAAGACGTCACTCAATCCTTTCATCTACAAGCCTATATCATCTGGTTGACAAAATTAAACATTTATAACTTTTTATGAAGTTCATAAAATTAAAATTTTGCATTATTCTTATTCCGACTATCACTTGAAAGATACAGCTAAGACTAGATGGCTCAAAAAAAAGTATTCTTGAGTAGAGTGACATGTGCCCCAGAGTTATATATCTTGAGAGTTGTATTGCTGACATAGATTTGAGTCTAATACAAAGTATTGTTTACTTGTCCAGATTGTGTATAATTATATATGTTGCAATTTGTTTAAAACTCATCAGACATTCAATCTATCAATCTGACTTTACCCCAATGATACTAGTGTGTTTTAAGGGGCTACTTCCAACACAAAGTAAGGCAACTCTTTATTGAAAAGTTATATTGTTTTCTGGTTACAGTCACCAAATCTGATATAAAAATCAAATGATATTTATATGAGGAGCTGTTTATGAAATTTTCCAACATCCTTAATGAATCTATCATGCATTAATTAACATAGACACAAGAACTTAATGTTAAGAATAATAAATTTTAGATTTTAACGGTTTTATTAGAGACTTTCAGATAATTAACATACTTATGCATGTGTGTGATTTTGATTTAAATAATGTGTTTAACTATGTCTAATGTAACATGTATTGCATTTGTAATGGAATGTTTTCAATTTGGATTGTCTTCCCCTTATCAGAAAAAAACCATAAAAAACCTCAAATGTAAGACATACTCAATGGAGCACTACACATATGTCTGATAGGTTCAATAATTGGTAAAGTATAACTTATATTGTAGGTCAAGATATCTCAATTAGAAAATAAATCAATAATCTTCATATTTATTTTCTTGTTCAGTTCAGCTGGTAAAACTTCATGTCTTTTTTTTTTTATTTCTGTGGTACAATTCAATTCCAAGATAAAATTTTATTTTATGTGTTGTTTTTTTGCGTTAAGTTTGTGGCAGCAGTCTATGGTGATTTCAATGATATACTAAAGATATTGAAGAAAATGGCATAAAAAGTTGGCATCTGTAGTGCACAAAGGTCATAGATAGGTTTCCTTTGGTCTATCGGAGTCTGATCTAAATGGTATATTAAAGGCCTATGGACTCTGTATAAAAAACTGTCATCTGTAGTGCACAAAGGTCATAGATAGGTTTCCTTTAGTCAGTCAGAGTGGAATCTCTATGGTATACTAAAGACCTAAAAAAAATTGTATAAAAGCATCTGTAGTGCACAAGGGTCATAGATAGATTTCCTTTTTATAATCAATCAGTCAGATCCCAATGGTATACTTAAGACATAAAAAAAATTGTATGAAGGCATGTGTAGTGCACAAGTGTTATTGATAGGTTTCCTTCTGTCAAAGATTGTTATCATAATCTTGTGTCATATATTACAAACTTATCAAACATCTTATGAAATGCACTCTAAGTGTGTCTTTGGATAGAGTGGGGCCCAATGATTCAATTTCAAAGATCTACTCCAGAACCAATTGTAACAAAACTGAACAGGGATATTGCTTTGAAGATCTGTGACAATTTTCCTCTACTTTTATCTGTTGTGAGGCAGAGTGTAAATGGATATCAATGTGTTCATTTGTTGGTTTGCATTTTCTAAACAAGTGTCATGATTTTATTGAAACCTTAAAAAATTTATAGTATCTTTGTGATTGTGCACCACCTGTTGTATCATTGAAGTTTTCAATAGCAAAGCTTAACCTATCTTTACAGATGTGAGAGATGGGACAAACATTGCTTGTGTTGAGCTCTAATACCAGATTAACTTAATATGTTTCACTGTCTTTAACTGTCATTTGGAAGAGTTCAGGTATTGAATCAAAAAGATAGTTACTGTAAATTCAGAAATTATTGTGATGTTTTTATTAATGGGACAAATGCAGCAGTATCTATTGGCAATAATAAAAACTTGTGTTCATAATTTCAGATGTAATTTTCTGTCTTAAAATTTTTGCATTCACATTAACTAGATTATGCATTTTTGCCAAAGTTGAAGGATTTGCAAAAATAGCATTTATTTATGAATTTACAGTATATAATTCGTTGTTATATTTAACTATTTTCCGTATGATTTTGTTCTAGCAGTGTTGAATATATTTAAAGCGGCTGACAATAGGTATTATATAAAGCTAGAACTATAGCATTGAAATCACCAGCGACTCTTTTCACAAAAAATCTTAAGAGGAAAAATACTCGAAAGTCATACACATTTCAGTATAACTTACGATCAATTTTAATCGTAAGATTTTTTGTGAAAAGAGTCGCAGAGATATATCTGTATATATTTTATTTATTGTTACAATGTAAATATTTAGTTATAAGTAATGTTTTATGATTAGTTATCAATGAAAACATTAGGTTAGTTAATTGATGCTTGGGTAGTATTGCTTTGTTAACAGAATAATTTGAAACACACATTTTATTGGTATGTAATTTCTTCAATAATTTACATTTTTATCTGAAAATGTACTCTGTTAATTAATTGTCCATTCAAAAGCACACACAAGGTATAAAACATCTGTTGTTGATATTGATTGGCTGACGTGTGCTTGATGACGTCAGTATATTTAGATGCCAATGATTGTAAAGTTTCACATTATTTTCAATTTACACCCAAATAATTCCTTAATAGACTATATTCATATTACTGACTTTTGACTCTGGAAAATATGATTTTTCAAGAGCGTCACTGATGAGTCTTATGTAGACGAAACGCACGTCTGGCGTATTAAATTATAATCCTGGTACCTTTGATAACTATTCTCTGTGATGGGACATCCTGGTACTCTATAAAAGCAACAAAAAGAAGTAAAATCAAACATATAATTGGTACATTTTGGGGGGAAAGTGTACTGTTTTTTTTATGATTTTTTTGTATGTAGAAAACATAAAACTGTTAATTTTAACCCCCAATTGTACCGATTGTAATATTGATTTTTACTTCTTTAAGTTGCTCTTACCTGACCGAGTACCAGGATGTCTTACCACAGAATAGGTAACCTGTCTAAAGAATATAAAATCTGGAGTCAAAAGTTGGTAATATGAAAATAGTCTATTGGAATGTTTTGTTTATTTTGCATTAGAATGGAAATAACAAATGTATTTTAAACTTGGCCTTGGTCAAACTTGGTTTTACTGTAGCAAATATTCATTTATCATCACTGGGTTAACTAATTTTGTACAGTAAAACCATCTTTTATGTGGGTTAAGCTGAAATACAATACTGTTATATATGAATACGCTTGCTGTTCGGTGTGAGCCAAGGCTCCGTGTTGAAGACTGTACTTTGACCTATAATGGTTTACTTTTATAAATTTTGACTTGGATGGAGAGTTGTCTCATTGGCACTCATACTACATCTTCTTATATCTATATACATCCTAAATAGAATCTAATGAATTCATCTTGTTTTTAATAATTGTGTTGTCTTGGCAATCTAAAATTCCAATTTTGTTCAGTTTGCCAAAAAGTTGAGTAATGTTCACATTATGTGTCAAACAATACTTTATGGAATACATACATGCTTATAGAAATATTATCAACGGGTAAATAGATTTATTTTTGGTTATCAATAAAATTTTTGATCATATTCACATCTTTACACTCAACTATCTTCATCAATATTAAAGTTAAAAGGAACAGAAAAACTAGACCTTAGATTCAACAGAACAAATTTAGTTCTTCCATGTAAAGTGTGGACACATGTATTTTAATGACAAACCAGAAGAGTGGAATCTATTGACAAAACTTCTTTACAGTTTAAGCACACATCTTAATTGCTGTTTAATAGTATCAAGGTTTTTAATGCAGCAATATTTGATATTGAATTTGTTTTGAATTTTAAAGAACAGATTTTTATGTTAATGCTGTTGAATTGTGTTAAAACAGGAGAGTTTTAATAAAGAATGGCAGATATAAGAAAAGTTTTAATTGTTAGTATACTTTAACATAGATCTTGGCAGTATTTGTAGCACTTGAAAAAAAAATTAAAACAACATGTTAAAAATTTCATGCTTCCGAAACGCTTTTCTGGATTTACCTTCATTAGGAACGCTCAATGCAGAATATTTGAATGCCAATGATGTATAAGAACAGAATCAGTTAAGGAGCTATATGACCAAAAAGGACATAAAAAAATAGCCAAAGGTCAACTTTGCCCGAGGGAGTTGTAAACTTAGTTTCTTTATCATTTGAAAATTTATAAACAGACAGTTTAAGAAAGGTTTGTTATAAATCATGTCAATACCAAACAAACTTAAGTACTGACTACTGACCTGATGATACCATCGTGGACTGATAGTCCACCAGCAGAGGTATGGACCCAGTGCTGTTAAAAAATGAAAACAACACATATATTCATGCATCCAAAGTGCTTTTCTGGATTTACCTTAAGGAAGTTTGCTACTCAGTTTCAAAATAACAAGCTTTTCATAACACTATTATATATTGATAGGGGATTAATAAAGGAACCAAAAGAGCAAAAAAAAATATAGGTCCATGTGCTTGTTTTTGAGATATAAGCCATTGAAATTTTGGCGGGAAAATGTTCTCTCTTGATTTTTCATAGCTTTATCATTGACAAGTTTAAGTTCTCAAAAGCTATTGAAAAATAACAAAGATTTTATAAGACTTTTACAGATGCCTTATATTTATACATGTAAAAGATTTATAAAAAGAAAAATGGGGGTTAGTGGGCAAATTTTTTTAAGGCATTCAAATGGATACAACCAGAGGATTCCGAAAATCTGACAAAAATTCCAAAACATGACAAGCGAACATCCTTAAGGAACACTCAGAGTAACATGTGTTAGCAGCATCAATAATTTAAGTTTGTGATGAAGTCAGTTTAAAAAGAACCACTTATCGTAAGTCAATGATAATGATTACTTATTTTTTTTGCCAACATTAGGGAGCTACCATTTGATTTTTATGGGGGGGCTAGGATGAAATTTGAAAAAAATAGGCAGGACAGGTGTTTTGAGTAAAAAAAAAAAAGGCAGGATATGATTATTTGCAAAAAAAAAAAGGCAGGATAAACTGAAAAAAAAAATGCAGGACCGAATAGAGTGAAAAATAACTAGGCAGGACCGAATAGAGAGAAAAATAAAAAGGCAGGACCGAATAGAGAGAAAAATAAATAGGCAGGACCGAATAGAGAGAAAAATAAATAGGCAGGACCGAACAGAGAGAAAAATAAAAAGGCAGGACAAAATTTTTCATCCTAGCCCCCCCCCCCATAAAAATCAAATGGTAGCTCCCTTATAAAAGCTGAATGTGGAAATTATATTTTCCTAGTAGCAGTCAAATATATTATTGGCAAGTCAATAATTCAAACCTTATTTAAATCTATAGTCATGCGACCTACAATTTCAACCTTAGCTGGAGATGGGTTGTGCATGTTCTGTTTTTAGAAAGAAGAGAATGTCAACATTGGAAAGTGAAACAAAGCAGCCACCAGAAAGAACCACTTTGAATAGATATAGGAAGATGTGGTATGAGTGCCAATGAGACAACTCTCCATCCAAGTAACAATTTATAAAAGTAAACCATTATAGGTCAAGGTACGGGCTTCAACAAGGAGCATTGGCTATAAAGGGCCCCAAAAATTACTAGGGTAAAACCATTCAAACGGGAAAACCAACGGTCTAATCTATATAAAAACGAGAAACGCGAAACACATATGAACTACATGAACAGACGACAACTACTAGACTTGATTTGGCCTACAAAAATCATTTTTTTACAAGTAAAAGGATTACTTTATTCAACTATGACATAAAATCAAACAGAAAAATCTTCTTTATTTGATAGCAGGTGCTTGTCTGTTTATTTATAGTTATATTTATGTTTATATCAGGTCATATGACTATGGGCATTATTCTGAGGTCATCTCAATTGTTAATTAGTCTTAAGTAGTGTTGTCAACAGTTAGTCGGTTAACTGGTTAACTGTCGGAAGGACCGAATATCGAATACCAAAACGCTAACCTGTTAACCGGACCTTTTTTCAATTTTAATAGATTTGATATAAATGTGTATTGAAAGCATTAAATACATTTTGTTAAATTCTAAATTGATCATCGTGGTAATTAATTTAACATTTCATTTCCAGTATTTTAATTCCTATTGTTAACCTTGAAAACATAAAATTAATTGGAACAAAGACAACTTGTCTATGAGCTCGGGGTCAAGATCTTAAGTAAACATATTGGCACTCATACCACATCTTCTTATATCTATATTATCAGCATACATGTATTTTGAACAGTTATAAGCCGATTAAATTTTATGATTTACTTAATGTTTTTATTTCTTATTTAATATTGCGTAGACCTACATCTAAATATGCTACCTCCATCGTCGAAGGTGTTGTCTCATACTTTAAACAAAATGCCGACTCAAAAATGGTGAAATGCAAATCAACGTGAACGTAACTAATGCATTCTGGGTCGCCTAACCATCTCAAATTGAACATTCAACATTTTCTTTTGAGAAATCAAGGAAAATGAAACAATCAACGATTTCAGATATTGTCAATTCGACGAAATCAAGAAGATTTTCATCTTCTCAATATGAAGTTATTTCAAACGTCATAGTAAAAACAATAGTATTGGATTAATAAAAGTAAAACTTCTTTAAGAATGCTCAAATTAAAACTAAGCCTTATAATGCCCAAGGATAAACTGCAAGTAATCGTATCATAAAAAATGTACATTTGTAGGGTACTATAGATAAGGCCTTTACACATCACCTGAACTACTGGTTAACCGGTTAATCGATAGAAAGATTATCAGAGTATAAACCGGTTAGTCAAAACTGTTAGATTTGACAACACTAGTAAGTAATCTATTATAGATACAAAATGCTGATACATTATGAGCATGCATTATTAACTGTTTCCTTTGGACATTTTGTAATTTGAGTATATGTTATAAATCACATATGAGAAAGTCAAATCGGTGAACATGAATTTGACAGCTAATGCCCCTTTAAAATTCTGCACTGATTACATGTTAAAGTTTATTATCAGATCAGAATAAAAGGAACGAGCAATGAATAAGAAAAAACAAGGTTGAGCATGCTCACATGAAGCTTGATACAAAATTTCAGGGAGCTCAGATTAGTACTTCTAAGGGGAATATCAGGGAGCTCAGATTAGTACTTCTAAGGGGAATTTCATGGGATGTTGACACATACATGAGTTATAACACAACGACTGCCATCTTTGGATCAGGGGTATTATAAAACAAAACAAACAAATGTCCAAAAGGCTTAGGTAACTTTAACCTTGAATTATTGTATAGACACCTGTCAGTTGTTTAAAATTGTATGTAGAGTCCTATAGATGGTCTTTTGGTAATTTGTGTTATTAGGTTACTGTTTCATTGACACATTGTATAGACACCTGTCAATTGTATGTAGAGTCTTATAGAGGGTCTTTGGTAATATGTGTCATTAGGTTGCTGTTTCATTGACACATTGTATAGACACCTGCCAATTGTATGTTGAGTCCTATAGATGGTCTTTTGGTTATTTGTGTCACTAGGTTGCTGTTTCATTGACACATTGTATAGACACCTGTCTATTGTATGTAGAGTCTTATAGAGGGTCTTTGGTAATATGTGTCATTAGGTTGCTGTTTCATTGACACATTGTATAGACACCTGTCAATTGTATGTCGAGTCCTATAGATGGTCTTTTGGTAATTTGTGTCATTTGGTTGCTGTTTCATTGACACATTGTATAGACACCTGTCAATTGTATGTAGAGTCCTATAAATGGTCTTTTGGTAATTTGTGTTATTAGGTTACTGTTTCATTGACAAATTGTATAGACACCTGTCAATTGTATGTCGAGTCCTATAGATGGTCTTTTGGTAATTTGTGTCGTAGGGTTGCTGTTTCATTGACACATTGTATAGACACCTGTCAATTGTATGTAGAGTCCTATAGATGGTCTTTTGGTAATTTGTGTCATTTGGTTGCTGTTTCAATGACACATTGTATAGACACCTGTCAATTGTATGTAGAGTCCTATAAATGGTCTTTTGGTAATTTGTGTTATTAGGTTACTGTTTCATTGACAAATTGTATAGACACCTGTCAATTGTATGTCGAGTCCTATAGATGGTCTTTTGGTAATTTGTGTCGTAGGGTTGCTGTTTCATTGACGCATTGTATAGACACCTGTCAATTGCATGTCGAGTCCTATGGGTGGTCTTTTGGTAATTTGTGTCGTTGGGTTGCTGTTTCATTGACACATTGTGTACACACCTCTCTGATGTATGTGGAGTCCTTTAGATGGTCTTTTGGTAATTGTGTCATTAGGTTGCTGTTTCATTGACACATTGAATAGACACCTGTCAATTGTATGTAGAGTCCTATAAATCGTCTTTTGGTAATTTGTGTTATTAGGTTACTGTTTCATTGACACATTGTATAGACACCTGTCAATTGTATGTCGAGTCCTATAGATGGTCTTGTGGTAATTTGTGTCATTAGGTTGCTGTTTCATTGACATATTAAATAGACACCTGTCAATTGTATGTCGAGTCCTATAGATGGTCTTTTGGTAATTTGTGTCGTTGGGTTGCTGTTTCATTGACACATTGTGCAGACATCTGTCTATTGTATGTGGAGTCCTATAGATGGTCTTTTGGTAATTGTTTCATAAGGTTGCTGTTTCATTGACACATTGTATAGACACCTGTCAATTGTATGTCGAGTCTTATAGATGGTCTTTTGGTACTGTGTGTCATTAGGTAACTGTTTCGTTGACACATTGTATAGACACCTGTCTATTGTATGTCGAGTCCTATAGATGGTCTTTTGGTAATTTGTGTCATTGGGTTGCTGTTTCATTGACACATTGTATAGACACCTGTCAATTGTATGTAGAGTCTTATAAATGGTCTTTTGGTAATATGTGTTATAAGGTTGCTGTTTCATTGACACATTGTGTAGACACCTGTCAATTGTATGTCGAGTCCTATAAATGGTCTTTTGGTAATTTGTGTCATTAGGTTGCTGTTTCATTGACACATTGTATAGACACCTGTCAATTGTATGTCGAGTCCTATAGATGGTCTTTTGGTAATTTGTGTCATTAGGTTGCTGTTTCATTGACATATTAAATAGACACCTGTCAATAGTATGTCGAGTCTTATAAATGGTCTTTTGGTAATTTGTGTCATTGGGTTGCTGTTTCATTGACACATTGTATAGACACCTGTCTATTGTATGTCGAGTCCTATAGATGGTCTTTTGGTACTGTGTGTCATTAGGTTACTGTTTCATTGACACATTGTATAGACACCTGTCTATTGTATGTAGAGTCTTATAGAGGGTCTTTGGTAATATGTGTCATTAGGTTGCTGTTTCATTGACACATTGTATAGACACCTATCTATTGTATGTGGAGTCCTATAGATGGTCTTTTGGTAATTGTGTCATTGTGTTGCTGTTTCATTGACATATTGAAAGACACCTGTCAATTGTATGTCGAGTCCTATAGATGATCTTTTGGTAATTTGTGTCATTAGGTTGCTTTTTCATTGACACATTGAAAGACACCTGTCAATTGTATGTCGTGTCCTATAGATGATCTTGTGGTAATTCGTGTCATTAGGTTGCTTTTTCATTGACACATTGTATAGACACCTGTCAATTGTATGTTGAGTCCTATAGATGGTCTTTTGGTAATTTGTGTCATTAGGTTGCTGTTTCATTGACACATTGTATAGACACCTATCTATTGTATGTGGAGTCCTATTGATGGTCTTTTGGTAATTGTGTCATTAGGTTGCTGTTTCATTGACACATTGTATAGACACCTGTCAATTGTATGTTGAGTCCTATAGATGGTCTTTTGGTAATTTGTGTTATTAGGTTGCTGTTTCAATGACACATACCCTTCATCTCTTTGTTCAAAATGAAATAATAAACTGCTACGTTGAGCGCAGCTGGATAAGCCCGCAGAGGTCCAACCCTGAACCGTTGGGGCAAAAATGGACACAATATTCAAGCTTGATACAGGTCTGAATTTGGATTGTAATTAAATATTTGACATATTATAGGTTTCTGAATAAATGTAGTCAAAGAACTTGAAATTGGTTATATGAATTGAATTTATATTCAATTAAAGATTTCTTGCTGTTGTGCAATACACTATGCTGTTGCGCAATACTTAGTAAATCTGTTGTCAAGACTATAAACAAATAAAATTTATAAAATTCTAAAGGGAGCTTACATCAATAGATATAAACAATTCACCAAAGTTTCATAAGAATTGCTGAAAGCATTTTTGAGTTATTGTCTGAAAACTGGAAAATCCCCCCTTTTTTTTTAATGAATAAAACCCTATAACTCGGAAATGTAAAATCTAAAATTTATAAAATTCTAAAGGGAGCTTACATCAATAGATATCAACAATTCATCAAAGTTTTATGAGAACTGCTGAAAGCATTTTTGAGTTATTGTCCGAAAACTGGAAAATCCCCCTTTTTTTATGAATAAAACCCAAAACCCCATAACTTGGAAATGTAAAATCTAAAATTTATAAAAATCAAAAGGGAGCTCATGTCAATAGATGTAAACAATTAACCAAAATTTATTGCAAGTTGGTGAAAGCATTCTTGAGTTATTGGCCAAAAACTGGAAAATCCCCCTTTTTTTTAATGAATAAAACCCCATAACTCGGAAACATAAAATCTAAAATTTATAAAAAACGAAAGGGAGCTCACGTCAATAGCTATATATGTAGATATAAACAATTCACCAAAGTTTTAAGCAATTTGGTTAAAGCATTTTTGAGTTAATGTCTGACATGTTGACGACGGACGGACGGATGGACAGACGGACAACAGTATACCATAATACATCCCGTAAACGGGTGTATAAAAATTAATGGAACATGATCTCTACTATAAAGGGAACAAAATCAGGTATATGTAAACAATATCCTGTAGACAAAACTATAAGCCTGGTATCTTTGATGAGATTTTCTTCCCTCCACTAGAGCCCTTGTGACACTTATGTAAGCAGTTGATGTCAAGTCTCTTTGTGACACTAATGTAAACAGTTGATGTCAAGTCTCTTTGTGACACTTATGTAAACAGTTGATGTCAAGTCTCTTAGTGACACTCATGTAAACAGCTGAGGTCAAGTCTCTTCGTGGCACTCATGTAAACAGCTGAGGTCAAGTCTCTTTGTGACACTCATGTAAACAGTTGATGTCAAGTCTCTTTGTGACACTTATGTAAACAGTTGATATCAAGTCTCTTTGTGACACTCGTGTTAACAGCTGAGGTCAAGTCTCTTAGTGGCACTCGTGTAACAGCTGAGGTCAAGTCTCTTTGTGGCACTGGTGTTAACAGCTGAGGTCAAGTCTCTTTGTGGCACTCATGTTAACAGCTGAGGTCGTCTCTTTGTGGCACTCATGTTAACAGCTGAGGTCGTCTCTTTGTGTCACTTATGTAAACAGAGGATGTCAATTCTCCAGTTTCAGGTATTTCACTACTACTGAACCCAATTTTGCACTGGTTGACCTAATGACTTTGACAAAACAAACACCCTTTAAGATTGTGTCTGTAACATCAAATATTTTCAATCGGGATACGAAAAATTATGGGAAAACCTTTTATTTTCATAAACGGCAGACAAACTTATTGGAATTGTGACTAGATACATGTGAAGATATCCATAATCTGTAAAACAGATAGTTCATTACAGTCAATTGAATCATGGTGCTTATGGTTGACACCATTGTTGATGATCACAAATTGATCCTTTGGAGGATTCCTTCAAAGAAATGTTGGTACACTCTACTCCAATCTTAATTGACTAGGATTGTCAGTTTTCCTATCGAAGGTCGGTGGTTTTCTCTGGGCACTCCGGCTTCCTCCACCAATAAAAACTGACCGCCACGAAATAGCCCAAAAGTGGTGCTTAAAAGTGGCATTAAAACACCAACAATCAACAATCAAGGTAATGTTAATTCATAATTTATGTGTTGCTTTTATTATTTTGAAATTGCAACCGAAAAGTTGTCACAAAAATGAACCTCAAATTTTAAATTTAAAAAGCATTATCTGTATGTAGCATTTTAAGAAATCAAAATATTGTCCACTGTTCAACAGTAAGAAATCAAAATATTGTCCACTGATCGAGTCAGAAATCAAAATATTGTCCACTGTTCAACAGTCAGAAATCAAAATATTGTCCACTGTTCAACAGTCAGAAATCAAAATATTGTCCACTGTCCGACAGAATAATAAATGTACACAAAAATTTCTGAATTCACAGTCAGTAAGAAGATACCAAAGTAATTCACCTTATCGCTATTTGTCCGCCATTACTGGACATCACAAAAGTTCCTGTAAAATTTTGACGTCATAATAGAAAATATCTGATGCCACAATGGAAAAAGTGATTGTTGTATGACATCAAAAGTTCAAGCGGGACTGATTCTCGGGTCAAGTGGGACAGATTTCCAAATAGCGATAAGGTGTATAAACAAAGAAAAATCGTCACAGCTATAACAGAGTATAGACATTCATTCCAAATAGAAATAACTTTTTTTTAATTTAAAAGTGTACGACATATTAAATTTTAGACATAAGTCAATCTGTCCATTGTAGACCGATATACTGGTATATAAAACAATACACATCTGTCAGTTCTTCTATCTGAAAGTAGAAATATATATCTTATTAATAAGATGTCTTTAACAATTAATCTGAATAATAATTTCCCAACCTCTTATATTTCTTATTGATAAATTTATTATGATTGTCAAAACAAAGAGGAAAAGATTGCACACACTGAAATGTCTCGCATTATGTATAATGTTGACAGCTTTTGAGATAAAAATGAGTATCACAAAGACTTCATGGTGATCAATAAACCATGAAAATGAGGTCAAGTTCAGATGACCCCTGTCACATTCTGTATGTGCCTATCCAAAGTGAAGAGCCTGTAATGCAGTGGTTATCATTTGTTGCTGTACATCATATTTCTTTTCCTTTTATTGTTTTGTACATAATTCAGTGGTTATCATTTGTTGCTGTACATCATATTTCTTTTCCTTTTATTGTTTTGTACATAATTCAGTGGTTATCATTTGTTGCTGTACATCATATTTCTTTTCCTTTTATTGTTTTATACATAATTCAGGCTTTTAGGTCTTTCGTTTTAAATGTTTTACATTTTTCATTTCGGGGCCTTTTTAGCTTGTTATGCAAATGGGTTTAGCTCATTGTTGAAGACCTTTACGTTGACCAATAGTTGCTAACTTCTATGTCATTTGATCTCTGAAAGAGAGATGTCTCATTGCCAATCATACCCTATCTTCTTTTTATAATGAGCACCTAATTACACCTATGGAATGGAATTAACCTATAACTGAATTACTCTTGTATATTCAAGAAACTGAACACATAAATTGAAGAATATTTACGACTTTAGCAGTAGGTTTGCCAGCTCCATGTCCAGACTTTGTATCCACACGTATTACTAATGGGTTGGTCTGTAAACAAATATATTATTTCAGTTATGATGTAATTGAGTTAGAATTACAATCAATGTTTGATATTAAAGTTTATCATTTCATCAGGTAAAATAATTTTATCCGACTTACTGCCTTCTGTAACTGGAACCATTCTTTAATGAAGTGTTTACAGATTTTGTTTTTAAAGTCTTCTGTGATAGATGTTAATTTATAAAGGCTCCTTTCTTTTTAAAATTTTATTTTGTGTCTTAACTGTCCCGCTCCTTTCTTTTTAGAATTTTATTTTGTGTCTTAACTGTCGCCAACATCCACTTTTGGAGTAAGATATATGTTAAACGACCCTTCTACTAATACTACACAATGATTAGTACTATATTCAATCAGTAATATATTCTACACAATGATTAGTACTATATTCAATCAGTAATATATACTACACAATGATTAGTACTATATTCAATCAGTAATATATTCTACACAATGATTAGTACTATATTCAATCAGTAATATATTCTACACAATGATTAGTACTATATTCAATCAGTAATATATTCTACACAATGATTAGTACTATATTCAATCAGTAATATATTCTACACAATGATTAGTAATATATACTACACAATGACTAGTACCATATTCAATCAGTAATATATACTACACAATGACTAGTACTATATTCAATCAGTAATATATACTACACAATGATTAGTACTATATTCAATCACTAATATATACTACACAATGATTAGTACTATATTCAATCAGTAATATATTCCACACAATGATTAGTACTATATTCAATCAGTAATATATTCTACACAATGATTAGTACTATATTCAATCAGTAATATATTCTACACAATGATTAGTACTATATTCAATCAGTAATATATTCTACACAATGATAAGTACAATCTGTAATATATTCTACACAATGATTAGTACTATATTCAATCAGTAATATATTCTACACAATGACTAGTACTATATTCAATCAGTAATATATACTACACAATGACTAGTACCATATTCAATCAGTAATATATACTACACAATGATTAGTACTATATTCAATCAGTAATATATACTACACAATGATTAGTACTATATTCAATCACTAATATATACTACACAATGATTAGTACTATATTCAATCAGTAATATATTCTCTACACAATGACTAGTACTATATTTAATCAGTAATATATACTACACAATGACTAGTACCATATTCAATCAGTAATATATACTACACAATGATTAGTACTATATTCAATCAGTAATATATTCTACACAATGATTAGTACTATATTCAATCAGTAATATATTCTACACAATGATTAGTACTATATTCAATCAGTAATATATTCTACACAATGATTAGTACTATATTCAATCAGTAATATATACTACACAAGTAATATATACTGCACAATGATTAGTACTATATTCAATCAGTAATATATACTACACAATGACTAGTACTATATTCAATCAGTAATATATACTACACAATGATTAGTACTATATTCAATCAGTAATATATTCTACACAATGATTAGTACTATATTCAATCAGTAACATATTCTACACAATGATTAGTACTATATTCAATCAGTAATATATACTACACAATGATTAGTACTATATTCAATCAGTAATATATTCCACACAATGATTAGTACTATATTCAATCAGTAATATAAATGATTAGTACTATATTCAATCAGTAATATATTCTACACAATGATTAGTACTATATTCAATCAGTAATATATTCTACACAATGATTAATACTATATTCAATCAGTAATATATTCTACACAATGATTAGTACTATATTCAATCAGTAATATATTCTACACAATGATTAATACTATATTCAATCAGTAATATATTCTACACAATGATTAGTACTATATTCAATCAGTAATATATACTACACAATGATTAGTACTATATTCAATCAGTAATATATTCTACACAATGATTAGTACTATATTCAATCAGTAATATATACTACACAATGATTAGTACTATATTCAATCAGTAATATATACTACACAATGATTAGTACTATATTCAATCAGTAACATATTCCACACAATGATTAGTACTATATTCAATCGGTAATATATTCTACACAATGATTAGTACTATATTCAATCAGTAATATATTCCACACAATGACTAGTACTATATTCAGTCAGTAATATATACTACACAATGATTAGTACTATATTCAATCAGTAATATATACTACACAATGATTAGTACTATATTCAATCAGTAATATTCAATCAGTAATATATACTACACAATGACTAGTACTATATTCAATCAGTAATATATACTACACAATGATTAGTACTATATTCAATCAGTAATATATTCTACACAATGATTAGTACTATATTCAATCAGTAATATATACCACACAATGATTAGTACTATATTCAATCAGTAATATATTCTACACAATGATTAGTACTATATTCAATCAGTAATATATTCTACACAATGAACCATAACATCAAACACACACGACATGTTTTTGTAATCAGCTGTTTTGAAAATTAGCCATTGCTGGTGTTTGACCAGGCCTGGTTCTATACACATCTTTTTTAAGATATTGCTTGAAATACTTTCTTACTACAGGAATGAATCACAATTCTATATAGACACACTCCTACATAGTCATGATAGTAGGATGGCTTATGCGCTAAATACATCCTCATATACTAAAATGTCATATCCACAAAAAATATACCATTTATCCAATAATTCATGCATATAAATATTTATAAAAACATGTTGTACATATCTGGTGCTGTCATATACATGTTTATACATCTGTGCATTACTTTCTTTCATCATTAACTGTTGTCAATTGTGGATTTGTCAACACCAATTTGTAGTACACCCAATAATTACCTGTTTTTCACAACCAGACATCACATGTTGTAATTCAGCTATATACTTCAATGAATGAAGGGGGACAACTCTATCATCATGGTCCCCTGTTAGCAGTAGTGTTGCGGGGTACTGTGAAGCTCCTTCTGGTACCTTTATATTATGCAGAGGTGAATATCTGTCAATAAATTTTAATATACTTTCAGATTCCAATAAGACAGAAGACGTATCCATTAACTACTAATTGACCAGAATATTGTTGAGAAGTAGAATCTTGATAAAATATTCTGATAAATCATTACAATAGTTGTTGAATTTATCCACTAATTCTACACAGCCTTCGTGACAGGTGCACCATGTGGAGCAGGATCTGCTTACCCTTCCGGAGCACCTGAGATCACCCCCAGTTTTTGGTGGGGTTCGTGTTGCTCAGTCTTTAGTTTTTTATATTGTGTTTTGTGTACTATTGTTTGTCTGTTTGTCTTTCCTTTTTAGCCATGGCGTTTTCAGTTTATTTTCAACTTATGAGTTTGAATGTCCCTTTGGTATCTTTCACCGTTCTTTTATGAAGTCTCATATGTTTTTTTGTTGTTGGATTGGCATTTACAAATTTTCTCAGGTTTATTTCATGTGAATTACGTTTACACACAACATTCTTAAATTATGATAAAATATTTTATGTTAAATTAATGTGAATATTTTGAACAAAAGCAGACTAATAGTTAGTACCAATTCTTCTATAATCATCCTGTATAAAAATATTGATAGCAATGAATTTCTTGAAAGATTTAAAGTGAAATGTAAACAATAGGTACAATCATGACATTCTAATTCATGGACAGCTATTTTATAGGTTTAAGGAGAGTATAATATATGATACTCTTTCCCCCAAAAAGAGTAAGATGTAAAAGATAAAATTTAGAGTTGTTCTATAAAATTGTAGTACATATTCCATTACTTTTATACGAAGGTGTAACAGAATTTCTACATACATGTATCTGTATTCCCTTTTCTAAAGTACAGAGAATTTTGTACATTTCAAATAAAGCAAAATATTTGTAAATTTCACTATTCTCTTACTTTATAAGATAGTTAAATTCCTCAGGTTTATCAGCACATCCAAAATCTGTTGTCCATGCATGACCAATAGTAAACATGTGGAACTTCAACATATCCATAACTCTATAAAAAATAAAAAAAACTTCAAACTTGTGGAACTTCAACATATCAATAACTCTATAAATAATAAATAAAAAGTTCAAACTTGTGGATCTTTAACATATCAATAATTCTATAAATAATAAATAAAAAGTTCAAACTTGTGGAACTTCAGCATATCCATAACTCTAGAAATAATAAATAAAAAGTTCAAACTTGTGGAACTTCAACATATGATATCCATAACTCTATAAATAATAAATAAAACGTTCAAACTTGTGGAACTTCAACATATGATATCCATAACTCTAGAAATAATAAATTAAAAGTTCAAACTTGTCATGCTTGTGGAGCTTCAACATATGATATCCATAACTCTAGAAATAATAAATAAAAAGTTCAAACTTGTGGAACTTCATTATATCCATAACTCTAGAAATAATAAACAAAAAGTTCAAACTTGTGGAACTTTATTATATCCATAACTCTATAAATAATAAATAAAAAGTTCAAACTTGTGGAACTTCAACATATCCATAACTCTATAAATAATAAATAAAAGTTTCAAACTTGTGTAACTTCAACATATTCATAACTCTATAAATAATAAATAAAAGTTTCAAACTTGTGTAACTTCAACATATCCATAACTCTATAAATAATAAATAAAAAGTTCAAACTTGTGGAACTTCAACATATCTATAACTCTATAAATAATGAATAAAAAGTTCAAGTCAAAAGTATGTTGTCAATGCATTACCAATAGTAAACTTGTGGAACTTCAACATATCCATAACTCTTTAAATAACAAATAAAAACTTCAATTGTTTTTAAAATAGTCATAGTATTTTGTCCTATATTAATATTATTTAAACATTAAATTATATTTGTAGCCACAGAAAAGATTATCAGGCCAAAATTAAAATTAAGTTTGTTTCCCCTTACCCGACGGACCCACTAAAAATCCGCCGACTGAAATAATTTTTTCGAAAATCACGTTGTTGTTTTTTTTTTTTTCCATTTCCTTGAATGGTCCGTATTTTCAACATTCCGCGAAATCATTGTCGCCTGTGTGTTTGCAGCAAAGGGTAAACAACGTATGCAAGGATACTGAAATTGGAATGGAATAATGTTTTAAATAAATGCATCCGAGCAATCGTAACTACTCTGCTATTCTAGCAACGCCTCCAATAACAAAATGCATAGCGAGAATGGTCGAGTAGTTACGATTGCGCATCTGAGCTCACCCTTGAGCTTAAATGTTAGGCCTGGTGTTTCTGGTAAATCCCTGAGTTCGCCTTCATCAGTGGTCGACTCAATAAGTTGTATATTGGTGTGCTATTTATGCTATTTTGTTTCATTTCGTATGTTATATTGGACCATACACCAGTTGTCTTTGGATAAAATAGTAGTTGATTTTTTTTCGAGCTCAGTATCATATTGTGTTGTGAAAAGTCGAGATGACTATACCGGTAATGCTTTGATAACAGTTCTTGTAAGTTTTTATGTCTTTTATAAGCTTTAATGGGCTGATGATTAAATATGGTCACACATTCAGGGTTTTGTGAAATAAGATGCCAGTGTTTTATTATTATATTTTTAGTTTCTGTATAGATGGGTTGAATTTTGTTAACATTACTAGCGGTTGCTCCCGTTTCGCTGGGCGATGTGTTAGCAAGTTTTCCCTTTCTGTATTTTGTGTTTGATAAAAAAAAATCATTGATTTCAGATATTTGATATCCTCGTTTGAGCTTCTTACTGTTTTTTTAAGATCAGTTTTGCTGCTTGTGTTTCTGAGATACCTCAATACTTCACCCTTGATAAATCCTTTCAATGAAAACACTTTTTGGGTGTGAGCTGTGTCTGTGCAGATATTGATATGTTTCAGTTGGTTTGATATTGGTTTTAATGTCTTGTATCATACTATGCCTTCGTTAAAGAATCTTTCTCCTTTGTATAATTATGACAGTGTCTAAGAATATTGTTTCATTACAGGAAAATTCGTAGGTGAACTTCAACTATCATTATCATTTTGTATCTCTGTGTTGAAAGCGTTGTAAAATGTGTTCAAGAATTAACAAACATTGTAAGGTCTGCTAACTCAGCGAATGCTGATCCGCACATAGGCACGCCCAAGGTTTCATGGTAAAGTTTATTGTTAAAAATAAATTCATAGTTTTCTAGAATAAGCCTTAATAGGCATAGCCATACTCGCTTGGATCACGGTTTGTGGCTTCTAGTATTTCCTTAAATGAAAAACAAGTGTATATATTTTTTGCATCGAATGTTACTAGGTAGCAGTCTCGTTGGGGTTTTATATTTTCAATTGAATTAATAAAACTATAAGAAAAATATAGAACCGTGTCTCAATTTATATGTAGTCTACTCTAAGTCACAAAGACTTATATATTTACAAACATTTTCTAGTCTGAAATTGTAAGGTCTTCTAGTCATGCATAATACGTTATACAGTATGTTGTTTTAGTATCAATAAAGTTCAATTTGTTGTTTTTCTGTGTTTTCCTGTGTGTTAGATATATTTCAGGGATTTTCTCTAAAAAAAAAAAAAAAAAAAAGCTGACCTACCTACCCACTTCCAAAATGGTGGGTAGGGTAAGGGGAAACAAAGATATTTTTAATTGCGGCCTCATAAGCAGGGCAGTATATTCTATCTTACACCACATGTACATTGTTTAAGGCAGCAAAGAACCAAATCTTCTCTTAAAAACCCACAAATGTTTGATGATCTATATCATTATCAACAGGTTTATACTTACAACATGACCAGTGCCACGTGTGGAGCAACATGACCAGTGACACATGTGGAGCAACATGACCAGTGACACATGTGGAGCAACATGACCAGTGACACATGTGGAGCAACATGACCAGTGCCACAGGTGGAGCAACATGACCAGTGCCACATGTGGAGCAACATGACCAGTGCCACATGTAGAGCAACATGACCAGTGCCACATGTGGAGCAACATGACCAGTGACACATGTGGAGCAACATGACCAGTGACACATGTGAAGCAACATGACCAGTGCCATGTGTGGAGCAACATGACCAGTGACACATGTGGAGCAACATGACCAGTGCCACATGTGGAGCAACATGACCGGTGCCACGTGAGGAGCAACATGACCAGTGCTACGTGTGGAGCAACATGACTAGTGCCACGTGAGGAGCAACATGACCGGTGCCACAGGTGGAGCAACATGACCAGTGCCACATGTGGAGCAACATGACCAGTGACACATGTGGAGCAACATGACCAGTGACACATGTGAAGCAACATGACCAGTGCCATGTGTGGAGCAACATGACCAGTGACACATGTGGAGCAACATGACCAGTGCCACGTGTGGAGCAACATGACCAGTGCCACGTGAGGAGCAACATGACCGGTGCCACGTGAGGAGCAACATGACCAGTGCTACGTGTGGAGCAACATGACCAGTGCCACGTGAGGAGCAACATGACCGGTGCCACAGGTGGAGCAACATGACCAGTGCCACATGTGGAACAACATGACCAGTGCCACATGTGGAGCAAGATCTGCTTACCCTTCCAGAGCTGGTTTTTTTGGTGAGGTTCATGTTGCTATGTCTTATAATAGTTTTCTTTATTATACTTCACGTAAAAATGCAATATTTTGATTGGCTTATATGAGGGTGTTAATTTACTCTATTCTATGGTAAATACTCTATTACCCTTCATGGAGACGCTTGATCAAGTGTGCGCTTTATTAAATACGGATGGTTGTTATGTACAAGACGTCATAGTTATTACTTTGAATTTGAAATTTAATCGACAGTAATAACAGAACATTCAGTATAATAAATTAAATAACACATATCTGAGAGGGTGATAGAGCAGATTGTTACCCCTCGAAAAGACAGTTGACAATGTTTTCTCGGGGTAACAATCTGCTCTATCACCCTCTCAACTATGTGTTATTTATATAATGTTGTGTATTGTATACTGTTGTTTGTCTTTGGTTCTTTTTTCGTTTTTTGACATGTTTCTGTCAGTTTGTCATCAACCTATCAGTTTAAATATGCCTTTGGTATCTTCCACCTCTGTTGTGCATCTACATACAATATCAATCCTTTGTAACAAGCAATGTCAAATCTACATGAAATTAACCAGGAAGAATAAAAAATATAGCTAACAGTTGCACAGTGACAGTGACTTACCCAACTTGATTTATAACACAACCAAACAGATCTGGTCTCTGATTGGCACAGGCAGCCACAAGTAAGCCTCCATTTGATCCACCATTGATTGTTATTCTACAAAAGACACTCAATCATTCAATGTCAGACACCAGAAAATCAACAATGATAATTGAAATGAAAGTTACCTTCATCAGTATTCCCTTCAGATATAAACGGGTGACATGACCAACTTATTATATAAATCTGACAATTGGGCCATTTTCTTGGACCAATTGTACATCTTGTTTGTTAGTTTTTGCAAGTCTATTTTTTTCAGAGAAGTTTGTTTGGTGTTAGGGTAGATCTGGTGTAAAATCGTTCCATAATTTTAACAATTCCTGTTATTGTATTCTTGTAAATTAAAAATGAGAAAACTAGAATACTATTACCAGTATATTAATTTTACTACTATCTTTTCTTTCTTTTTTTATTTAATATATACTGATTTTATTAACTAGAGGCTCTAAAGAGCCTGTGTCGCTCACCTTGGTCTATGTGCATATTAAACAATGGACACAGATGGATTCATGACAAAATTGTGTTTTGGTGATGGTGATGTGTTTGTAGATCTTACTTTACTGAACATTCTTGCTCCTTACTATTATCTCTATCTATAATGAACTTGGCCCAGTAGTTACAGTGGAAAATATTTTGTAAAAATTTACAAAAATTTACAAAATTTATGAAAATTGTAAAAAATTGACTATAAAGGGCAATAACTCCTTAAGGGGTCAATTGACAATTGTGGTCATGTTGACTTATTTGTAGATCTAACTTTGCTGTACATTATTGCTGTTTACAGTTTATCTTTATCTATTATAATATTCAAGATAATAACCAAAAGCTGCAAAATTTTCTTAAAATTACCAATTCAGGGGCAGCAACCCAACAACATGTTGCCTGATTGGTCTGAAAATTTCAGGGCAGATAGATCTTGACCTAATGAACAATTTTATACCATCAGATTTGCTCTAAATGCTTTGGTTTCAGAGATATGAGCCAAAAACTGCATATTACCCTATGTATTATTTTTTTGCTATGTCGGCCATCTTGGTTTGCGGGCAGGGTCATCGGACACATTTTTTAAACTAGATACCCTAATGATGATTGTGGACAATTTTGGTTAAATTTTTCTTAGTAGTTTCAGAGGAGAAGATTTTTGTAAAAGATTACAAAAATTTACGAAAAATGGTTAAAAATTGACTATAAAGGGCAATAACTCCTTAAGGGGTCAACTGACCATTTTGGTCAAGTTGACTTATTTGTAGATCATACTTAGCTGAACATTATTGCTGTTTACAGTTTATCTCTATCTATAATAATATTCAAGATAAAAACCAAAAACGGCAAAATTTCCTTAAAATTACCAATTCAGGGGCAGCAACCCAACAATGGGTTGTCCGATTCATCTGAAAATTTCAGGGCAGATAGATCTTGACCTGATAAACAATTTTACCCCATGTCAGATTTGCTCTAAATGCTTTATATTCAGAGATATAAGCCAAAATCTACATTTTACCCCTATGTTCTATTTTTAGCCATGGCGGCCATCTTGGTTGGTTGGCGGGGTCATCGGACACATTTTTTAAACTAGATACCCCAATGATGATTGTGGCCAAGTTTGGTCAAATTTGGCCCAGTAGTTTCAGAGGAGAAGATTTTTGTAAAAGTTTACGGACGACGGACGACGGACGCAGGACGACGGACGCAAAGTGATGAGAAAAGCTCACTTGACCTTTCAGGTCAGGTGAGCTAAAAATCACTTTTCAATTACATGTACTATAAGTTTCTAACCTTTTAGCGCAAGTGTAATTAGATTTAATCAGATATTCAGCTGCCGCCTGGAAATCATTAAAAACATTCTGTTTGTTGGCTAACATCCCACCTTTATGCCAAGTCTCACCATATTCTCTACAGAATAAAATAAAACAATAAAAATATTCTGTTTGTTGGCCAAAATCCCTCCCGACCATATCTTTTACAGAATAAAATAAACATAAACACATTCTGTTTGTTGGCAAACATCCATTCTTTATGCCAAGTCTCACCATATTCCCTACAGAATAAAATAAAACAATAAAAGTATTCTGTTTGTTGGCTAACATCCCACCTTTATGCCAAGTCTCACCATATTCTCTACAGAATAAAATAAAACAATAAAAATATTCTGTTTGTTGGCCAAAATCCCTCCCGACCATATCTTTTACAGAATAAAATAAACATAAACACATTCTGTTTGTTGGCTAACATCCATTCTTTATGCCAAGTCTCACCATATTCCCTACAGAATAAAATAAAACAATAAAAGCATTCTGTTTGTTGCCTAACATCCCTCCTCTTTCCCAAGTCTAATTAAGTAAGAAAGCAAAGGTTTATCCAATCGACCAATCGGGTGAAAGAAAATCGTGGATAAAAATATGTACAATCCTCTCCCCTGATACGGACAACAGCAATAAATCCACCCAGGTGTTGACGTAATCAGAAAATAGAAAAGTTTTAATTAACAAGATGTACATATCCTATTCTCTGATATTGGCAACATCATAGACTACATCCAGGTGTTAAAGGTCAACCAATTGTGAGATAGAGAACCTTTGATTGATAGATATACATACCCTCCTCCTCTGATATTGGCAACAGCATAGACTCCTCCCAGGTGTTGAAGATAGACCAATCGTGAGACAGAGAAGCTTGGAGTGATAGCTATATTAAATCCTCCATACCCATACAACATGACAGGATTGTTACCATCTAATTTGACACCCTACAATGTATTCAAACTTTTGAAGCTTACGGTCTTTAAGAATGTCAATAGGACTTCCCACTAATATTACTTATAAATATTCAACTAAGTATTAATTTTTCTTACAGTCAAATTTAACATAATAATAATAAAAGTACTTAGGAAATTTTTCTTCAATCAACAAAAAAATTGGTACCCACGAAAATAAAGAAATCCACAGTATTACACCTACCTTTTAAATTCTTGATAAAACAATACATGAGCTGCATTGGATACAAAACAACTTTATGCACATGTATAAGACTTTGATTGATTTTGGAACATTCAAATACTAAATAAAGGATGAAATTTGGTCTGTTTTGTAGGGTTCTTATAACAACTAAATTTCAAAACAGTTACAGACTTTCTGTATAGATTTCTCAACCCGAAATAGGTCAACAGATGTATTGATATTCATTTGCATAAGGTTGATTTCTAACCGACGCAGCCCACATATTGTTGGTTTATCCAGGAAAAGTTCCCAATTGAAAATAAATTGTCATAATGATTGGATTAACAATGTTGTTCGAGTTAAAAACACTTAAACAAACAAATAAGAAAATCTGACACAAACCTTTTTAAGCACAATAAACATTGGTATCTTAGTGCCATCTTTACTAGGATAAAATACTTGTTTGGTCTCGAACTGGCTCAGATCAAAATTCTTGATCTTTATTTCTCGAAAGACCTAAAAAGTAGAAAATTCAGTTATAATGCATATATAAAAATAAGAAGATGTGGTACAATTGCCAATGAGACAACGCTTCGCCAGAGACAAAAAGAGATAGAAATTAACAAGTACAGAGCACTGTTAAAACTTTGACAATGAGCAAACCCCATACTGCTTAGTCAGCTATTAAAGGCCATGGAATGACAAATGTACAAACAATTCAAACGAGAACATGTTTTATATGATTAGGGGGCATAATAATATATATATTATTTGATATTTATAAAACATACGTCAAATCAAAATGAAATGACCAATTAAAGATTAAGCAGAACCATTCTTCTGATGTATTTTTTGAATGATGTGATGTATTTTCTAAAAAAAAAAATTCAAAATTGTTTACAAATAATAATAATAATTTATTCTATTAAAGTGTCACATACTTGTCTACAAAGTTATATACAGATTAAATAATATACATTGCACAATAATAAAATAAGACAAATATCCAGCCTTAATAGGCTTATGAGACACTATATATACAAATATATAAACTATTTAAAAATAAAAACCTTTAATACAAATTGTCAAACATAGTAAAATGTCAAAACTTTTATCAGAATTTTTCAAATACAAAAAAAATAAATGTGGATAGTGTCCACATGTGGACACAGATGATGCCCCCGCTTGCATATCATATAGTTATAAAGGGACATAACTGAAGAACGGTAAAAGTGACGCTACCCAAATTTGAACTTGATCTGAGTTTTGTGGTAATAAGCATTGTGTGTAAGTCTCATAACATTTGGTTGAGGCTAACTTAAGTAGAGAACAGAAACTAAAATTTCAGCAATTTTTCTATTTGTAAACACGCATAACTCTAGAACGGTTGTGTATATGTTTTACAACATTTGGTTGAGACAAACTAAAAAATTCAGCAATTTTTATGTTTATAAAGGGACATAACTCAAGAATGGTAAAAGTGTTGCCACCTAATTTCGTACTTAATCTGTATTATGTAGTAATAAGCATTGTGTATAAGTTTCATAACATTTGGTTGAGGCAAACTCAAGTTAGAGAACTGAAACAAAAAAATTGTACTTGATCCTTACTGAGTTTTGTGGTAATGAATATTGTGTATAGGTTTCATAATGTTTGGCTGGGGAAAACTTCAGTTACAGAATGGAAACTAAAAAATTTTGCAATCTTTTTATTTATAAAGGGGCATAACTCAATAATGGTTAAAGTGACACTACCCAAATTCAACTTGATCTGTGTTTTATCACTGGAAGTCAAAATTAAACATTGCATTGTATAAAGCAATGATTGTAGTTGATTCAACTATAATCATGGTCAAAGGAAGATAACTCCAATTTTAAAAATATATTATATAAACTTGATATTTAGAAGAAAATAAAAATTTTGCAATTTTTCCTTTTATAAAGGGGCACAACTCTAGATCGGTTAAAGTGACACCACCAAAATTCAAACTTGATCTGTGTTTTGTGGTAATAAGCATTGTGTATAAGTTTCATAACATTTGGTTGAGGCAAACTTAAGTTAGAGAACGGAAACCACTTTCGGGATGTACGTACGTACGTACGTACAGACGGACAAGGGTAAAACTTAATGCCCTCTCCGCTATGGCGGGGGCATAAAAAATATAAATGTAGATAGTGTCCACATGTGGATACAGATGATGCCCCCGCTTGCATATCATATAGTTATAAAGGGACATAACTGAAGAACGGTAAAAGTGACGCTACCCAAATTTAAACTTGATCTGTATTTTGTGGTAATAAGCATTCTGAATAAGTTTCATAACATTTGGTTGAGGCAAACTTAAGTTAAAGAAACGGAAACTAAAAATTTTGCAATTTTTACATTTATAAAGGAGCATAACTCTAGAACAGTTAAAGTGAAGCCACCAAAATTAAAACTTGATCTGTGTTTTGTGAAAATAAACATTTTGAATAAGTTTCATAACATTTGGTTTAGGCAAACTCAAGTTAGAGAACGGAAACCAACTTTGGGACGTACGTATGTACGTATGTACAGACGGACAAGGATAAAACTTAATGCCCCCACCGCTAAGGCGGGGGCATAAAAACTTTGAATAAAAACGACACAATTAAGTATGTCAAACAATTCTCCACCAAGAGTTACCTACCTTGGGTGTTTATGTATTGGTACTTATATCAGTGGTAGATCACATCTGGTGTCAGGAACAATACTCCACCAAGAGTTACCTACCTTGGGTGTATATGTATTGGTACTTATATCACAGTGGTAGATTACACCTGGTGTCAGGAACAATACTCCACCAAGAGTTACCTACCTTGGGTGTATATGTATTGGTACTTATATCACAGTAGTAGATTACACCTGGTGTCAGGAACGATACTCAATCAAGAGTTACCTACCATGGGTGTATATGCCCAGTAAACAGTATTCTAACACAATACAAATAATACTCTACCAAGAGTTACCTACCTTCGGTGTATATGTATTGGTACTTATATCACAGTGGTAGATCACACCTGGTGTAAGGAACGATACAAATTGGTAAAATATCTGAAATCAATAAAAAGTAAACTGTTAACACAGAGATATGTCTCGCCTATTTGTTATTTTGATAATGCAAATGTTGAAATTAAAATAGCAATACTTTAACATGTAAGTTATGCAAATATTCAAAGTCAATGAACCATGACTGAAGGTACAGGGCTAAACAATCTCCATGGAAATGAGATGTGCCAATGTTAATACAACTGCAAACCAAATACAATTGACTTTTCATAAGTCGTTCCCTTTAAACAAACCTAAACACAAACATTAACTTATAAACTATGTAAAAGGTTCAGTCAATGAACCATAATTAGGGGGTAGTGTTATATAATCTCCATGGAAATGAAACTTGCAAATGCCAATACATTTGTATACCGAATACCATTGACTTAACATTAGTGGTTCATCTTAAACTGAACAAATCACAAACTAATACATGTAAACTAAGCAAAAGTTTCAAAGTCAATAGACCATGACTGAGGGGTAGGGACCAAATTTTCTCCATGGAAATGAGATGTGCTAATGCTCATAAAACTGCATACCAATTATCATTGACCTACCACTAACGGTTCCCCTTAAACTGACCTAATCACAAACTAATACATGAAAACTAAGCAAAAGTTTCAAAGTCAATAGACCATGAATGAGGGGGCGGGGTCAAATAATCTCCATGGAAATGAGATATGCCAATGCTTATACAACTGCATACCAAATATCATTGACCTACCACTAGTGGTTCCCCATAAACTGACCTAATCACAAACTAATACATGTAAACTAAGCAAAGTTTCAAAGTCAATAGACCTGGACTGAGGGGGTGGGGCCAAATAATCTCCATGGTAATAAGATGTGCCAATGCTAATACAACTGCATACCAAATATCATTGACCTACCACAAGTGGTTCACCATGAACTAGACCTAATCACAAACTAATACATTGTTGACGCTGCCGCCGCCTGAAACAACATACTTATGTCTCGCTTTTTGACACTGTCAAGGCGAGACAAAAATCATAATTACCTGGTGTTTTTTACATCTTAATTATCCTTTTCATGCATTCAGACTTCCTTAATTTCTATGCAATTATTCAATTTTCATATACTAATATCAATTGATTGTTTTAAATTATTTCAACTGTGATATCTCCCTATTGTTCTAGATAGATAAGTATGCCTTTATTAATTTGTTATTAAAATACTTTCTCTACAGAATGCATATTTTTGCATTGGAAAAGGTCAGCACAAAGGTCATCTACAGGTGTTCACATCCAACCATGGAAGTGTGCAAAAGTAAAATCGATGTTGCCAGTAGTGTAAATATGTCCTCACAGAATATTTTCATTCCTAATCTGCTCTACAACTGTTTAAAAATAATCATGACTCAATACTTAAAATACTGTGGATTCATTATTATTAGTGGGATACCATTTATCATGGTTTTAGTGGGTACAGGTGAATCAAAAATTTAAATGTTCAATGAAGTACAATTTTTCTATGAAAAGTAAAGTTTTTCGCAATCCATGAAAACTGGTACCCTAGAAAATAAATGAATCCACTATACTAAGTATTTCTTAGCTTTAATACTTAATATTACCTCATGTTGCTTTTTCTTCCCTGAATAACCGGCCACTGTTCCCACATCTAATGGAAGTGTGGCATTTCTTTGTCCTGTGGCTAAATCATGAATGTATAATCTGTTCTGAAAAGAAAACACACAACATAATAGATATAAGAAGATGTGGTATAAGTGCCAATGAGACAACTCTCCATCCAATTCAAAATTTATAAAAGTAAACCAATGTCTAAATAGGTAGGGGGGTTTTGTGCACATTTTAACCCATCCACATCTACATTTTTGAGACTACCAAGTCAGGCTACATTAAATTGGTTTAACCCATCCAAATCTACATTTTTGAGATTGAAGTCAGGCTACATTAAAATGGTCTAACCCATCCACATCTTCATTTTGAAGCCATTGTAACTTTTATCATGTCAAGGTCGACCTCTGACCTATCTTAACATCCTCCAGATAACACAGTATAAGTTTACTGGTATTAACACAGGAGGCCCATTGTAACACACTTTTATCATGTCAAGGACGACCTCTGACCTACCTTAACATCCTCCAGATAACACAGTATTAGTTTATTAGTATTAACACACGAGGCCCATTGTAACACACTTTTATCATGTCAAGGAAGACCTCTGGCCTACCTTAACATCCTCCAGATAACACAGTATAAGTTTATTGGTATTAACACAGGAGGCCCATTGTAACACACTTTTATCATGTCAAGGTTGACCTCTGACCTACCTTAATATCCTCCAGATAACACAGTATAAGTTTATTGGTATTAACAAAGGAGGCCCATTGTAACACACTTTTATCATGTCAAGGTCGACCTCTGACCTACCTTAACATCCTCCAGATAACACAGTATAAGTTTATTGGTATTAACACAGGAGGCCCATTGTAGCACACTTTTTTCATCCTCTGGAACTAGGGTTGTCCATTTCTCCTGAATAACAATAGTCGAATCAATTTAATAATTCATCAAAACAACAATTTGCCACTTCAATCAAGCTGACTTTGCAGCAATAAATTTTTCCTGTCAAAATTGTTGAATTGACAGTAAACTGGGTTTTCTGTATTTTGAAAGGTGCTTTTAAGTTTTTGTTACCTGCCCAATTATATGCCTATTGATCAACAGTGTTCCAGCTAGGATTTCAAAAGGGCAGGGAGCCAATCATGAAAAGGGCACTTTAGCACGCTGATTGACAATTCAAAAAGGGCATGTCAAACATTGTCTTATGTAAACAGCAGGGATTTCAGCTAGGAGTTTTGAGGGCTATAGTCACTTTTACGCGAGATGAAAATCAGCCTTATTTTGGGTAACAGTAAGGGACCAAGGACGTATATTACTAGCTATACATGTATGCCCAAGACCTTCAATGACCAGGATCTTTGAAGGCCTTAAGCATGCTACAAATGTATGCAGTCATGGCATGATTTGACTGGTGTGATGATTGAATAAAAGATAAGAACGAGGATCCGCAAATTTAGTTCACAATTTCGGTTACTTTTAGAGGACATCCTGATCACAAGTTGATATTTGGAATTCATTTTTATAAACTTTGAACGATTAAAATGACTGTCTATTTTAATATTTATCAAGAGTAAATCATGTTTACATTCGATTTTTAAATGAAATGAAAACAAGATGTGACAAGTGGATAATAAATTTAGAATGAATCCGGATTCATCTACGGATTGGTTTGTGTTTAACAAAAAGGCAGGAAATTATCATTTTTTAAAATTAGGTTGCTCAGTAGAAATATATTTGTCTCTCTGGTTTAATTTGATACTAAATGATTTCCTATTTTACGTTTTTATGTCTATTAAATTTATAATAAAATGCTCCGCAGGGCGCAGCTTGATACGACCGCAGAGGTCGAACCCTGAACAGTTGGGGCAAGTATGGACACAACATTCAAACTTGATACAGCTCTGAATTTGGATTGTGATTAAATATTTGACACAGCATAGGTTTCTGACACAGAATGAATGTGGTCTAAGAACTTAAAAATTTTAAATTGGACATTCACCTATTATGGTCCAATATCCAAAATCTAAATACATGGTTAGATTCAGCATATCAAAGAACCCCAAGAATTCAATTTTTGGTGAAATCAAACAAAGTTTAATTTTGGACCCTTTTGACCTCAATGTGGACAAAGTTGATAACGGGGCCCAAAAATCAAAAATCTAAATACATGGTTAGATTCAGCATATCAAAGAACCCCATATATTCAATTTTTGTTGAAATCAAACAAAGTTTAATTTTGGACCCCGATTTGGACCAACTTGAAAACTGGGCCCATAATCAAAAATCTAAATACATGTTTAGATTCGGCATATCAAAGAACCCTAAGAATTCAATTTTTTTTTAAATCAAACTAAGTTTAATTTTGGACCCTTTGGACCTTAATGTAGACCAATTTGAAAACGGAACCTAAAATTAAGAATCTAAATACACGGTTATATTCGGCATATCAAAGAACCCCAATAATTCAATTTTAGATGAAATCAAACAAAGTTTAATTTTGGACCCTTTGGACCTCAATGTGGACCAATTTAAAAACGGGGCCCAAAATCCAAAAACTTAATACACGGTTAGATTCAGCATGTTAAAGAACCCCAAGAACTCAAGAATAAAACCCCACTGAAATTGGTCAAGAAATAAGCAATTTAAAGGAAGTATCTTCTTTTGCACAATACTGTACAATTGACAATTTCTTGCTATTGCGCAATATTGTGCTATTGAATATTTCTTGCTAATGTGCAATTGAAGATTTCTTGCTATTGCGCAATACTGTGCAATTGAAGATTTCTTGCTATTGTACAATACTGTGCAATTGAAAATTTCTTGCTATTGCACAATACTTATTATATAATAATTTACACATCCTGTTTGGTGTGTATCTCCTACCATATCATTATTATTTGCTTTTAAATATAAATCAGAAATAACCAAGTTAAAATGGAAAATTTTACAAGAAAGAAAAAAGGAAAGAAAAAAAAATCCCCCCCCAAATTTTTTGAACCCCCTTATGACTCATCACCCCCAAACTCAATCCCAGCCTTCCCTTTGTGGTATGGTACCTTGCAGTACAATTTCAGAGAGATCCATACACTTGGACACAAGTTATTGTCTGGAAACTAGAAAAATGCTTGTTTTTGCCCCTTTTTTGGCCCCTTATTCCTAATATTTTGAGGCAATTACCCCCAAAATCAATCCCAGCATTCCCTGTGTGATATGGAACCTTGTGGTACAATGTCAGAGAGATCCATACACTAACACACAAGTTATGTCTGGAAGTTACAAAAATGCTTATTTTTGGCCCCTTTTTGGCCCCTAATTCCTTAACTGTTGGTACCATAACCCCCAAAATCAATCCCAACCTTCCTTTTGTGGTATTGAACCTTATGGTAAAATTTCATAGAGATCCATTCACTTAAACTAAAGTTAGAGTGCGAAAACCAATGTGTCTTCGGACGACGCCGGACGATGACGACGACGACGACGACGCCAACGTCATACCAATATACGACCGCAAAATTTTTTTGTGGTCATATAAAATTACGTTCATGCATGCGCGGTACATGATAAAGAAAGCACATGTTTGAATCTTGAAAATATTTTTGAACGTTTTGAATTATGTTTTATTCTTTTTAATCGAAATTGTCGAAAGATTTTAATGAAAAGTTATATAAAATGTGACGAAAATACGTTCAAATGACGAAACAATGTCATCCGAGCTGCAATAAGTGATCGTGTGAGAAATTTTGAAATTAAAATGCGAACCCTCCAGGGAAAAACAATTTTGTTCAATTGACGAAACTACAAAAACATCTATGGATAAACATGATAAATGAACTGCAAATTGTGGTCTTTTTAGAAATATTGAAATTGAAATGCCGACTGACCGATTTTACTTGGAAAAATAATTATAATGGTCAATTATGATGTTTAATTAATTAGATTAGTGACCCATCCAATGGCATAAGCGGATTATCTGTAATCACAACTTATAACACCTTCTATTTATGTTAATTAGCTGAGGGTCATAAACTTGTCAGAAACATAAAGACAGGTAGAATTACAGTATTTTCATCAAAATATTACGACAATAAAGGCATGGACATGCGAAAAAAGGCAGGGCGTCAGAAAAAGGGCACAGGGTGGCAGTTGGGAAAGAGCGGGCAGACCACCCTGTGAAAACGATCAAGCTGGAACACTGGATCAAGGACCATAACTCAAGAACGGCAAAAGAGAAAATCGTCAATATCGAACTTAACCACCATTTTGTAATCAGTATCAGCATATTATAATTTTAAGAGTATTGGTTAAACTGTTCATAAGTAATTGACGGAAACAACATAAAGTGAAAACTTGTAATATCAAGAACCATAACTCCTGAATGGCAAAAATAAAAATTGTCCATATCAAATTTGACCACCAATTTGTTATCAGTAACAGCATATTTAAATTTTAAGAGCATTGGTTAAACTGTTCATAAGGAAGTGTAATTGCACAGAAACGACATTCAGTGCTATTTGTCAATCTATCAAGAACCATAACTCTTGAACAGTAAAAGTGATAATTGTCAATATCGATTTTGACCTCCATTTTGTCATCAGTATAAATCCATTAAAATTTGAAAAGCATTGATTAAACGGTTCATAAATTATTGCACAGAAACTGTTGGCAGCAGCCAGCAAATGCCATCCATACTTCACCAATATAATAACTGGTTTACCCTTCAGAAAACCAAGTTTAAAATTGGTTGAATATTAACTATATATTATTGATGTCAGATTTGACTTACCATTTCATAATCAGCCAAATCAATGTTAATCAGCTTGTATCTTGGTGACTTAAGATTGGTCTTAAATGTAAACACTGTCCCCTCGTTGGTAATGTACTACAAAAAAAGTTCTATAAATAATTTATCTCATTTAAATCTATCAAAGTCACAGCAATGAATTGAAAACTTCACTGATTAAGACAAATAATGTCTTGTATGATAGGTACCTAGTGAAAGTTTTTTTGTCATAAGAATTACAAAATCAGAACAGCAGTTCTAACGCTTAATATCATAAATCATCATACTGTAAACCGGGAAATTTTCGCGGCAGTTTTATTTTCGCTATTTTCGCGGTAAGAGTGGAAACGCGAAACTAAAACTTCCACGAATATTTCAAGGAAAACTGATTCAAAGAAAGAAACCCATCCATTAACATATACCAATAGGATTATGCACAGGGCCAATTTAGAACAACGGTTTTCAGGCGACAGATATTTGTCTATATCTCAAATTGAATTAAACTTTATTTCTAAATGAAAGGCAGTGTTAGAAATCAAAACATTTCAAATTAAAATGAAATCTATTTTCAACAAGCGGAATTTATTGATATTGTTATATAAACAACATTCGAGACAGTTATGAAAATGACACCTCATTTTTAAAATGATTACCACATTGTATCTGCTACACTGATTAATATGATCAAAAGATTGATTAATTAGGGGTACTCCTCGCAGCTTAATTTAAAATTCTCTTTATAAAGCTATTCTTTTATGTTAATTGTGTATGTGTTTTAACAAGCAAACATAAATATAGCGGTTAAATTATACTTCAACATACAAGCGAAATAACTTGAAATATACGCGTACACTAATGAACCGACGAAAACTGTTCACTTTGTTTAGACAAAAAAGTGTTTGATCGATTTTCAACACTTGCTTTACAATACATGTTAAACTGTACTGTAAAATCATTCACTAAAATTTGTACAGGACTCCTACAAATCGTGAATTCAAAACGTTGTGAATTAAGATTCAGTTGGTAATTCGCGAAATAAAGACGGCGCGAAAATTTCCCGGTTTACAGTATATAAATAAAGGCTTAAAATTAGTGATACATGTACTTTGTTTTTTTTTTCAGATATTACAGATCACCTTTAATCACTGTGCCTATCCTGAAGGCTTGTCCTTTTACAATACCATTTGCTGAAATGTTTGATCAATATTGACTTAACAATTGATAAAGAGATGCATCTGTACAATGTCAATGACAGATGTGAAATTCAAATCTAATAGGATTTATTTATTAGTAAGTATAATGTTTATTACATTGCACAAGTTTGCTTCATTATACTAACAAACATTCACTAGCAATAAGCTAAACGCTAAACTATTTTACCAGTTGATAAGTTTGTTGAAATGAATTCAAACTAAATTTGGTAAAACATTTTAGTAATTGGTATTGTGAAAGGAATTTAGGATGTGTACAGTAATATTCCCATAATTCATCATAGAGAGGCTTACTATTTACTGGTCAACAAATAAATATTTAAGGATTATTAGAACTGTATTTCAAGGTTTGCCACAATCAATTAGAGATTTGACAAGGATAAAAAAAAAGTGGGACAGAAGGTGTACGAAGGAACTGAGGATCAATGAATGGACACCAGATGGACTCCCCTATCACTATACAGAGGTGGATTTAAGGAGGGGGTGCCATCCCCCCAGCCTTATGGAGCTTCATATATAATAAATGCATAGACTTTTTACAAGTATCACTCCCTTTTTCAAAATCCTGGATCCACACCTGATATACACCTACCGCCTTAGAAACTGGGCGAGGGGTGATAACAGTGGCAAAAGATCATTCTAATAATAACTTTTATATTTGCACTAGAATGAAAAATAAAATGTGATTATTGCTGAGTTGTTTTGTTTTTATGTTTCATTATATTTACCTCATATTCTGCGTCAAAGTTGTCAACAACTTTGACAAATGGCAGAAGTCCAGCGATCCCATCAGGAAGGGTCTTCAGGTTAGTATAGTAAAGTCTGTTGACAGGATCACAGCCTTCTGATATCGCTAGGACTAAATAATCCCCACAGTCACTCACTTCGGCTCCCCTGAAAAGAAGAAATTAGGATTGTCAGGAAACACTGCCACTAACACATCTTTTGATTGGTCCTCCCTTGATCAATAGAATACTAACATCATACATTTAGGATTGTCAGGAAACTCTGCCACTAACACATCTTTTTATTGGACCTCCCCTGATCAATAGAATACTTACATCATACATTTAGGATTGTCAGGAAACACTGCCACTAACACATCTTTTGATTGGTCCTCCCAAGATCAATAGAATACTTACATCATCCATTTAGGATTGTCAGGTAACTCTGTCACTAACACAGCTTTTGATTGGTCCTCTCCTGAACAATAGAATACTTTCATCATACATTTAGGATTGTCAGGTAACTCTGCCACTAACACATCTTTTGATTGGACCTCCCCTGATCAATAGAATACTTACATCATCCATTTAGGATTGTCAGGAAACTCTGCCACTAACACATCTTTTGATTGGTCCTATCTTGATCAACAGAATACTTACATTATCCAATTAGGATTGTCAGGAAACACTGCCACTAACACAACTTTTGATTGGACCTCCCCTGATCAATAGAATACTTACATTATCCATTTAAGATTGTCAGGTAACTCTGCCACTAACACATCTTTTGATTGGTCCTATCCTGATCAATAGAATACATACATTATCCATTTAGGATTGTCAGGTAACTCTGTCACTAACACCTCTTTTGATTGGTCCTATCCTGAACAATAGAATACTTACATCATCCACTAAAGATTGTCAGGAAACTCTGCCACTAACACATCTTTTGATTGGACCTCCCCTGATCAATAGAATACTATCCATTAAGAATTCTCAGGAAAATCTGCCACTAACACATCTTGTGATTGGTCACCTCCTGATCAACAGAATAGTTACATTATCTACTAAGAATTGTCAGGAAACTCTGCCACTATCTAATCTTTTTGATTGTTCCTCCCCTGATCAATACGATTCAATAGAATACTTACATCATCCATTTAGGATTGTCAGGAAACTCTGCCACTAACACATCTTTTGATTGGTCGTCTCCCAGCCTATGATAAAACAGTTTTTGGTTGACATTACTGGTAGTCTCTGTCCCATCTGATTTTCCTTCTTGTTTGAGGTATTGCTAAAAGTATCAAAATCACATCAAAAGTATAAGATGTGGGAATCTAAGTGAAGAAACTGAAAAAATAAAATCAATACCGTAAGAATCTATCTAAGAACCAAATGGATAGTGAGAAAATGTCACTGCTTGTACACAACAATTTAGAAAAATGTTAAGCTGGTGGTTTGATATCAGTTGTGTAGGATATTGTCTTTCTCATCCCTTTATAAAGTAATCAGAAAGAAATGCTTTCTATGAATAAACTTGCATTCCATAGAACATCTGGTAGACTTACATTATAAAATAATCCTTTGTTATCATGAGTCCAGGCCAGACTTGTAAACTTAACATTCTCTAGAATATCTGGCAGATCTTCTCCTGAGGGTGCCTTTTTAAACTGAAAAATAAAACTATAAGAATAAAAAACTATAACTCCAATGCTGTATTGGTGGGCGTCATGGCAACCTAACATATGTTAAGTTTTATTTCATTGTGGAGCATGGTGATAAAATGTTCTATGAACCTGTCTCATCATGGCAAGTCATTTTTGGTTGCATAAAATGTGATTTTAATGACACAATATAAGATGACAACTCAAGTGTAAATACAGTTATTACTTTCAAAATATTTAACAAAATTCTCTGCCTAAATTATCTGACATTGATTGTAGTTGCCAATCCTTGGTATTGTACAACTCTAATATTGTTTCAAATACTTTTTAAAGATGTTCATATTTATTTTTCGTAAGAGGTACACAAAAATTTAGCTTTCAGCCAAATACAAAATGTGTATTTTTTCATCAAATATGATTTTTGAAGTATAAGAGATATGCTTTTTTTCATTAATTTTTTCTAGATCATGAACAAAAATTATTTTCTCCTGAATTTTCAGTGAATCTACAATATCTTTATTGTTAAAAGCTTAACACAATTACCTGAATTGTTACCCAATCAGAACCACTTTTACTTAAGCCATATGCAAAATATTCTCCATTTTCTGTGAATGCTGTATTTCTCAATGAAATAGTCCCATCTTCAGATAGTTTGTTTGGATCCAAGAAAACTCTGGGTTCACTTTCTAAAGTATCTTGTACATACAATACACTGAAAAATTTAATGAATCTTTATCCTGTGTAAGTGTTGTATTATTGGTTTAGAAAAATTTTGTGTGCAACATATTAAACTAGAGGCTCTAAATAGACGGTGTCGCTCACCTGGGTCTATGTGCATCTTCAACAATGGACTCTCTCCAGCATTGTAGAATTCATGACAAAAATCTCTTTTTTGTTAATCCTGTATTACTGATCATTTTTTTCTGTTTACAGTTTCTCTCTATCTTCTACAGTTTTTTGCCCAAAACACAAAATTGGATGAAAATAAAAAAATGTAATCTAAATTGTTATTAAAGGGCAATAACTCCAATAAGGAGTTGTATGATGATTTCAGCAATATGACTTATATTTGAAGATCTTGTCTTGCTGATCATTTTAAAGGGAAACTTCGCAAAAAAATAAAAAATTGATATTATGTCCATTCTGTATAAAAAAGCACAAATTCATAAATATTAAAGTTTTATTCTGCTATCACCATCGATTTTAAATTTAGAGTATCAATTCTCTGCGTGCGGCCATTTTGACATCTTCTCGGTTTAGAAACCCTGATATATCTATAAACCACAAAGGACCAAAACCAGCAGTAACCTAACGTAGTCGCATTTATCCGACTAACTAACTTGATACGGAAAATGTAATTATTTTTTTAAATAACTATGGTCTGTCGTTTTAAAACTGTTTTTTCTTTACGAAGTTTTTGAAACAAGAAATTTATATGGGAATTAGTTAAAAAGTCAAAGTTCAAAGTCATAAATAAGTGTTCCGTGTAAAATCGTTTTCGAAAATCTAATTTGTTCATAATTCTTTTATGTAATAAACTTATTTAAATAAATTCGGACCTCCTCTTATCTGATCACCAGCATGGCTAAAGGAATTATTCCCTGAGGTATTGTGAGGTGACACGTCCAGGTATTCAAGCGATTTCCTGTCGGGTTTAAAAACTCTTATTACACAATTACATAAAGCATGTTCATGCATCGCTTCACTTCTGAGGGTATTGATTAGTGTACACGGCCGATAACTTGTAACTTTCCATTTTAAAACTATCAGGTGTAATATACATCTTTGTCTTGCGTGTCCGATAGTGATATACTAGTCATTACTAAACTCATACGCTTGTTTATAAATAATATTTCTAGTGTAAAGAATGATATTTATGAAAATCTAAATAATTCCAAAAAAAGATTTGATAAAATAAAAATCTATTTACATATTTTTCCAAGGGTAAATTGGGGAAAATGTAAGTATATACTCGTTGTCAATAATGATGGACATTTTGAAACATGAAAAACTATTGATTTAAAAAATACGCACTTGTCGATCATTGGTTTATACGCCTAGATAGAAAGTTACGGAACTATAGATAGGCGCAATTTAAAATTGTATATTGAATATAAGAAAGAACATCTAGAACCAATTTGATTTAAATACAGGTCGATATCTAACTTACTTTGGTTCATCGAAGTTATGGACATAGTAAAATTACAGATTTATATTTCAATTAGATTGTTCTCGAACAGTTGAAGAAATTCGTCATCATCACAATTGTTGGGTATAATGTATATTAATGTGAACATGGTTCTAATAGAACCTTATGCCAATTTTCCTGTTCCGACATGCATGTAATATATATGCCACTGGACGTACACTAATGATCCCCAAAAGTTTATTTGAAAAAATAAAGAAACTTCACTCCAGATAGACTGATAGTAGTTGTATAAACGTCTGATCAGCTTGAGGGTTGATTAATTTATTACGTTAGCTTGTGGGGGAATAAACCATTCCCACTATTGCACTTATGCATAAAATATTAAATAAGAGTAATATAAGAGAAAATATAAATACGAAAAGTCGCATATCTGGTAAAAAAAAAAGTCTCACCAACTATAGGATTTCACGTACAATTGTCATTATGATCGAAATAACGGACAGTCATTAAAATACATGCATGTACGCTTTGATAAAAAGGGGTGCCGCAGTTGCATATTATTCATCATAAATCTATTTCAAGTTTATACTTTCCTGTTATTCTTATCAGTTAACGCAGAGACATGTAACTATACATCTCTAGTTAACGACAATCAACTATATAAATATCTGAATCTGATGTGACTTACCGTTCATCTCTAGTGGTTCATCTCTTTCTTTTTTTTTTCTTCTTTTTTTTTTTGATTTGGGCAGGAACATAAACATTGTTAGATATAATGTTCCCAGGTTTGAGGGGGGGGTTGGAGGTCAAGTCTATCGAAAGTTACAAAATAAGAACGTTGTATTTATGAATTTACAAGAAGAATTCTGTTCTTGGACGTAGTTTTCTCCTTTCTTTTTTTTTTAGTTCAGTGATTTAAATTGAGAAAAAATCTAGTCAGAATTTAAATCGTTCCGACAATCCCCCACCTAATACTCCTCTAAAATCATGAATGGTCATGCTTCACAATCATCAGAATTTACTTTGCATTGGTACATTCTGTATCGGTAGTGATTAACCTTGACATTTCCGGGTATAACAGAGCTACTTGTATATTACCTGTATGTGGTTAGGTACATCGTCCCATGAGGTCTTACGTATACAGGTTCACATTTATAATGGTTTCTGATATAACAAGGTTTTATGACATTCACACTTCTGCATGTTCTGTATACCAGTTTCTTATCTTATTTTCAGACCGAATGAGGATGTGAATATTTTCCAGGAAAAATATTGAGTATCAAAGTATCAAATTAATTTCGGGATTTTTTTCTTTCTTGGTATTAAATCACAGAAATTTAAAGATAATACTGCTTATAGATATAAGAAGATGTGGTATGAGTGCAAACGAGACAACCATCCATCCAAGTCACAATTAATAAAAGTAAACCATTATAGGTCAAAGTACGGTCTTCAACACGGAGCCTTGGCTCACACCGAACAGCAATTAAGCTATAAAGCGCCCCAACAAATTACTAGTGTAAAACCAGGAGTATTCTTGTCAGTTAAGACAGACATATAATTATATGTATATATATGTCTGCGGTATAGACATGGTTTATGAATGAATGATAAGTCTTACAAAGGTACAAGATATAAAGCACATTGAACATTGATTCCGCCGGTCTGTCTCCATTCAATAAAGGCAAGTTGACGTTAGATTGATTCTGTAAAAAATTTTAAACATCGTTGGTCAAATAGCTAAAGTATTTGTTGTGAGATGTAGAATATTTTAATAAGGACATTCCCGATTAGGTAAATGTAGATCGCTTTGGACGGACCAAATTATATTAATGTAACTGATAATTTTCTCTGCACATTTAAATATTCAAGGTTACCGATCATAATTCAAAATAGCACAGTTTTTGGTTTATACGCTCGTTTTCGTGGGCCATTTTTATTTATAAAATTATTTCATTGAAAGTTATTCAGAATTCCGATGTTACAACAAAATACTCACCCATCTATTTAAAAACTGAGCTAACGCAAAATATAAAAAATATATATAACGGCGATTCAGGTATTTTGCCACCATATTCCTCCCCAAATAATAATTTTTTTCTGTCTCAAACCCACATTTCTCAAAATAATTTTTGTTCTTAATTATTCGATCTCATTCCAATAAGACAAAGTTGACCTTAAATTTCTTGTCAACTTTTTAATTATCTTTCTTCAAATGGCTGAAGTATTTATACGTTGTGAGATTTAAAATATTTTGATAAGGACATTAATTCCTGAATATGTAAATAAAGATCGCTTTGGACGGACCAAATTAAATAATTGCAATTGGTAATTATCTATTTCAAATATTCAAGGTTACTGATTCTAATTTAAAATAGTACAATTTTTAGTTCATACACTCGTGTTTAGAATGCCATTATTATTTATTCAATTAAATTAATTCAGTATTTCATTGTTACAAAAATATTCAGCAGTCATAATTCATTTTAAACTGAGCTTACGGAAAACATAAAAATATACCACGGCTATCCAGTTATTGTGCCACCATATTACTCCCTCAAAATAATTATATTTTTTTTAATTTTCTGTCTCAAACTATCACTCCCGTTTATCATTCATACGAAATGATGTTCACACCTGGAACGGTGAACCGTGACGGCTAAAATTCACTGAGTGAAGATCAAAAGATTAGAATTACAGAATGCAAACCTTTAAATACCTTGAATTTAACCACGCATTCAACAGGTAGTCACTAAGTGTCACAGTACAATACACATTGTATTTACATGGTACTAGCGGAAAATGTTTGCTAGACTGAAGTAAAAGGTGAGAATACAAACATGCATTTTTAATACACTATCAGTTAAATATGTTTGTTGAAAATATCCGTCGGAAAAAAATTCATAAAAATATTCTATTGTATGATTTACTTTTATTACTATAATGACTATAATCATATCAGAAATCCTTAAAATATAAATCGTACATTTTATTTTTAAAAGTTGCACGGCTGATCACTTTACTTTCTTAATTATTAGTTGGTTAATAGCTACGCCAAAAGTCGTCGATGCGCTTTAAATCGCGTTATTAGATGATCAACGAACAAGACTTAAATGAGATTAATTCCACTCCCGGCATGCAAAAAGACTTAAACTACGTCACAGAAGTCAGGAAGTTCGAATAAATAAAATTAATAATTCCCAATTTTCTTCTTTATTAGTTTTCATATCCAGATAAAACTTGGTGAATATGTTTTTTATGGTATTATGAACATAATAAGATGATAAGTAAAAAATCGCGAATTTTCCCTTTAACAACTTATAGTTTCTCTCTATCCACATGTATTATAGTTTTCTAATTAATAGGCAATAAACTGCTTCGCTGAGCGCAACTAGATACGCCCGCAGAGGTCCAACCCTGAACAGTTGGGGCAAAAATGGACACAATATTCAAGCTTGATTCAGGTCTGAATTTGGATTGTAATTAAATATTTGATATATTATAGGTTTCTGAATAAATGTAGTCAAAGATCTTGAAATTGGTTATATGAATTGAATTTATATTCAATTAAAGATTTCTTGCTGTTGTGCAATACTTAGTAAATCTGTTGTCAGACTATAAACAAATAAAGATCAATTAATTCTCAATGTCATATTAGAAATTTATGAAAATAAAAAGGAGCTTACATCAATAGATATAAACAATTCACCAAAGTTTCATGAGAATTGGTGACAGCATTTTTGAGTTATTGTCTGAAAACTGGAAAATCACCCCTTTTTTTAATGAATAAAACCCCATAACTCAGAAATGTAAAATGTAAAAATTTATAAAATTCTAAAGGGAGCTTACATCAATACATACAAACAATTCACCAAAGTTTCATAAGAATTGCTGACAGCATTTTTGAGTTTTTGTCCGAAAACTGGAAAATCCCCCCTTTTTTTATGAATAAAACCCTGTAACTCAGAAACGTAAAATCTAAAATTTATAAAAATGGAAAGGGAGCTCATGTCAATAGATATAAACAATTCACCACAATTTCTTGCAAGTTGGTGAAAGCATTCTTGACTTATTGTCCGTAAACTGGAAAATCCCCCTTTTTTTTATGAATAAAACCCCCATAACTCGGAAACGTAAAATCTAAATTTTATAAAAAACAAAAGGGAGCTCATGTCAATAGATATAAACAAATCACCAAAGTTTTATGCAAATTGGTTAAAGCATTTTTGAGTTAATGTCCGACATGTTGACGACCGACAGACGGACAGAGGTATACCATAATACGTCCCGTAAACGGGCGTATAAAAATGGAAAAATATTGGTAAAATTTTTCATGTAAGGGAAATATCTACTACAAGACTATCAGAAGTCCTCTGTGGACAGTAGGTACTATATCTTAACTTTCTGAACATTGCTCACATTTCTGTCCCATATCAGATTTCCTCTATTCATAGCGGTTTTCAAGATAATAGACAAAATTTTTGTGGCCAAGTTTGATCAAATTTGGCCAAGAAGTTTTAGAGGAGAAGATTTTTGTAGAATTTAACCCTCATTGAGATTGTCTTAACAAGGTATAATACCTTGGAATAATTCATACCTTTGGTTCTGAAGCCCTGTGTTGAAGTAATAATAATAGTGATCTCCCCTTTTGTAAGGACAGCTGTATTTAGGGTAATCCCACATCTCTGTAATTCTTCATATTAAAAAAAATGTCAAGATTTATTATAAATCAATGCATAGACAAATACATGTTTAACATGAGATGTACTTAGAATAATCCTTGAATCTCTGCAATTCTACAAATTGATTTAACAGTGAATAATATATTTATAAGTACATGTATATGCTCATATTGATCTACCATTAAAGTAGATGAACCACATGTGTTTAACATTGAATCATATACATGTATGTATCATATTGGTTTACCATTATATTGAATTAGATGAACCACATGTGTTTAACATTGAATCATATACATGTATGTATCATATTGGTTTACCATTATATTGACTTAGATTAACCACATGTGTTTAACATTGAATCATATACATGTATGTACCACATTGGTTTACCATTATATTGAAGGAGATGAACCACACGTGTTTAAAAATGAATCATGTACATGTATGTACCATATTGGTTTACCATTTTATTGAATTAGATGAACCACATGTGTTTAACATTGAATCGTATACATGTATGTACCATATTGGTTTACCATTATATTGAATAAGTTGAACCAAACATTGAATCGTATACATGTTTGTACCATATTGGTTTACCATTTTATTGAATTAGATGAACCACATGTGTTTAATATTGAATCATATACATGTATGTACCATATTGGTTTACCATTATATTGAATTAGATGAACCACATGTGTTTAATATTGAATCATATACATGTATGTACCATATTGGTTTACCATTATATTGAATTAGATGAACCACATGTGTTTAACATTGAATCATATACATGTATGTACCATATTGGTTTACCATTATATTGAATTAGATGAACCACATGTGTTTAATATTGAATCATATACATGTATGTACCATATTGGTTTACCATTATATTGAATTAGATGAACCACATGTGTTTAATATTGAATCATATACATGTATGTACCATATTGGTTTACCATTATATTGAATTAGATGAACCACGTGTTTAATATTGAATCATATACATGTATGTACCATATTGGTTTACATCTTCTTATATCTTCTTATATCTATGTCTCATACCACATCTTCTTATATCTATGTCTCATACCACATCTTCTTATATCTATGTATACATCTGACATAGAACTATATATATAACATTGGTTGAATAGCCATGTGAATGCAACCAATCATTTGTCTCACAATAAACTACATTGTAATTTATAACATTGTACAATACTAATCCAACAACAGACTACATACCTGTTTTTGAGTTTTTCTTTGACAGGACATTGATCAAGCAAGGGTCTAGAAATATCATTTTGTTGGTCTACAAATCCCTTGGTTTCTTCACAATCTGGATCTTCTAACCATTTGTATGGATCAGGCACCTTAAAATGAAAAATTATAGTGTAATTCAAACTCTGCTACAATAACCAGCTGTTCTCATGCATAAAGGAAAAAGAGGAATTGTGCTACACATTCAATATACAGTAAAGTAAAAAAAAATCCTGCTTTAAATTGATTATTGACTAGGATTTCCTAATTTCCTGCCAAAGGTTGGAACTTTATAATCAACCATGTTAACATATAGGATAATAAATTGCTTCGCCTAGCGCAGCTGGATACCACCGCAGGGGTCCAACCCTGAACAGTTGGGGCAAAAATGGACGCAATATTTGTGCTTGATACAGGTCTGAATTTGGATTGTAATTAAATATTTGACACATAAACAGTTTCTGACACAGAATAACTGTAGTCAAAGAACTTAGAATTGGTTATATGATTTTATGATTTGAATTTATATTAAATTTTTTGCTTTTGTGCAATACACTTTGCTGTTGCAAATTGACCCCCCCCCCCTTCCCCCCACAAAAAAAAATAAAAAATTTACCCCCCCCCCCTTTTTATTTTGCTTTTGTGCAATACACTATGCTTTTGCGTATTAACCCCATCCCCCCCCCCCCCTCCCACACACACACTTTTTTTTTGCAAAAAAATAAAATTTTAAGAATTTTTCTTTATAATTTCTGAAAATCTGTAATGAGAAAAAAATTCACCACCCACAATTTCTTTTAACCCCCCACCCCCCACCTTTTCCCCCCAAAAAAAATCTTTCCCTCAAGATATGGTCATAATCAAATTTTCAATGGAATTTGCAACCATGATTACCCATTTAAATTTACCATAGTGCTAACTTAATCTATTTTATAATAGAATTTAAAATATGGTGTCAAATCTTTCTTATGTATTTTTTTGTATAAAAAAAAAGATGCAACATTTGCAGATATTTTTACTGGTCTTCCTTTATAAATATGCATGTCTTTAAACATAATTTAAAAGCAGTGTAAGGGAGGTAATCAAAACGTTGTATTTGGATTACCTCCCTTACACTGCTTTTAAATTGTCTTAATTGTTCATTAACCATTATTTTATACATAATTTAAAAGAAGTGTAAGGGAGGTAATTCAAATGATGTATTTGAATTACCTCTCTTACACTGCTTTAAATTATGTTTTGTACTAAAGTATTTGTCCATTAACCAGGACACCCTTGTTTTTCCCCCTTTTTTGCCCCTAATTCCTAAACGGTTTGAGCCATAACTCCCCTAAGCAAATCCTAACCATCCCTTTGTGGTATGGAAACTTGTGGTATAATTTCAGAGAGATCCATACACCGTTCCACAAGTTATTGTCTTGAAACTAGAAAAATGCTTATTTTTGGCCCCTAATTCCTTAACTATTGGTACCATAACCCCCAAAATCAATCCCAACCTTCCTTTTGTGGTATTGAACCTTATGGTAAAATTTCATAGAGATCCATTCACTTAAACTAAAGTTATTGTGAGAAAAACCAATGTGTCTTCGAAGCCGACAACGACACCAACGTCATACCAATTTTTGCGGTCGTATAAAAATATGAACCAACATATTTAACAGTGAAACATTTGTACAAGCATTGCTTTGATTCAAGTCTGATTAATGAAATGAAACTAGAGATCTGATCTGTCAATGACCAACACATTAATTTTGCTATTTGTTTCATTCATTTATTCAAAGGGGCCATCAGATGTTCAACTTCAACAATTTAGGACAATTTTAAAAACTTGTAAATCTGATATTTTTTTTATTTCTTGGCCCAACATTTTCATTTATGGCTCCTTTTAAAGAAAAAAAAAATCTTTCGAACAGTGCAAAGTACATTGTACAAGAAGTTGCAACCAATTGTTTATGAAATTTTTTAATCAGAAATATCACTGGTAATTTTATCTGAAGAAGCAAGTTGTTGACCTTGTTATTGTAGTCAGTATTTATAACATTGTCTTATACCTGTGCTTTAAATGGGCAACACACATAACACATAATGCCGTATAATTACTTTTTCCATAGGTACTTGGGGACAGGACAATTTTTTTAACCATCCCCCTTTTTTCCAAAATCCGTTATTTTTATATTTTCCATTAATTTTAATTATTTTCGTGTTTTACTGGATAATATGAACATAAATATACTAGAAATAACTTGTATTTGCTATTTACTATCAATTCCAAGCTTACTATCCACAGCGGTCACTGATATATTATATAGAGAGAAGGTATCTCACTTCGTACCTTATCATCTATTTTCCTACGTGAATTCCAGGAGGAATCCCAATTCTAATTTATCAAATATTTAATTTCCTTTGGGTCAGTGGGCATGACTCGTTTCCGCAAATATTCCTCTTTTTAAAGTGCCGGCACTTTTAATATAATTCGACGTCTATCAACAGAACGGATAATAATAATAATAATAATAAATTCTTTATTTAAAGAGGGTAACTCAATTAGAAGTAGTCTAATTTTCATTGAGGCCCTCAAACAAAATACATGTATACAGTTAACATTCATACATTAAAATACAATATATATTACTAGTATATACACAATTCAATCATTCAAACATACAAATGGCAATAAATGGCAATAATTGGTAAAGTTTTGATTAAATTTTCTTATTCTTACAACAAAATAAAGAAAACAAATTATTCGACTTGCATAGAATTTTCAAGAAAATGATTATAACAATGTTTCTTAAATAATTCCACATTTCGACAATTTTTTATTTTGAGTGGTAAATTATTCCATACCTTTGTTGCAGAATAATGAAAAGATTTTTTATAAAAATTTGCATTTGGTCTTGGAACAAATAGATCATTATTAGAGACAGATCATAAGTTGTGGTGTTGCATATCATTAATATTTAGCATTGCTAAGTAATCAGGTGTTAGTCCATTTTCAATTTTATACATTAGAATTGATTGTTGGTATTTTATTCTTTTTGTAAAAGATAGCCATTTAGGACAACTCTAAATCCGGTTCCCTGAAACAAATGTTCCGAATGTTATTGAACAGCACGATAAGGTACGAGAGTTCCCCATAACAGTATAAAGTATAAATAAACTCGAGCAGGTTTACAGTTTACTTATACTTCATACTGTTATGACATACTCTCGTACCTTATCGTGCTGTATAATAACATTCGGAACATTTGTTTCAGGGAACAGGATTTAGAGTTGTCTCCCATACAATACTTCCGTCATTTAAGAATAAAAATACGACAACACGTCGCGCAAAATGGATCCGTTTTGTCGAAAGACGTCGATTTATATTAAAAGTGCCTGCTCTTTAAAAAGAGGAAAGTTTGCAGAAACATGTCATGCCCACTGACCCAATAGAAATTAAATGAATTAGAATTGGGATTCCTCCTTGAATTCACGTAGGAAAATAGGTGATAAGGTACGAAGTGAGATACATGTACCTTCTCTCTATATAATATATCAGTGACAGCTGTGGATACTAAGTAAACTTGGAATTGATAGTAAATAGCAAATACACGTTATTTCTAGTATATTTATGTGTTCATATTATACAGTAAAACGCGAAAATAATTGAAATTAATGGAAAACAAAAAAAATACAATTTTGGAAAAAAGGGGGAGGGCTGAAAAAAATTGTCCTGTCCCCAAGTACCTATGCTTTTTTCTACATTTTTTTATATCTTTTGATTTTCTATCATTATGATCATTATTTATGTTTATGCTCAAATGCCACTTCATGATGGTCGTTGCCCTAAATTGGATCTAACAAATTTCGTAGTTGCCTCCCCCTAAAATGGAAGCTACATAATAAAAGTTCATTTTTTTCCTTGAGAAATTTTTCACATTTTGCTGAAAATTAAGACGGATCCGGATTTCTAGGTGGAATATTTGTAACAGGAAACCTTTGTGCCGTGGTATTCATCGATCACTGAATCATCTCTACGGGCTTTTGGGTATGAAAATTTCATTTTCGTGGAAACAAAGCAACAACAACTTTTAGTACAGAATAAATTCAATGTAAAAAATGTTCCTAGTAATCAAGCCAAAAATTGGCCATTTATCAAACGTTTTATTGATAAAGAATGATAAATGACGTTCGATGATTTTCCGAGTTTTCCTTGAAGTCATCAAACTGTCAGAAATGTTACGAAAGTGAAAAAAAGAGGATTGGAATGTTCCTCATCAGCTGACAAAAATCGTAAACAATCGAATTATTTTAATCAAATGACAAAGAATGTGATCTGTTTTATTCAAGACATTAGCTATCCTTTACCACTAAATTAGGGTAAGCGCCGAAAGTGATCAAATAATTTTGTTTAAGCGTGTACAACATGTACAATGTTGATCTGTTTATTTATGTACTCATCATCAGCTTAACCAAGTAACCAATGATTATTGTTGATAAAATTAGAAATCTATTAAAAGAAAATTGTCATTTCATGTGAAGTGCTTGTTTTCTATACACTCTTTCGGTGATTCAATCGAACAGGTAGGGTATTACAGCTATAATCTTCATAATACAATTTTTCCATTAAAAAAAAATAAGCAAAATCTAAATATTTCATCATCATAATTATGTTGAGGTCTGTCAAGCTGGCTATGTATTGTATGTATCTTTTGATAGATATCAATTCTAGTAAAACATTTGTTGATGTGGAAAATTATTTTAATTCTATTCCCTATGCCATGCTTTGTATGATGCAATTTTTAAAAATGAATGATATTAACTATTACAGATTAACGGTAACATGATTAACCTTTTAGTTCATAGGAGTACGTAAAAATTATTAATGGTATTGCTAACTTTAGATATATATATACCCCTCTACCAAGAAATTTGTTTTGCATGCACACATATAAAAATTGCGGTTTTTATCCAACGCAATCATAGGTTTGAACGTTGTTTTCAATTTAGACTTGTTTATATTTTTTCGTTTGGGCTTGTATTATATTTGCCTTCGGGTTTATATAATCTGTTCATCCTATTTCGACTCTTCAAAATTCAAGAGTCAATCCTAAATTGAGGTAAATTATATGGCCTTCCAAATACCGTTTCGATTCCTAACATCACTGAAGAGACATTAATTGTCCAAATCCAGATATGGTGTACCAATTTTTGCACCATGTATGTGGTAGCACGTTTATTGTTTTCTGTTTGGTATTAAATTAATAATTAAGATCCATTTTGTTACATCTGGTGATCCTTTATTTGGCAGTCAGCAGGGTTTAAGAACATCCCTTGTTCGACCTGCTAGTCAAATGCGTTTTGTTAAAATATACTTTTTCACTTTTTTGGTCTTTTGGAGAATGTTGTTTGTGCTGTATTTAGACCCATCTACCAACAGCCAGGGGACTTACTTAAATGAATGATTTTATAAATCACTGATACAAGTAACATTATGTCCATAAAGGTTGGAAACTACAACTAAGAGTTGTCTTTCTTTAATAATCACCTATTTAAGTAGTACAAATTAATCACTAGACTAAGTGATTTAATTTTATTGTAGCTTTAAATATAGAATACTAATGATCCAGGGACTAATTATGTTGCTAAAATTATCAGAACCAACTTCTGTGTTGATAGGATGACTGGGTCATGTCAGGTGATGACCTTGTACTAAATCTAGGATAATGACATAAAAATGACTTGTTTAAGTATCATACCTCAATTTCCTTCCAAAAAATCACTTCTTTAAGTATCATTATTTTAATAACCCCCACCTACATAATCTATAAGATGAAACATTGAAATTAACAGGAAAAAAACTCCCACTGCTGGGAAAAATCTGTTAAGAAAGTATCAGTTCATTATGTAAAGCCATTTTTATAGCATTTTTTCAACTAAAATAGAATTTGCAGCTAAATGATTGCATCAAAGGGATAATCCTTGCTGCTAAAGAGAAGCAAAAAGTTCATTTTTTTCAATTTTACTAATGAAAAGATTATCTAAACCTATGTGTTAAAAATTTTGGTAAAACTACAAAAGCACAATTTGAGACAAAACTTCGAATTTGCTACTTAAATACATGTAAGTGATTTAAAAATCACTTATTTCAATAAGTCCCCTGACTGACCAAGACATTTGTTTTACATGCACATGTATAAAAATTGCGGTTTTTATCCAACGCAATCATAGGTTTGAACGTTGTTTTCAATTTAGACTTGTTTATATTTTTTCGTTTGGGCTTGTATTATATTTGCCTTCGGGTTTATATAATCTGTTCATCCTATTTCGACTCTTCAAAATTCAAGAGTCAATCCTAAATTGAGGTAAATTATATGGCCTTCCAAATACCGTTTCGATTCCTAACATCACTGAAGAGACATTAATTGTCCAAATCCAGATATGGTGTACCAATTTTTGCACCTCATGTATGCGGTAGCACGTTTATTGTTTTCTGTTTGGTATTAAATTAATAATTAAGATCCATTTTGTTACATCTGGTGATCCGTTTATTTGGCAATCGCCATGGCAGTCAGCAGGGTTGAAGAACATCCCTTGTTCGACCTGCTAGTCAAATGCATTTTGTTAAAATATACTTTTTCACTTTTTTGGTCTTTTGGAAAATGTTGTTTGTGCTGTATTTAGACCCATCTACCAACAGCCAGGGGACTTACTTAAATGAGTGATTTTCTAAATCACTGATACAAGTAACACTATGTCCATAAAGGTTGGAAACTACAACTAAGAGTTGTCTTTCTTTAATAATCACCTATTTAAGTAGTACAAATTAATCACTAGACTAAGTGATTTAATTTTATTGTACTTTAAATATAGAATACTAATGATCCAGGGACTAATTATGTTGCTAAAATTATCAGAACCAACTTCTGTGTTGATAGGATGACTGGGTCATGTCAGGTGATGACCTTGTACTAAATCTAGGATAATGACATAAAAATGACTTGTTTAAGTATCATACCTCAATTTCCTTCCAAAAAATCACTTCTTTAAGTATCATTATTTTAATAACCCCCACCTACATAATCTATAAGATGAAACATTGAAATTAACAGGAAAAAAACTCCCACTGCTGGGAAAAATCTGTTAAGAAAGTATCAGTTCATTATGTAAAGCCATTTTTATAGCATTTTTTCAACTAAAATAGAATTTGCAGCTAAATGATTGCATCAAAGGGATAAACCTTGCTGCTAAAGAGAAGCAAAAAGTTCATTTTTTTCAATTTTACTAATGAAAAGATTATCTAAACCTATGTGTTTAAAATTTTGGTAAAACTACAAAATCACAATTTGAGACAAAACTTCGAATTTGCTACTTCAATAAGTCCCCTGACTGACCAAGACATTTGTTTTACATGCACATGTATAAAAATTGCGGTTTTTATCCAACGCAATCATAGGTTTGAACGTTGTTTTCAATTTAGACTTGTTTATATTTTTTCGTTTGGGCTTGTATTATATTTGCCTTCGGGTTTATATAATCTGTTCATCCTATTTCGACTTTTCAAAATTCAAGAGTCAACCCTAAATTGAGGTAAATTATATGGCCTTCCAAATACCGTTTCGATTCCTAACATCATTTATTGTCTCGCCTGAAGAAACAGGTTATTGTCTCTAGCCTGAAGAAACTGGTTATTGTCTTGCCTGAAGAAACTGGTTATTGTCTCGCCTGAAGAAACTGGTTATTGTCTCGCCTGAAGAAACTGGTTATTGTCTCGACTAAAGAAACTGGTTATTGTTTGCCTGAAGAAACTGGTTATTGTCTTGCCTGAAGAAACTGGTTATTGTCTTGACTAAAGAAACTTGTTATGAGTATTTGACTATTTGGAGAACTAAATTTGGTATATGGGTTCCTCGCTGCTACAAAATGTACTTGCAAGGTCTACATGTCTGTATGACAAGGTTCACCTGACCCCAAACTCATTTCATGGATCTCTGATCAAGGTTAAAGTTACATGATTAGCATGATTAGGTCTGTTCCTCAGATAAATGTACTATAATTATAGCAGTAGGTCAACTATCTATATTTGGTGTATGAAAAAAAGTAAAATCACAAAAATACTGAACTACGAGGAAAATTCAATCGGAAAGTCCCTAATCACATGGCAAAATCAAATGACAACACACATCAAACTAATGGACAACAACTGTCGTCTTCCTGACTTGGTACAGGCATTCAAATGTAGAAAATGGTGGATTGAACCTGGTTTTATAGCGCTAAACCTCTCACTTGTACAACAGTCGCATCAAATTTAATAATATTGATAATGATGCGTGAACAAAACAAACAGACACAATAGGTAAAAATGTCACAAATAAAGGTAAGAAGTCTAATTCGGTAGTACATGTACCATATTCGGTATAAGGCAATGAAATGATTGTAAGGTGTACATGTCTGTCTGACAAGGTTCATCTGAAGTTGACCTAATTTCCATGATTTATTTAGTTTTCTGTTTTTATTTTTTAGTTAAGTCTGTTTCTCAGAATTATACATTATTATTTAGGGGCCAGCTGAAGACCCATTGGTGGCCTTAGGCTGTTTTCTGTTTTCTGCTCTTAGGTCATGTGGTTATCTCTTTAACATATTCCATTTTCTATTCTATAAGCAATAGGTCAACTATAGTTATTGTCAGGCAGGTAATGATGTCTTTGATTTCACCTATTTAACACTTTCAAAAAAAAATGAATGATGGTTGATAAAGTACAAAATGCAGGAGAGACATTTCAATGAGTGCACTCTTCATGCTCTTGTTATAGTTACAATGTATTTCCTTTACAAATATCAGTTGAACAGTACTTCCTGGTATTTGCCGTAGGCCTGTTCAATACATGTACAAGTATTGACTGTTTTTTTGCCAACCTTGTATGTACACCTCCCATGACATTGACATTCCTTCAATTTGTTGATTATATTAGTAATGATAGATGATAGATAAAGGAGTTTCAATCCATCTTTATTAGCAATTCTAACTGCTCTAGTTTATATGAATTTCTGATTGCTGATTTAATTGTTTATTTACTTTTTTGTTGAATGATCTCAGAGGACTTACATGTACACACATGACTTAAGAGACATGTTCTTGACATGAATATATATATGTACTACTTACATATATATATAACCATGTAAGTGTTATTGTAAATTTTCAATATGATCGTGACCAAGATGTACATGTAGATAACTATTTATATTTACATATAAACATGATAAACACTTGTTGTCACAATTTCACTTTTTCTTTATACGTTGTATGTTAATCTACATGTGTACATTTACCATGATTACCATGTTTACAATGTACCTTGATCATACAAGATTATGATTATCAAAAAGAAATGGTACATTTGTAACTATGCTACATTTGCTTCCTAAAAATGCATGGTGATTGCTTTCATTATCATGATTATGAAATTTATTGTTATCCTAAAAATCCCATGGAATAAAACTGGAATTGTAGTAATGGTGTTTATGGGTAAACATCAACTAGACAGCAACCAAACAACAGGTCAACCTGTGAACTTCAATTACAGACATATTGTCTTTTTCCAGATATAGACAATAGTCAGTGCTCTTTGGCTGTATACAAATTTGGCTGTTCCTTTAAGGTCTAGTTTAATAGTTAGGTCTTTAGACCTTAGATAAATTCCTTTAAGGTCCATTTTGGTCATTTTATTAAGCTCCTCATGTATACAGGTATTTGCATTGTGTACATTTTTGCAATTGGCTTTAAAAGTTTTTTATTTCGATGTTCTTGATGATTTAATTTTCATAGGACAGCAAAAAAATTGCGGCCGTCAAATGGTATGCTGATTTTGTCATTGTCACCATCCGAAGATATTCGAGATTGATTTTGGGGGTTATTGTTCTAACTGTTTAGGAATGAGGGGCAAAAAACAAGCATTTTTTTTTGTTTCAAGACAAAAACTTGTATATTTATATTTTGGATGTTGGACCATATTAGGTAAATGTCCAATTTCAAATTTTTAAGTTCTTAAACCACATTTATTCTGTATCAGAAACCTATGCTGTGTCAAATATTTATCACAATTCAAATTCAGAACTGTATTAACTTAAGCTTGAATGTTGTGTCCAAACTTGCCCTAACTATTCAGGGTTCAACCTCTGAGGAAGTATTAAGCTGCAGCCTGTGGAGCATTGGAGCATTTTATTAGTCCTCTACCGATGAAGTCAAAGGGGACTTTAGATTTGCACTCCGTCCGTCTGTCTGTCTCTCTGTCCATCCTTCAGTCGGGCAAATCAGTTTTCCACACTTTTTTTCTTTATGCTTTACAATATTGATTTGATATTTGGTGTATTGTTTTATCATGACAAGTTACAGATCAAGTTTGAATTTTGGTCCGGTCTGATGATTTTGTGCAGAGTTATGGTCCTTGGACTTAGAAAATTCACTCAATTAATCAGTTTTCCGCACTTTTTTTCGTCATGCTAAAGAATATTGATTTGATAATTGGTATATAGTTTTATCATGAAAAATTACCGAACAAGTTAGAATTTTGTTCCGGTCTGATGATTTTGTGCAGAGTTATTGTCCTTGGACTTAGAAAATCCACTTAAATAATCAGTTTTCAACACTTTTTTTCGTCATGCTTGAAGATATTGACTTGATATTTGTAATATAGTTTACACCATGACAAGTTACAATGTATAGATCATGTTAGCATTTTGTTCCAATACAATGAGTTTTTAACTGGTAGGGGACTATGTATTGCCATGCAATACTCTCAGAATGCTTGTTAACTTAAGCAACCACTAAAGTTTTTTTGAACTTTTGATAAAATTAAACCCTATATATACACATTCATCATATTATTACCAATTTGATTCTAGTATTTACTTTTACCACAAGCAGATTTCTTTTGCCAATTGTAGACTGGCTCTTAACTGGACAAACTGAGTTACTGCCCCTTTGTCAATTATATATTGGCTCTTAACTGGATAAACTGAGTTACTGCGCCTTTGCCAATTGTAGACTGGCTCTTAACTGGACAAACTGAGTTACTGCCCCTTTGCCAATTGTAGACTGGCTCTTAACTGGACAAACTGAGTTACTGCCCCTTTGCCAATTGTAGACTGGCTCTTATAACTGGACAAACTGAATTACTTGATCAATTTTAAATGAAAATAACTACATGAACATGTCATTCATGTATTGATATCAAAAGTTCAGCTTAACAAAAGATTATATGTAGTTATAAGATATAAAAGACTTACAGACTACACAGATAAAATTACTTTTACTGCTTGCTCTTTATTGACAATGAAAGTTTACATCCCTCCAAAGGGAAATAACTCGCTCAAATAGATCTCTAATTACAGAGTCAAGGTTGGAATTGCCAATGAGAGAATATTGAAATATCTTATGTGTGTAGATTATTGTTAGCATATATTATTATGAATGTTTTCTCTTTCATTTTCAGTTACACACAGAAATAAATGGAATGTTGTGCACACAAAAGCTAAATAGAGAAACAGTCAGGTGATCTTAACGAAAACATGAGTGTGGACAGGTCTACCAGGACTTGCAGGTTTCCGGTGAAGAAGCCTACAAAAACTGAAATTATAGAATCTAAAAAACAAACTCAGGAAACTGAAGATGATATTTCTGAAGACATAGGCCAAAAGATGACGTATAAAGGTCAAGATTACACTGGTGTATCAGCACAGGGCCGCAGAGAATCATATGAGACTGAGCATGATAATTATATTTTTATTAAGTTTAAAAATGGAAATGACAGTGATTTAAAACTTTCTGGCAAGAGCCATTTTACTATGCACCCTGACAATGAAGCTTCTGGTAGTCATGAAGTGGCCAGGAGGTCTGAAAATAAGATGGTACCAGAAAACTTAAAGGTCGATTCAGATGACGATGAGGATGATACCAACATTGATGATTTTGATTTTGATGCAGAGTCAGAATTAGATTATATCACTGACAGATTAGGAGATCGTTTTAGAAATGTCTTTGATCAAGATGATAGTTTTATTCAGCAATTTCTAGAAGATATACAAGGATTGGAAATGGATTTTGATGGACCTATTCCTTGGCCAATGCGTCAAATGCTAGATGGACAAAAACAGGATCCACAATATCCATGTAGTAGTAAAATGAAAGGAAATTGTGAAATCTGTCTGATAGAAAACATCGATACAAGAAAGAGGCTATGTTGTAATGTACCTGTATGTGAAAACTGTTTGCAGGAATATGTAAAAAATGAGGTGGAACAAAGAAATGTACGTTTACAATGTATTAATTGTGACTCTTATGTTCATAGAGATGAAATTTTGGCTTTACTACCGACAGAATTGAAAGATAAATTTTACAGATTTTTAATCGAGGAAAATAAAGATCCCAATGTGAAAACTTGTCCACGATGTTGTTTACTTCAAAACAAAAGTCAAATTTTACCGACCTCATCACCTGAAACATTGAAAAAGAAAAAGAAAAATTCGGCAGCAGGTCTTAAAGTCATTTGTTCACGGTGTGGACTAACCTGGTGCTTTGATTGTCATGCTCCGTGGCATGAAAATGTTAAATGTAAGGAGTTTAAAAAGGGGGACAAGTTGGTGAAGAACTGGGCCAAAGAGTTGAGTTACGGTCAAAAGAATGCTGTTAGATGTCCTAAATGTAAGGTAAGCTTGACTGGAGCTCTTTAAAATACACATGACATGCATGATACATGTACATTGGGATTTGAAATTGGTTGCCTTTGCTGTCTTTTTTTGTCACTCTAGGTGTAAAATATGCATAGAAGTCAACTTTATAAACCTCCAAAGCGTGTTTTGATATTGATTCCTGGTGTAAATTATAGATGGGAGTCAACTTTATAAACCTCCAAGGTGAATGGTCTTCTGTGGAAGAAAAGTTGTCAGTTGGAGACAGTCCAGTTCATAGCCCTTCTGCTTCTGCTGTTAAATGTCCACCATCATTTCTAATTATTCTGCCACAGACAGTCCAGTACATAACCCTATAGAGTTATTACACAAACAGACAGCCCAGTACATAACCCTATAGAGTTATTACACAAACAGACAGGCCAGTACATAACCCTATAGAGTTATTACACAAACAGACAGCCCAGTACATAACCCTATAGAGTTATTACACAAACAGACAGCCCAGTACATAACCCTATAGAGTTATTACACAAACAGACAGCCCAGTACATAACCCTATAGAGTTATTACACAAACAGACAGCCCAGTACATAACCCTATAGAGTTATTACACAGACAGACAGTACTCCAGTACATAACCCTATAGAGATATTACACAAACAGACAGCCCAGTACATAACCCTATAGAGTTATTACACAAACAGACAGTCCAGTACATAACCCTATAGAGTTATTACACAAACAGACAGCCCAGTACATAACCCTATAGAGTTATTACACAAACAGACAGCCCAGTACATATCCCTATAGAGTTATTACACAAACAGACAGCCCAGTACATAATCCTATAGAGTTATTACACAAACAGACAGCTCAGTACATAACCCTATAGAGTTATTACACAAACAGACAGCCCAGTACATAACCCTATAGAGTTATTACACAAACAGACAGTACTCCAGTACATAACCCTATAGAGTTATAACACAAACAGACAGTCCAGTACATAACCCTTTAGAGTTATTACACAAACAGACAGCCCAGTACATAACCCTATAGAGTTATTACACAAACAGACAGCCCAGTACATAACCCTATAGAGTTATTACACAAACAGACAGTACTCCAGTACATAACCCTATAGAGATATTACACAAACAGACAGCCCAGTACATAACAATATAGAGTTATTACACAAACAGACAGTCCAGTACATAACCCTCTAGAGTTATTACACAAACAGAAAGTCCAGTACATAACCCTATAGAGTTATTACACAAACAGACAGTCCAGGAAATAACCCTATAGAGTTATTACACAAACAGACAGCCCAGTACATAACTCTATTGAGTTATTACACAAACAGACAGTCCAGAACATAACCCTATAGAGTTATTACACAAACAGACAGCCCAGTACATAACCCTATAGAGTTATAACACAAACAGACAGTACTCCAGTACATAACCCTATAGAGTTATTACACAAACAGATAGTCCAGTACATAACCCTATAGAGATATTACACAAACAGACAGTACTCCAGTACATAACCCTATAGAGATATTACACAAACAGACAGTCCAGTACATACATGACATACATGTAACCCTATAGAGTTATTACACAGACAACCCAGTACATAACCATATAGACTTATTACACAAACAGACAGCCCAGTACATAACCCTATAGAGTTATAACACAAACAGACAGTCCAGTACATAACCCTATAGAGATATTACACAAACAGACAGTCCAGTACATACATGTAACCCTATAGAGTTATTACACAGACAACCCAGTACATAACCATATAGACTTATTACACAAACAGACAGCCCAGTACATAACCCTATAGAGTTATAACACAAACAGACAGTCCAGTACATAACCCTATAGAGTTATTACACAAACAGACAGCCCATTACATAACCCTAAAGAGTTATTACACAAACAGACAGCCCAGTACATAACCCTATAGAGTTATAACACAAACAGACAGTCCAGTACATAACCCTAAAGAGTTATTACACATAATAACAATCAGATCATGCTTACAATATTAAAGGATCTGACAACACTCTGTTTCACTTTCTGTTCGTGAACATGTAATTATCAGGGGAGGATCCTGCCACTTTTTAAAGGGGGGGGTGTTCCAACACATGCAAGTCATATAAAAAGAGGGGGTTCCAACCATATGTCTCAATACAAAAGTATTAGTTGTCAAACAAAAAAGGGGATTCCACCCCCTGGAACAGCCCCCCCCCCCCCCCCTTGGATACGCCTGATAGATCATGTGTATCATGTTTATTATAGGTATTTATACAGAAGAAGAGTGGCTGTAGTCACATGACCTGTTAGAATTGTTATAAATCATGTTTATTATGTTTAATATAGGTATTTATACAGAAGAAGAGTGGCTGTAGTCACATGACCTGTAGGAATTGTTATAAATCATGTTTATCATGTTTATTATAGGTATTTATACAGAAGAAGAGTGGCTGTAGTCACATGACCTGTTAGAATTGTTATAAATCATGTTTATTATGTTTAATATAGGTATTTATACAGAAGAAGAGTGGCTGTAGTCACATGACCTGTAGGAATTGTTATAAATCATGTTTATCATGTTTATTATAGGTATTTATCCAGAAGAAGAGTGACTGTAGTCACATGATCTGTAGGAATTGTTAGTAATCATGTTTATCATGTTTATTATAGGTATTTATCCAGAAGAAGAGTGGCTGTAGTCACATGACCTGTAGGAATTGTAACACAAGTTTTTGTTACCGCTGTGGAGATCGGTACATACAGATGAAACTGATTGGTAAACACAGCGACAGATTTAGTCCGTTTGGATGTAAATATAACTTACTACCAGACAAGCCAATGGCTAGGAAGGCAGTCAGGGGGAGTGTTCTTGGTAGGTTAATTTTCAGTACTTCAATATAAAAGAAGGAGATGTACTGTGGTATGATTGTCAATGAGACAACTATCCACCAGAGTCAAAACTGACCTGAATTTAAGCAACTACAGGTCATAACCTTCAACAATGAGAAAAACCAAAAATGTATTGTCAGCTATAAAAAGTCACGACATCACAAAATGCAAAAAAAATCAACAGCCTGATTATTGCAAAACATTTAAAACAAATATAACAGACTTTTGTTTTTTAGTTTTAGGGCTTTGGATAAATCATAAAAAGGCCATGTTTATATCATGTGTATATTTATTTTGATTTCATGAATACCAGACCTGCCAACTATCCTGATTTATGGGGGATATCCCCCATGAGAGGTGTTCACCTAAATTTTTGAAATTCTTTATTATATAAACAGAACACCTCAAAACAGGCTTTCCAATGAGTTAAAAGGGTATCTAAGCATATACATACTCATTCAAACAATAAAGTAGCAGATTAAAAACTCTTATGACAATTAATATAAGAGGAGTATTAGGTCCTCTTGCCCTTAAAATCCCCCATGGAGATTTTGAAAAGTTGACAGGTATGGAATACTTATAAAGTTTATACATATGGATTGTCTTGTTCATTCAATGACCTGCATTAAATCTATGTCCAACATCTGAACATGTCCAATCTGATAGACATGTGGGTGGACCTGTGCTCCTTCTGCAGCTGTTTATTTGTTTTTTTATTACTGTAAATTCAGAAATTATTGCATGCATTTTTTTTTGCAATTTTTGAAGAATAGACAAAAATGTGAGATTAATTATTGCGATTTCAGGAAAATCTGCATGCAGATATATGTATCCAATTCAGAATGCAAGTTCCGATTATTGAGATGCTTACCCAGTCACATTATTCGCATTAATAAAAGCCTTGCAATAATATCTGAATTTAAAGTACCTAGATTTTGTCTCACTGGCGATGAATGTCTCAGAATGTGACACTTAAGGTTCCTAATCCAGTTGACGGCATCAGCTCTTCCCATAAAGCTTGATATGCAGAAGGTAGAAGACCTCAATACTTCATATCTTGTTTACACACCTATGTCTCATTTTACCAAATTTCTTCCTGGCATATATGTCAATTGTCTTGACCTCATTTTCATGTTTATAAAAAAGTATTTTTTGTCAAGTGATTTTTTTCAGTTATTATAAGTGATAGGAAAACTATATTTTGATATATAGAACCATTGCAAGATATACGTGTCAATCAGACAGGGTTCACCTAACTTTGTCATACAAGGAATAATTTGTATCTGGAATAATTTTGAATTCTGGACAATCATGACAAATGATTAGAAATGTATGATGAAAACTTACCCAATTAAAGAGAGATAGCCAGGCATGCATGCATGGCTAACAGGAGTTAGTTAGTTCATACTAAAATATAAGTGAAAGTTACTTGAACCTTAGCCAACGGTGCATGGCTAACCCACTAAATTTGGATAAGTTTTCATCATACATTTCTTATCAATTTTCTAGAATTCAAAATTATTCCAGATTCAAATAATTACTTGTTATCGACTTCATTTCATGGATCAGTGATCAATTCCTAAGAGTTTGTGATGAGGTTATAAGTTCCTCAGATACTTTTAGCAGTAGGTCAACTATACTTGGTGTACGGAATGACTGTTAAGTGACCATGTCCTACTGTCTGAGTCTATCTGACCATGATCACAATTGCATGGTCCGTTGGTCAATGTTACGATTTTCATGATTAGGTCCATTTTTCCGATACTTCAAGTCGTTGGTTAACTATTTTTGGCTAATGGATTGTAAGTTGTACATGTGTTTCTTCCAGGGTTCACATGACCTTGACCCTTTTTTGATGGATCTTGATAATGTTATTTAAAGTTTATGTGTAATGTTCTGTAGTAAAACCTTTATCTTAATCACTGTAATCATAGTAATCATCAAATTCAATCATGATTAGCAGGGAAGACATCATAGCCTACTGTGTTTCTAATATGAGGGTCTGGGTGGGGTTTACAGATTAGAGAATAATGGGCCTATACTACAGAAAAATGGACCAACAAAATTAAGATAAAACAAACATAGGCCCAAAAAAATAAAGAATAATGGGGTGCTAAAATATAAAGAATAGAGAATAATCATTACAATTTATAAAGAGTAGTGAAAAAATTATAGAATACTGATTTGTTGTAGGACCACTATTGAAGACCCTCTGATAAAGCTCTGTTTTATTCATTTAATTTGTATTTGATTTTTATTGAGTTACACACTTTTTAACCGGATTTTCGAAGGATATATTTGTTATTGATTTAGGGATGTATGGCGGGCAGGTGGACGGACGGGCAGACGGGTGGCTGCCAAACAGTGTCTCTTCATGATCAATAACATGAAAACTCTGTGATGATTTTTTTTCAAATTTAGATATGTTGTTTCTTGTGACTAAATGAAGGTCAAGTTCAATTTTCACGATTTTAATATTTCTCCTTTTTGAGTTATCATCATTTTTAATATCCAAAAATGGTATTTTTAAATATTTTTCTCTTGTTATCATATTATGACTAAGCATAAAGTAAATGTCTTATCTCACAATAAAAATTGGAGTGACAGATTTATTTGAAAATTTTCTATTTCCTAAGTGGTGATGATTATAAGCTATATTATTAGACATTTTGAGGTTAATTACATTATTAATTATTATATATGTAATGTTAGAGAACTATGTTAAACCTTAGTTCTGTTCAAAGGGAAATAACCTTCAGATTTGCAAGTATGATTTTCATTATTAATTAGATCTGGAAAATATCTTAGCATATGATAATCATTGGAGTGACAGATTTATTTGAAAATTTTCTGTTTCCTGATAAGATCTGTAGGACTGTATATATAAAGTTTGAAATTTACTAGTAGGACTGTATAAATGAAGTTTGAAATTTACTGTTCATTATTAGACATTTTGTAGATAATTAAGTCTCCCTAAACCATATATATTCTTACCCCCACCCCTCTTCAATTTGAGAATTTGCTTTTATCTTGTAAACGGTTGAGATCCTCATCCCTAAACCATATATATTCTTGTATTGGACAATAAAACAAATCAAATGAAATATTGGGGGAGTCCCCGGGTTCACCCCTACCCCTTTCTTTTTGAAAACTTGTAAACCGTTAAGATTCCCACCCTGAAACCATATATATTCTTGTATGGGACAATCAAACAAAAATCAAATGTAATAAAAGGCAAGTCCCCTGGGGTCAGCCCCACCCCCTCCTGTTTGAGAACTTGTAAACGGTCGAGATCCCCACCACCATGACCACTTAACCATATATATTCATGTATGGGACAATAAAACAAATCAAATGAAATATAGGGGAAGTCCATGGGGGTAATCCCCACCCCCTTCTTTTTGATAACTTGTAAACAGTCAAGATTCCCACCTCGAAACCATATATATTCTTGTATGGGACAATAAAACAAAGCAAGTGAAATATAGCGGAAATCCACTGGGGTAACCCCCACCCCCCTTCTTTTTGAAAACTTGTAAACGGTCGAGATCCCCACCCCTAAACCATATCTATTCTTGTATGGGACAGTAAAACAAATCAAATAAAATTTATGGGAAGTCCCCTTGGTTAACCCCCACCCCCCCCCCCCCCCTTCTTTTTGAAAACTTGTAAACGGTGAAGGTCCCCACCCCGAAACCATATATATTCTTGTATGGGACAATAAAACAAATCAAATGAAATAAAAGGCAAGTCCAATGGGGTCACCCCCACCCCCCCCTCCTGTTTAAGAACTTGTAAACGGTCGAGATCCCCACCCCTAAACCATATATATTCTTGTATGGGACAAAAAAACAAATCATATGAAGTAAAGGGCGAGTCCCCTGGGGATCACATCCCCCCCCCCCCCCCCCCCCCCCTTTTGAAAACTTGTAAAGGGTAGAGATATCCACCCCTAAACCATATATATTCCTGTTCGTCATTTCAAGAAGATTTGAATGACATACAGGGTCAATCCATAGGCGTTGATTATGCATATCACAAACATATTTGTACTGGACTTTGCCCAATGTCAGGCGACCATGGGAATGACAAATTATTGGAGCTTTGTTTGGGAGATTACAATTATTTCTTGTTACTGATAAGTTTTATAGATTTTGAAAAGACATTGTATCAAGGATAAATAAAATTTTGGATTTTTTTCTTCTTTTCTTTGGTAAATTGTTTGAAGAATTTTGTGGCAAATTTTCTGAATGCTATATATTTTTTTTTTGATGAAGTGAACTCCTTTAAAAACTAAGCTTATATTGTCTATTAATAAACATATATTTAGATTTCTGATTTTGGGCCCAGTTTTCAAGTTGGTCCAAATCGGGGTCCAAAATTAAACTGTGTTTGATTTCAACATAAATTGAATATATATAGGGTTCTTTGAAATGCTTAATCTAAACCTGTATTTCTTTTCATTATTAATAAGATAATACCACACTGAGGTCCAAAGGGTCCTATATTAAACTTTTGTTTAATTTCATCAAAAATTGAATTCTTTTGGTTCTTTGATATGCTGATTCTAACAATGTTTGAGTGTTAAATTATATCTAATTTTAGAGAACTTAGTCATCACTGGTTGCTGTTATTATATTATTGATTATAATTTGAAAAATTGCATCATATCTTATTTTAGAGAAATATTTATCCAGTTTGAGTTATTTCCCTTTGCACAGAAAATATTATGGATAAAATTAACCTGTGTTTCATTTCAACATAAATTAAATATATATAGGGTTCTTTCAAATGCTGAATCTAAACCTGTATTTAAATATTAGATTTATGGGCCCAGTATTCAAGTTGGTCCAAATCAGGGTCCAAAATTAAACTTTGTTTGATTCAACAAAAATTGAATTTATGGGGTTCTTTGAAATGCTGAATCTAACCATGTATTTAGAGATTTTGGATTGTTGGCTCCTTTATCAAATTGGTTCACATTGAGGTCCAAAGGGTCCTAAACTAAACTTTCATCAAAAATTTAATTATTGGGGTTCTTTGATATGCTGATTCTAATATGTACTTAGATTTTGGATATTAGACCATAATAGGTAAATGTCCAATTTCAAATAATTCAGTTCTTTAACCACATTCATTTTGTGTCACAAACCTATGCTGTGTCAAATATTCAATCACAATCCAAATTCAGAGCTGTTTTAAGCTTAAATGTAGTGTCCATACATGCTCAACTGTTCAGGGTTCAACCTCTGCAGGAAAATCCGGTTTGCTGTCACTCTGACAGCCTCTTGTTTGTTCTTTTACTGTGTTTGTTTCTCTGTACCCTTTTATAAACACCAGTGGTTTTTTTGTATTTTAGGTGCAAAAATATTTGGAGGTGTCCTGCTAAGTGGCCTAATTGTAGCAGCAGCTGCCGTGTTCATAGGTGGCAGTGTCATCTTTGTGCCTACCTACTTTGGCGTCAAATATTACCACTGGCGTAAAAGACAGAAATGGTTTAGAAACTACAGAAAACAGAAAGAGGAAATGAATAAAGTCAGAACAAAGGCACAACTAGGTATATATATATACTTATCATGCTTATGTATAGAATAATTAACTGAAAAGTTCAAGTGTAGAAAAATATTTAAGGAGTGACCGAACACATTAATTCATGAATGTGCATAGCATTACATTATAAAACTATTAATGCCAAAACATGAGCTGAAAAAAAGGTGATAAGGCTATAGGATGTTGTCATGTATTACTTGTGGAATAAAGATAGGTGATAAGGTTATATAATGTTGTCATGTACTACTTATGGAATAAAGATAGGTGATAAGGCTATATGATGTTGTCATGTATTACTTTGGGCCTCGGTGGCCAAGTGGTCTAAGTAGTTACTAATGTAATCACTAGCCAGTCAACACTGAGGTTGTGAGTTCGAACCCCGCTCGTGCAGGTGCACTCCGACTCCAATCTTAATTGACGAGGATTGTCAGTTTTCCTATCGAAGGTCGGTGGTTTTCTCCAGGCACTCCGGCTTCCTCCACCAATAAAAACTGGCCGCCACGAAATAGCCCAAAAGCGGTACTTAAAAGTGCTGTTAAAACACCCAAAATCAAATTCAATTCATGTATTACTTGTGGAATAAATGGAATAAAGATAGGTGAAAGGCTATAGGATGTTGTCATGTATTACTTTAGAATATAAATAGGTGATAAGGCCATAGGATGTTGTCATGTATTACTCATGGAATAAGAATAGGTGATAAGGCTATATGATGTTGTCATGTATTACTTGTGGAATAAAAATAGGTGATAAGGCTATAGGATGTTGTCATGTATTACTTGTGGAATAAATGGAATAAAGATAGGTGATAAGGCCATATGATGTTGTCATGTATTACTTATGGAATAAAAATAGGTGATAAGGCTATATGATGTTGTCATGTATTACTTGTGGAATAAAGATAGGTGATAAGGCTATAGGATGTTGTCATGTATTACTTATGGAATAAAGATGGGGGTGATAAGGTTATAGGATGTTGTCATGTATTACTTATGGAATAAAGATGTGTGATAAGGCTATAGGATGTTGTCATGTATTACTTATGGAATAAGAATAGGTGATAAGGCCATAGGATGTTGTCATGTATTGCTTATAGAATAAAGATAGGTGATAAGGCTATAGGATGTTGTCATGTATTACTTATGGAATAAAATAGGTGATATTGCTATAGAATGTTGTCATGTATTACTTATGGAATAAAATAGGTGATAAGGCTATAGGATGTTGTCATGTATTACTTGTGGAATAAAAATGGGGGCGATAAGGTTATAGGATGTTGTCGTGTATAACTTTTGGAATAAAAATAGGTGATACGGCTATAGGATCTTGTCATGTATTATTTGTGGAATAAAAATAGGTGATAAGGCCATAGGATGTTGTCATGTATTACTCATGGAATAAGAATAGGTGATAAGGCTATATGATGTTGTCATGTATTACTCATGGAATAAGAATAGGTGATAAGGCTATATGATGTTGTCATGTATTACTTGTGGAATAAAAATAGGTGATAAGGCTATAGGATGTTGTCATGTATTACTCATGGAATAAGAATAGGTGATAAGGCTATATGATGTTGTCATGTATTACTTGTGGAATAAAAATAGGTGATAAGGCTATAGGATGTTGTCATGTATTACTTGTGGAATAAATGGAATTAAGATAGGTGATAAGGCCATATGATGTTGTCATGTATTACTTATGGAATAAAAATAGGTGATAAGGCTATATGATGTTGTCATGTATTACTTATGGAATAAAGATAGGTGATAAGGCTATAGGATGTTGTCATGTATTACTTGTGGAATAAAAATAGGTGATAAGGCTATAGGATGTTGTCATGTATTACTCATGGAATAAGAATAGGTGATAAGGCTATATGATGTTGTCATGTATTACTTGTGGAATAAAAATAGGTGATAAGGCTATAGGATGTTGTCATGTATTACTTGTGGAATAAAGATAGGTGATAAGGCTATAGGATGTTGTCGTGTATTACTTATGGAATAAAGATAGGTGATAAGGCTATATGATGTTGTCATGTATTACTTGTGGAATAAAAATAGGTGATAAGGCTATAGGATGTTGTCATGTATTACTTGTGGAATAAATGGAATAAAGATAGGTGATAAGGCCATATGATGTTGTCATGTATTACTTATGGAATAAAAATAGGTGATAAGGCTATAGGATGTTGTCATGTATTACTTATGGAATAAAGATGTGTGATAAGGCTATAGGATGTTGTCATGTATTACTTATGGAATCAAGATGGGTGATAAGGCCATAGGATGTTGTCATGTATTACTTATGGAATAAGAATAGGTGATAAGGCTATAGGATGTTATCATGTATTACTTATGGAATAAAGATAGGTGATAAGGCTATAGGATGTTGTCATGTATTACTTGTGGAATAAAGATAGGTGATAAGGCTATAGGATGTTGTCATGTATTACTTGTGGAATAAAGATGGGTGATAAGGCTATAGGATGTTGTCATGTATTACTTGTGGAATAAAGATGGGTGATAAGGCTATAGGATGTTGTCATGTATTACTTGTGGAATAAAGATGGGTGATAAGGCTATATGATGTTGTCATGTATTACTTGTGGAATAAAGATGGGTGATAAGGCTATAGGATGTTATCATGTATTACTTATGGAATAAAGATAGGTGATAAGGCTATAGGATGTTGTCATGTATTACTTGTGGAATAAAGATAGGTGATAAGGCTATAGGATGTTGTCATGTATTACTTGTGGAATAAATGGAATAAAGATAGGTGATAAGGCCATATGATGTTGTCATGTATTACTTATGGAATAAAGATAGGTGATAAGGCTATAGGATGTTGTCATGTATTACTTATGGAATAAAGATAGGTGATAAGGCTATAGGATGTTGTCATGTATTACTTATATGGAATATTCATAGAGAAATATCAAAGGGAATTACCCACAATCATCAGCATTCTCTGAAAATTCACCACCAAGATACACTGATAATATTCTGAGATACTGAATTGTTTTTTGGCTTTGGAAAGACACAGATAAAATGCTGCAGATTGAACAACTGCTCGTGTAATATAAACATGTCTGTTATATCTGACTTCCTAATGAGACTTTAAAGAGGTTCTGGATGAGTTTACAGAATAGAGAATAATGGGCAAAAAGTGCAGAATAAAGGGCAAAAAATTTAGAGAATCTTCAAAGTTAAAGAATAAAGAAATGAAAGATCCCCATCCAGACCCTCTTTAAAAAGATCCCCATCCATATCCTCTTTAAAAAGATCCCCATCCATATCCTCTTTAAAAAGATCCCCACCCATACCCTCTTTAAAAAGATCCCCATCCATATCCTCTTTAAAAAGATCCCCACCCATATCCTCTTTAAAAAGATCCCCATCCAGACCCTCTTTAAAAATCTGTTCTGTGATTCATTGATTCTAGTCTGTAATTGTTCTGGTTGTTTTCATTAACATTTAACTTTCCTTTGCACAAAACAATAGCATCAAGAAAAACAGAAACAGCTTTGAGAGACGTAGAAATAGGAATTCCTTATTCAGATCACAGTGACACCATGACCTCTACGGAAAGCAGCTCTTCTAATGATCACCATGGTTCCACAGAGGTCAAAGTTTGGGTAAGTGTAGAATGGTACAATAAGGAGATGAGGTATGACAACTACATCCTATAAAAACCAGAAGACAGGAACATGTACTTCTCACCCTTTTGCTACATGTAGTTAAATATATAAAAATAAGATGATGTGGTATGATTGCCAATGAGACAACTCTCCACCAGAGACCAAATGACAGAAGTTAACAACTAAAGGTCACTGTACCGCCTTTAACAATGAGAAAAATCCATACCGCATAGTCAGCTGTAAAAGGCCCCAAAATGACAAATGTAAAACAATTCAAACAAGAAAACTAACATTGTTGATGTCAATAACAAAAGTACAAGACTAGGAAATTGTATACAACTGGTTGTGAGATTCCCAGCTTCTGAAACAGAGACCACTATAAATGTTATCAAAGGATGTCTTAGATTTTCTTACCTTGAACTCTTGTATGGTAATTGATTCTTTATCTTCAACCTTTCTATATTAAAATCCATTCAATAATCAAATGGCGGGGGAAAGACAGTGTATTTTGTCTCACTGAGGAGGAAGGGGAGACAGGAATATCTCAGTCCATGGGAACCCAAGGATATTTCACAAATAACCTTGTGGGAAAGAGTAATCTCACCTAAACTTTTGAGAGAGACACCATACCAGTGTATATATGCCTGTTTTCACTGATTTTGGGAATTTTTGAAATTTTTGGAATCCATTTGAACATTCAACAAGTTAGAGAATGATTCTTCCTGACAAAATTGCAAAACTGACAAATCTCACACTAGTTATATATGAAAATAAGAAGATGTGGTATGGTTGCCAATGAGACAACTCTCCAACAGAGACCAAATATCTCTTACTCAGAAAAGCTTGTCAGAGAGATAAAAATTATTTGATATTGCCCTGTCTTCCCCCTTTCTTCTGTGTAAGACAGGAACAAGACCCTTTGCATTTTTTTAGATTTTTTACTTGAATGCTTGAACAAGTCAGAAATTAGACTGCAAGACTGAAAAATCTTACACACCTTCAAATCAGGTATTAAAGATTTCCAGTATCTGAGATATCTTTGTTATACTGGGGATTTCTTGGAATTGTGATTTTGTTGGTTTTCAATTATGTTAACAGTCCCTGTACAGTCTTTATAAATAAGGACTTTCTCATTAAAATGAATGGGGGAGGGTTGGAAGGTAATTATAATTTTAGGGCATGAGTCAAGGGTACTGTATTGTTGTTATTATTATGTTGGTTGTGATAGATTGTAGAAGTCCATTATAAAAGAAGCATCACACAACCCTTTGGATGGATTACCTCTAAAGATAGCTTTCACTACGACGTAATTTGAATTTGAGTTATTTCTCTTGGCAGCCATTTTGAGGGGGAAATGGTTGGTTTTATTATTTGACTAGCTATAACCAATGGAAACAAGTTTGATAAGAGATCCTTACTAGATCGTAGTGGTGAATTAAGCAAGGCTTAAACAAATTAAAATTGTTCAAAAAACAAATTTTTTTTAAAGTCTAGCTGTCAGTTAAACAAGTTAAATTTGGCAGATTAATGAAGGAATTTGTGCGGATAGACATAGCAACAAATGGGAAATAACTCTTGCTCAAATTGATTTAATTGAAAACTAATTATATAAAGGTTTGTAGGTAGGACACTTGTCTGGTTCTGGAGATACCTCCCTCACAACAATATCAAACTAACATTCAAACTGTTATTTTTGCAGGTCCATTCCGAGAATGAGGAGACACCATTAGATGTTGTAAGGTATAAATCTCAAGAACAGCAGACAACATCTAGTATCCATGACAACACAGTAACAACTGCTGAAGTCACCATGGAAGATGATTTGGTGGTACTTCACGTTAAAACAACAAGTAAAATATCACCAGGGGAAGGTGATCAGTCTGAACAGGAAGTAGATGGCAGTACTGATCAAAATTTTGTTGAAGACAAAAGTTTGTTTGAAAATTCTGATGATACAAAAGAACATAAAGTTGTTACTGAGGTAAATGTGGACTCACAAGGATGTTTTGTCAAAATTCTTGGTAAACTTCCTGTCAAATGGGAAAAAGAAGAAGAAAAAGAAGTAAAACTGAAAGAAAATGGAGTTTCTGTTAAACCTGTTATTGTAAAGGAAAAGAGGAGAAGAATAGGAACGAGAAGACAGAAAAATCTTGATCATTTCAGCTCTTCAGATTCAGACAAACTAGAGAAATATGAGAAAGCAGATGGCCATGAAATTGCATTGAGTAATGATGCAAATGACGAAACTGCCATTTCTGAAATCCAACAAGTTAAACAAATCTGTGATCAAATGGACCCATATTATGGATTGGTTTCCATGGAAACCTATGATACTGGATTTTAGTAGTTGTCTAAGTATTTTCTGAGGTCTATCTAATTATGCAGATGGTATTTGATATATATTGTTGTTTTTGTCAGCTAGTCATTCATTGTTTTCTGTTGAAGATATTCCATAAATTTATGAATTGCCGAAAAAGAAGGTGAAAATGTTTAGGAGAAGATTGTTTTAAAGCCCTGCTACGATAAATTTGAAAATTAGTGTTTTTTTTTGTTTTTTTTATTTACATAGATATAAAATACAACAAAGTCATACAAAACTCTTTGCATGTTTGAAAAAAATACAAAGTACCTTCTGCTATTTATAATTACGGCCATTGCTAATTTATTCTGTACTTCATGTCACATTAACTTTGCTATAAAATACTTTTGACTAGAGAGGTAGTATAAAAACAGTAGTCTTTATAAATCAATATTGCTAGACTATATAACAATGTCATTACTTGTCAGGGGTACAGATTAAAAAGTAATTTTCATTTACTAAAAGATGTAAGTACATGTAATAATTGTTTATATAAGTAAATTTGTCGGATTTAAATTTTCTTTCCAATATTTGAATAATCTCCCCTTACACTTTTCCAAAAATTTAGTAAAGGGTATACAAATAGCATTTTTTAAACCCGTGAAATTCTCAGTTTTGGCAGGTCAAAAAATGCCTCAAATATTTTTTCTTGGTATTCATAATATTAGTGTTCAATAAGAGTTCAAATTTTTATCTCAAGACAAAAACTCCACTATGCACTTATAAATCATTTTAGGACATTGTGTTCCTTACATATTTAAGTAACAAGCTGATTTTAAAGTAGAAGGCTGAGTGCACATTGTTAGCAAAGAAAAGTTGAATGATAAATTTTATTATTGACAAAAAAGTAGATGGCCCAAACATTGATGTACAAGGTTATTTCAGGGACTTCTTGCCTCTAAAGAAAGCAATGGCCACATCCAATTATTTTTGAGTATATATTTGGAATCTTATATGTATCAAAATTTTATGACCAATATTTCATTATGTGCAATTGTTTACTATAACTGATATTATATAGTTGGCTGTGATGTTTGTTTTGTTGTAGTTTAATGTTTTAGTTTTTGAGACGTTATGGCTCCTGCGTGTGTCATCGTTTGTGTTTAAGTTTGATCATGATGATCAAGGTTTTTTTAGTATAGATTCCAGAAAGTGCATCAAATACTTAAAGCCACTGGCTGGTAAACTATATTTCAATCTTTTTTTGTCTATGTTTTTGAGTACACACGTTACCTGTTTTTGAGTACACACAACATACATGTAACAAGTGTAGTCAGGTGTACATTCTTCAGGTTCCATCCATGACCATATCAAGCAATTCTTACATAATACATGCTTAGCAATACAATCTTCAAAAGGGTGTGTGTCCATTACCGTACTTAGAAAGAAAAAAAAAACTTATGTTTACACAAGTTGCAGACATATGAACCTATCTGTCCTACCAACAATTGCATGGACAAAGGGAAATAACTCAATTCATAATATTGCCAAAATGTGTTTTTTTGCTTAGGTGGCAGAAACCAGTTATTTTACAATAAATCTTTAGAATTTCATGGTTTTATGATTTAATTTTCTGAAAAATCATTCAAGCTAATATGCAAATATAATTTATGGTTTCGGGTAACTAAGATGTGTGCATGCTTTAGTGAATATATAAAAAAAAACTGTAAATTTGGGTGTCTGTCCAGCATGGAGATTTTTAAATTTATAAGTGCATTGCAAATAAGGCAAAAAATGTGATGGTCTCATACAAATCTAATACTCACCTCCAGAATCCTGCTAATAGCAGACAAGAGTTTTAGGCAAATTTCAAGAGATAAATGATATTCAATGAATAAGAGCACCTATCCTTTCCATCAAAATCTCAAGATATTTTTGTTTACATGAAACTGAATTTTTTTCCCACTTTGATTGGATGAAATTAAGAGAGGAGACCCCAATTTTGACTTCTGATTGGTCCCATATGTGAAGGAAATCCCCAACCTGTGAATGCAACTACTTACTAATGTAGTACAATAGCCTTGAATTTACATTCATTTATTTTTTCAGTCCACATAATGCAATTATATATCTATTAACTATAACAACATTTCTGCGTGGGACACATGTTCTGGTACACCAAAACTGGTACCTGCCACCTCAATACAACTTCCAATTTTTTATTTGAAGTTCACAAACTAAATTGAAAACAATCTTTACCTCTTCATATTCTGAAGGACTTTGATTATTTAATCATTTATAGTAAGTTCTAATTATAGAATTCAGTGCAATGGAATTCAGTTACGCATATCATTTTAATTCTCCTCCAAAACAAATTTGCTTAGAGCTGTTCCCTAAAAACTTATATGAAACATGTGGAAGGCATTTCATAATCACGATATGTTGGCGTAAAATTAATTTTTGTACATCAAAGGAAATTAAAAAATCACTTCTATAGGAGGCTACCCAATTTTCAAAGTGCCTTTCTTAGGTACCATATTTGTTTAAATGGAACAGTCGTTATATCAATGGATTGTACTTGCAATAATTATTGATGAGAAAAACAATTACCAGGTACCGGTAATAATGAGTCATTTGCCCTTAAACAAGAAATTTAGGGAAATATGAAATAAACCTCAGCTTTAATGAGATAGTCATAATTAGCTAACATATATATTGTGTTATTTTCCTGCTCGGTTTTGTGTATGATTTTGGTCTTAAAATGGTCAGTTAAATGATTGCTTCAGGTAAATTATGGGGTAAAATGCTTGTCATGACTTTAGACCCTTGCGAAATTTACAGCAGTATGTATTGTTAGTCAATGTACCGTTTGAGGATAACTAATAGTTGACTTACTAAATGTATTTATCTTATACCATAGTATAAGTTTTATTTTTGTTTCTTGAAGAAATTGATCTGTTGATAGTTTGAGAAATTAGAAAGGTTCCCATGCTGTGAGATTGTTTAGAGATTATGCATAAAATGTTTTTTTAGAGATTATGCATAAAAATGCAATTACATGTATTGTAATTTATATATGTCACTTTTGTCTTTCATATTTTGCACTTGTTTGTATTTCATTGTAATTAACTGCCTAATTATATTGGTCTGTGTATAATAATAGTATTACCTTTCTAATGCTTCAACCCTTCTATTAACATTATTAAGAATATTTTAATTCTTTTTGTAGTTTTTTGGGGGTCTAAAATCATTGGCCAAGTCAAATTGGAATGAAGCACCGAATTTGATATTTGTAATGTGTATTTGGTCAACTGTATTAAACTATTGAAGAGGGTCTCAATGGGGGTCCTTCATTTCTTTATTCTTTTATTTTTTTTGCCTATTTTTCTCTATTCTTTTTTGGCCCTTTATTCTGCACGTTTTGCCCATTATACTCGAGCTCTATTCTGGAAACCCCATCCAGACCCTCCTTAAAAGGTGCATTAGATTCTTAAAAGTACAGTTTGCATTTATTAAAGATGAATCTTAAGGATTATCTAAATGGTGCATCCCATCTTTATTGTTAAAATATTCCCTCGCAATCAGCGCTTTTGTAACCTAGTTTAAAGCAATCCTATGGAATCATCCATTACTTTTAATTATAATGATTCCCTTTATGCATATTTGAGTGTTGAAACTTATTTTATACCAAATGTAACTAATCAACTGATAATCATAAAAAATGGAGTTGGAAAGAAGATGTTGTTATTTTTTCATCTGCCTTAAGAAGTACTGTAAATTCAGAATTTATTGAGATGTTTTTTTTATTGCAAAAATTGCATCAGATTAACCTTTAACCTGTGTTTGTTTCACAAAAAAAAAAACACGTTTTTTTAAAAACATGCTAGAAGTACAACCAATGACGTGATGTTATTTTCATTATAGGGAGCTACCATTTGATTTTTATGGGGGGGGGGGGGGGGGGGGGCTAGGATGAAAAATGTTGTCCTGCATTTTTTTTTAAGTTGTAATCTCTGTCCTGCATTTTTATTTTTCACTCTATTCGGTCCTGCCTTTTTTTTATTAGTTTATCCTGCCTTTTTTTTTACTCAAAAACTCCTGTCCTGCCTTTTTTTTTCAAATTTCATCCTTAAAAAAAAATCCTAAAAAATTAGGAACAATAAAATTACCTTAAGTTCTTTAGATTCTGAAACAGCAAATTTGAAACTAGGAAATATGGAAATTCTTTCAAAAAACATTTTGTTTCAAGAGGATAAAATTAGAGGCTCTAAAGAGGCTGTGTCTCTAACCTGGATCAGTGTACATCTATGTGTAAAGTGCAGAGTTGTACAACAAGACATAGATTGTTAATGGCGTCTGGCGTACAAAATTGTAATCCTGTCCTGTTATCTATGAGTTTATAATATTATGTAGTGTATTTCTAACCTTTGCACCTTTTGTTTGTGGTATATCATCTTTTCCGCAAGTTACTTGTTTCCTGTTTAGTATTAAATTTTTAATTAAGATCCATTTATTACATCGGTGATCCGTTTATTTGGCAATCGCCAATGGCAGTCAGCAGGGTTTAAGAACATTTGTTGTTCGACCTGTTAGTCAAATGCGTTTTGTTAAAATATACTTTTTCACTTTTTTGGTCTTTTGGAAAATGTTGTTTGTGCTGTATTTAGACCCCTCTAACAAGAAATTTGTTTTGCATGCACACGTATAAAAATTGCGGTTTTTATCCAACGCAATCATAGGTTTGAACGTTGTTTTCAATTTAGACTTGTTTCTAGCTTTATATATACTAGAACACACCCGCAAAATCATGGGCATTTAGAGCGTGGTTGAAAGTATGTAAACTGTTGTAGGATGAATTTTGGTAAACGATTTTATGACTGGAGAATTTCAGGAACGGTATCAAAAGTCATAGGTACTTGGTGACAGGACAATTTTTTTTAGCTCTCCCCCTTTTTTCCAAAGTCCGTTATTTTTTGTTTTCTGTTTTTATACGCCCGTTTACGGGACGTATTATGGTATACCGTTGTCCGTCCGTCCATCGTCAACATGTCGGACAATAACTCAAAAACGCTATAACCAATTCGCATGAAACTTTAATGAAATGTTTATATCTATTGACGTGAGCTCCCTTTCGTTTTTTGTAAATTTTAGATTTTCAGTTTCCTAGTATTGGTTTTTTTTTCAATTAAAAAAGGGGGATTTTCCAGTTTTCGGACATTAACTCAAAAACAATTTAACCAATATGCATGAAACTTTGGTGAATTGTTTATATCTATTGACGTGAGCTCCCTTTCTTTTTTTATAAATTTCGGATTTACCGTTTCGGTGTTTTTGGGTTTTATTCATTAAAAAAGGGGGGATTTTCCAGTTTTCGGACAATACCTCAAAAACAATTTCACCAATTTGCAAGAAACTTTGGTGAATTGTTTATTTCTGTCGACATGAGCTCCCTTTTGATTTTTATAAATTTTAGATTATAAGTTAAAGATTTATGGTGTTTTATTCATTACAAAAAGGGGATTTTCCAGTTTTTGGACAATATCCTTAAAGTGCTTAGACCAGTTTTTATTAAACTTTGATGACTGATTTATATCTATTAAGATAACCTCCCTTTAGTTTTTTTTTATAAATTTCTGATATAACATTGAGAAGTTATTGAACTTTATTTGTTTATAGTCTGACAACAGATTCTACTTGAGCAACAGCACAGTGTATTGCACAAGAAGAAATCTTTATTTTATTTGAATATAAATTCAATTCATATAACCAATTTCAAGTTCTTTGACTTCATTTATTCAGAAACCTATAATATGTCAAGTATTTAATTACAATCCAAATTCAGACCTGTATCAAGCTTGAATATTGTGTCCATTTTTGCCCCAACTGGTCAGGGTTGGACCTCTGCGGGCCTATCCAGCTGCGCTCAGCGAAGCAGTTTATTCTGTATACTATGAACATACATATACTATAAATAAAGTGTACTTGCTATTTACTATCAATTCCAAGTTTACTATCCACGGCGGTCACTGATATATTATATTTGAATTGATAGTAAATAGCAAATACACTTTATTTATAGTATATGTATGATCATAGTATACAGAAAAACGCGAAAATAATTGTACTGTCCCCAAGTACTTATGCAAATTATGTGTAATTTTAAAACAGTCCTAACCTAACCTAAAGGAAATCTTGTCTATGACTTAAAAGTCTGTCCGATGACGGAAACAATATCCAGACGCCTTTATTTTCGTTTTCCTCCCAAAATAACCTTAACTGGATAATCATAAGCGAGGTTGACAAATGTGACTATGCATGGTACTTATAGGACACAGAGGCATGATGATTAATTTATTGTGGAAGGAAGAGAAGCGACACACAAAATGAGGTCTTCTCATTTAATAGTATAGATAGTGTACTTAATTCTGTTTTTCTTGTCATTTCTATCAAATGATGTCATATGAGTTGCATTTACATGTGCGTAGCTATGTTTACGTCAAAATGCCTGGGCGTGCACATAAATTTTGAAGAACAAAATATTTTAACCAAAATAAATTAAAAGAACTGATAAAAAACACAAGAGCCTTGTAATTCTTTCTTAAAAGGTCTTGTAATTAAAGATAAAAGACAAAGTGATGAAACTGACTTTTTAATCAACTGGTATCATATTATTTTTATGTTCTTTTTGGTCATATAGCTCTGCAACTGTTTCGGTTCTTATTCATCCTTGTCTTTCAAATATTCGGCTTTGAACGTTCCTGCTGAAGGTAAATCTAGAAATGAAATTTAAAATGTGTTGTTTTTATACGACCGCAAAAAATTTTTTGGGATCGTATAATGGTATGATGTCGTCGTCGTCTGTGTAGTCGTCGTCGTCCGAAGACACATTGGTTTCCAGACAATAACTTTAGTTTAAGTGAATGGATCTCTATGAAATTTTTTAGGAAGGTTCAACACCACATAAGGAAGGTTGGGATTGATTTTGGGGATGATGGTCACAACCGTTTAGGAATTAATGGCCCAAAAAGGGACCCAAAAGAAGCATTTTTGTAGTTTCAGGATAATAACTTGTGTATAAGTATTTCAATTGCTCTGAAATTGTATCACAATGTTTAATACCACAAGTAGAAGGTTGGGATTCATTTTAGGGGTTATGGGGACCAACAGTTTGAGAATTAAGGACCAAAAACAAGCATTTTTCTAGTTTCCAGACAATAACTTGTGTGTAAGTGTATGGATCTCTCTGACATTGTACCATAAGGTTCCATATAACAAAGGGAAGGCTGGGATTGAGTTTGGCTGGGGTTTATTGCCCCAAACATGTAGGAATTAGGGGCCAAAAACAAGCATTTTCTAGTTTCCAGACAATAACTTGTGTGTAAGTGTATGGATCTCTCTGAAATTGTTCTACAAGGTTCCATACTGCAAAGGAAAGGCTGGGATTGAGTTTTGGGGTTATTGCTCCAAGGGGGGTTTTAAAAAGTTAGGGGGGGGGATATTTTTCCCAATTTTTTTAAGGGATTCATATTTTTTCAAAATTTTTAAAATTTCGAATTTTTGAAAAGTTTCAAGAAGAAATCTTCAATTGCACAGTATTGCGCAATGGATTTATAAGATCTTTGACCACATTTATTTTGTGTCAGAAACCTATGTTATGTCAAAAATTTGATCACAATCCAAATTCAGACAGTATCAAGCTGGAATATTGTGTCCAAATTTGCCCCAACTATTCAGGGTTCGACCGCTGCGGTCGTATCAGGCTGCGCTCAGCGAAGCATTTTATTATTTTTTACAGCACTGAGTCGATGCTTTTGCTGGTGGACTATCAGTCCCCGAGCCAGGTATCATCAGCTCAGCCAATTTTTCAATGGCTTATATCTCGAAAACAAGGTCGCGGACCCTTCATTTTTTCTGCTTTTTTAGTTCCATTATTTATATACTATCAATTTTTATCGCACCGCGGGTAAATTATTACGTTGTGATTGGTTTAACGCCGTCACGTGGTGACCCCCTATGGATCCGTAGGGGGTTAGTAAATTTCATAGTGGGTTCATGACGTCACGTCTACTGTTAATGGTGACGTTATCTATTGATGTTGTTGTATTTCATTGTTTATTTTTTTCTACAAAACGCTGCAGAAAAAGTCTCGCGTGCGATTAATTCGTTATACGGTTCACTACTGACCCCCTACGGACCATAGAGGGTGAATAAAATCCACAGGGGATTCGGCCTTCGGCCTCACCCCCTATGGATTTTACTAACCCTCTATGGATCCGTAGGGGGTCAGTAGCGAACCATATAACTTATAACATCAGTCTTTTTAAAAAGCTTGTTATTTTGAAATAGAGTAGCGAACATCCTTAAGTCCAATGTTATATAGTGGTTACAAAGAATTTACAGGTTATCTCCCTTACTACGCAACAATGAAAATACTTTAATTCAGTAGAAATAAAATTTATACAGTGAGTGATTAGTATTATGCATCTTGTTTTAAAGACAGATTCATATCGTACATCTTGTTGACACCTAAAATACATATTTAACATATATCTAAGTCATTACTGCTTACTATAAATTTAAATTTCTCAAACTCAGAAAAATCAGAAAAAGAACGTATAACAGAAATAATGTTTTTAAATAATTCTTCCCTTGGCTGTTTTAGTTTGGAATATGTAATAATAAAATATAACTCATCTTCAACTCCTAAATTACACAGTTTACAAATCCTCTCCTCTAC